CAGCAACTTGACCCTTCAGCCACCCACCATTTTTCCCCGACCTAGAAAATGAACCCCTCTTAAGTCATTTGAAATTAACTCTCCCCCTACCACGCCATTCCCAGTGAAGTGGGAAAACCAGACACAAACTCAGCTAAGTGGAAGCAGTGGCTTTGGGCAAGAACTGTAAGAAAATTGTCAAGTTGGCTCTGCCACTAAGCGCTCCCCATCCTGCATTCACATTCATATTTTTTTTAAAATAATATTTATTGCTTTTAAACCTTACAAAAAGAAAAAAAGAAAAGAAAAAAGAAAAGAAGAAGAAAAGCAAGAGAAAAAACAATACAATACAATATAAAAACAATACAGAACGCAACATTAAGATTAACACATTAAACAAAACAAAAGGAAAAACAATTCAAAAAACACACATCATACCATCTCAATATCCTTTCTTTCATTCCCTTGTTTCATCGACCTCCTCTCACCTCCCTTTTTGTATTCCATTTCTATTAATTGTTTCAGCAAATCCTTTCCATCTTTCTCTATTTCTGTCATGTAATTATCTTAACATATTTTAACCTTATTTTCCATTAATACTATAATACTTATTTATACTTAATTCCTTAAAATATTTATACTAAAGCCGTATAATTCCCTTCCAACATTTTTCTAACACTCATTAATTTTACATTATTTCCATATATAGATTTTAAACTTTTTCCAATATTCTTCCACCGTCTCTTCTCCCTGGTCTCGGGTTCTGCCAGTCATTTCTGTCAATTCCATATAGCCCATCAACCTGGTGATCTTCTGTCCGAGGCTCTTAACTCTTTTCCAGGTCCCTTCTGCAAATCTTCTTCATGTTTATACATGCACTTTACTTTGTCTTCTCCTGATCTTGTTCTTACTTTCCTTCCTTTGATGCTGAAAAGTAGATCTCCGGGAAATTCCCATCTAGCAATGTTTTTATTCCTTCTCGACAAGTCAGCCAAATCTCCATAGTTAGAACTGAAATTTAAAAAATATTTCCAGTCATGTTTTAAAGTTCCTCCAAGTCTGGCAGTCCCCACAACTCCAGTCTCCTTCTGACCCAAGTCCAGGTCCCAAAGGTCAATAAACCCCTGCATGAGGGGATCTGTCCAACTTTCTTTCTCCAGTCTAAGCGGGGCTCCAATCCTAAAAGTCTGACTTTCTCTAAATTCAGTCTTGAAAGGCATCAACTTATAGTCATCGAGTTGCAACTGTACGGCTGGGGCACTCTTCCTCTCCACTTGTGCCACTTTAGGTTCCACAGCAAAAACTTTCTCCCCCACCTTCTCCTCAATTTGCCATGTCAAAATAGATCCCTGTATCGATTCCTGAATAATTTCTGTATTAATATTGACTTCTTGTGCCAAATTAGTCACTTTTTGTTCCAAGTTATCAATTTTTATAGTCCTCGCATCTGTCTTCTTGTAAAGCTGTTCCAGTAAATCATTAATCTTACAAAATGCAACCACTAAGGCTTCTTCTGTCAACATTCTTAACGGTTCAAGGTCGATCCCAGATTCTCACAGTTTTATCTTGCAGGTGGAGATGGAAATTCCCCCAGCTCAGCTCTTGTAACAATTTCAAAAGCTTCCTCTAGGGGGAAACAATTTCTATTTGTATCAATCCTTTTAAGCACAGTTCAAACAATAAAGTTAGTTTCGATTTTCAGTTACTTTCACTCCTTTTTAAACGCAGAAGGAAACAATGGAAACAATGTATTTCTCTTCTTTAACTTACTGTCAGCAGACGATCTATTCACAGTCAATGAGCATATACAAAACTTCAGTGCTTACTAGCAGCCCGTTTCCAGGTTCTGAGCGGTGGTAACTTGACTTTCTTCACTCTCTCCTGCAGGCTTACGTGATCTTAAATTTCCCCCCTCTTCTCCTGCTTCCAAGGGGGGTTTGATGGTTTAACCGATGGAAGTTTAATCCTTTATAAGAGACTTTCCAAGGCTTTAGCTTGCAGCCTCTTTGCTTCAATCTATTTACAAAAGGGGGAGGCGGACTTCCTGTTTGAAACCTCCCCGTTCGGTGCCAAATTAAGACGTTTAAAAATCCAATTTTCCATTCTACTCACGGGTAGTTGTTTTAAAATCAAATTGTCCACAGGAAAAAGTCAGCGCTCTCCGGCAACAGCAATGCGGCTTCACTCCGTGAAAGAAGCAGTCGATTCAAAGCACCGCGCCACTCACCCCACGTCGCTCCGGATCCCTGAAACCGGGTTTCCCCGCAAGTAGGGGAGGCGCAAAAGGTGCCAGCCGAATCCCACGTCCACAAGCTTCTCCCGCCTGTGGTTTTTAGTGGGTCTCCGCCTTCGCCGTGGCGGCCAGACCCTGATTTCCACGGAGCGGATTCCTCCCGATCAGAGGAATTCCGCCATTGCCTGAGGCGCTAACCCGGAAGTCCCCTGCATTCACATTCAAGGCAAACACAGTTTTCGGAACATACCATTTGCCAAGAGAACATGTTGGTAATTTGTTTGAATTGTACACTGAGCTCACATATATGGATGGACATAACTGTTAGGCAGGGTTTTTCTGTTTGTTTGCTTTTTATCTGAAGCATAGGTGCCAACTCCCTGGGGCCCTGGGTGCCCGAGCACCCACAAAATTCCTCATGAAGGGGCCAGGTACCCACAAATTTCAATGCCAAGGCCATGCATGCATGCTGCATGGCACCCACGGCCCCGGGCACCCACAGGTGTGGGGCTAAGCTGGCACTCCTGATCTGAAGTGCAGTTTTCTACATTTATTCCACAATTTGGGGTTTTTTTATTTAACTTCTCATGAAAATTTATCAGTGTCTCTGTGCAGATTTTTCCTAATATACACCTTTTTGTATGCAGTATCGATTAATTTGGGGCATTTTCTGTGTGCTGTTTTAACTAAACTACACACTTTCCTCTGATGTATTTTTTTGTACAAATTGCTTGAAGAACGAAATTGCAAAATTCAAAGAATAATTGTGTCCTGGTTTCTATATTGATTCATTAGAATTAATGGACCAGAGGCAGCATGTCCATTAGTGTTGAGGGGTCCATTCTGAGTAGCACCAACATTAGATACAACCCATTATCTATGTATGTGGATCTGCATAGGAAGGCTGACTTATACCAAATCAGACTATTGAATCCATGTAGCTCAGTATTGTCCACACTGACTGGTCTTTCAGACAAGGGGACATTTCCAGCCCTAACTGGAGATGCTGGGGATTGAACCAGGTACCTTCTGCATGCAAAACATGTTCTCTGCCACTCAGCTACCGCCCACAGACACAAATTGCTTCTCTGGCTGAAGTCCCAGGGCCTTTCATGTTCTCACTCTCTCTCTCTCTCCCTGCTGGGACCAAGCGGTCTGAGGCAGTGTTTACTGTCTCCTGGGAAACAGCTGAGCATGTGGTTGTCTGAGCTGCTCCTGCTCCCCCCCCCCCATGCCTTCCTGCTTATGGGAGACAAGTTCTATGGTGGAGACATAGCCTGAAACAGGTATCCATTCTCTCCAGCGAAAGCAGGATGGGGGCCACCAGGAAACCCCAGCCAAGAATTCAAGCAACTGCTTTTCTTACATGTGAGTCCCCACCCCTTTGACAGACTCTTGCTTTCTCTGTTCTGATTTTTTTCCACTGCCATCAGCAGATGGGGAAGCTGCCAGATAAATGGGAAGAGGATTTCCCCCTCCCACTATAAAAGCCCACACTTGCCCATTAGGGCTCAGAGGATATGTGAGTCCCTGCTTACAACCCTCACCCCACCCCAAGATAGAAAATTAGGGGAGGTGCATGGGTGCATTATTCTAGCATAATTTCATGGAACTGGGTCTCTTCCTCATAAACAAAAGCAGGAGAGAGAGTTGTGCGTCCCTCTACCAATATTATCTTTAGATCTGTTGGCAACTGGGCCCTCAAAACTCTCCCATTTGTGGTAGAGGAATTGAATTTCTCCAAGGGAGGGACAAATTATCCAAAGATTCCTCAGAGCTGAAGCTCTGGCAAGAGCACAGCTTATGTCTTCTTCCTTTTTCGTGTGGTGCAATGGGTTGGAGTGCCTGGCTGCTAACCAGAAGGCTAGTGGTTTGAGCCCACCCAGGGATGACTGTGGGCAGGATCCTGCATCGCAAGGGTTGGATGAGATGGCTCTTGGGGTCCTTTCCAACTTTACAATTCTATGCTTCTAGACAGTACTTTTTATCTGGGGGGATGCAGGGGTACGCATAACCCTAAACATATTGTGAATCTAACGGAAGAAGAAACTTTTTTAAAAAATTACATTTTTTGTTTCTTCTCTAGCACGGTGAACCATCAGTTCCGTTGCTACCCCTGATGGCGGCCTCATTTCCTGTCACGGTGTTTCTTGAGTCTCAGACAGAAGCGAGTGTTTAATGTGTGGGGTAGGAGTTGGAATCTAGCATGGTGATTGGTCAGTTTCGTTGTTACCACCTCCGATGGCAGCTTCTAAACCTTTTTTTAAAGAAAAAAACACACCTTCTAGGAACCTCCAGCCTGTGGGTCAAATGTGACTCTCCAGACCTATCTGTGAACTGCCCTCAGACTTTTCTGTGAACTGCCCTGAGACCTCTGGGTATAGGGCAGTATATAAATCCAATAAATCCAATAAATCCAATAAATCCAATAATAATAATAATATCTGTGTGCCCCTTGGAATTCTCCTCAGGCCACACCCTTCACCAGCCTTGCTTCACACCATCTTTGGGTATTTTTGCCTGGCTGGGATGTGTCCCTGGACACTGATAATGCCTTTTGCTTGCTGGGATGGAGGATGGAAACAGGTTAGAGAGAGTGTTGTAGAAAAAAGCCAGCAGTGCTCTTCTTATGACCCCTTATGACCCCTTCAGGTGTATTTTGATGGATTGCAGCCACGTAAACAAGGTAAGTCTTGACATTTTATATCTGTTTTTCTAAAAACATATATATTTAAAAACCAGGCCTGGAAGTGGAGTAAACATGGTTGCTGATAACAGAGAGGGCACCATGTCCTCTAAGGACAAGGCGATGCAGCTCTGTGATGCGGCGGAGCAACAACTGGCTGCAGATGACCCTTCACTTGCCACTGCCTTCTACACAGCTGCATTCAGCTGCAGCATCCCAACAGCTGTTGAAAAAGTGGCTTCCCTGAGAGAAGAGTCACGTGCCAAAGTGACGGTCACTTTATCAAAGTGGTGTCGGGATGGCGGCCCCATACCAAAGATTCAGTATGGCGGCCTGAATTACACGTCTCTCAGCATCGAAATGGCAGCCATTTTTCTCTCAACCCTCAACCCCAACAACATGGCTGCCTCTCTCTGCAAGATGGAGGCCCTGCTCAAACTGGGCCGCTACGAGGAAGTGCTGCGGCGTTGCGACTCTCTACTGGACGCCCAGCCTTGTGTGGAGCTGGCCCTCACCAGGGCGCTGGCCCAGGTGCTGTCACGGACCCACTTCCAAAATGGCGTCACAGGTTATCTGCGTGCTTTTGCGGAACGCCGGGATGAGACGGTGAAGTTTGTGCGCAGTCGGCAAAAGGAGCACCTTCAGAGGATCATCCAGGCGTTTTTTGACTTTGTCTCACTTCAGGAGAAGACTCACTACGGCAAGGGGGGCTTGGAAAACTGGCGGAGTGACTGCTACAACTTCCTGGTTGCCATTTCACCAGAAGACATCCACACCTGCCAGGCCCAGCCAGCCCACCTCTTGGAGAAGCACAAATGCAAGGAAGGCATCTCTGCCTACAGCGAGGCAGCCAGTGGTGCATTCTGGGACGAAAGAGCGTCTGGACTCCTCATGGACAGGGCTGCTGTGTACTTCTCTCAGGGTGGGAGGGTGGCAGAGATGATACAGGACATGGCAGCTGCCTTTGAGGCAAACCCCAGCCTGGCAGCGAGGCGCTTTGAGGCCCTTTTCACCACCGGGGATGCTGAGAGGATAGAAAAACATGCCAGAGCAGCTCTGGATCTGGAGTTTGCTGCTTACAGAGAAGCTGTGCGTGCCAGACCTGAGGTCCGGAGTGATAGTGGCAAGGAGCTTCTTTCCCCAGTGATCCGAACCCTTCGCTTCCTCATTCAGATTTCTCCAGGTGCCGGGCGCGAACTAAATGTCCGCCTGGCAGACTGTTCCCTCTTGGAGGGCAATGTCCAGAGTGCCTTGGAAATCTGCAACCACCTTCTGGATTCTGAGCAGGAGACCTATTACAACACCCTTCTTGCCCTCCGGGGGTTCTGCCACCTCCATGACAAACGCTGTGCAGAAGCCCTTCAGGATTTCCAGAAGATCATAGAGTACAGCTCTCCACACCCCAGCAGTTGCATCAAGGCTCTCTGTGGCCGTGGCTTAATCCGAGCTTGGGGCAGTAGTCCTTACCTGACCGCCCTGGATTATATCACTGCCTGTAGGTTTAGATTTGAGGAAGCCAGCTTTGTCATCAAGTCCTACATACCGTGGAACCAGAGGGGCTTCCTGTTGATCGTTCTACAAGAGGAAGCAAGGAAGATACTGGAAAAGAACCGAGACCCCAGGGGCACAGCTGCCCTTCAGAACAAACCAAGAGGGCTGGATGGATTCCAGGTGAAAGAAGGGTAAGCAAATCTCCCTGGACCAATGCTTTACAAGACAAATGAGTTGATATTGTAGTGCAGGGGTGGGGAATCTCTGCCCTGTGGGCCAAATTAGACTCAGCATAATAATAATAATAATAATAATAATAATAATAATAATAATTTATTATTTGTACCCCGCCCATCTGGCTGGGTTTCCCCAGCCACTCTGGGCGGCTTCCATAGAAACCCAAAATACAGTAAAATATCACAGATTAAAAGCTTCCCTGAACAGGGCTGCCTTAAGATGCCCTCTAAATGTCAGGTAGTTATTTATTGCTTTGACATCTGATGGGAGGGCATTCCACAGGGCGGGCGCCACTACCGAGAAGGCCCTCTGCCTGGTTCCCTGTAGCTTTGCTTCTCGCAATGAGGGAACCGCCAGAAGGCCCTCGGCGCTGGACCTCAGCGTCCGGGCAGAAGGATGGGGGTGGAGACGCTCCTTCAGGTATACTGGGCCGAGGCCATTTAGGGCTTTAAAGGTCAACACCAACACTTTGAATTGTGCTCGGAAACGTACTGGGAGCCAATGTAGGTCTTTCAAGACCGGTGTTATGTAGTCTCGGCGGCCGCCCCCAGTCACCAGTCTAGCTGCCGCATTCTGGATTAATTGTAGTTTCCGGGTCACCTTCAAAGGTAGCCCCACGTAGAGCGCATTGCAGTAGTCCAAGTGGGAGATAACCAGAGCATGCACCACTCTGGCGAGACAGTCCGCGGGCAGGTAGGGTCTCAGCCTGCGTACCAGGTGGAGTTGGTAGACAGCTGCCCTGGATACAGAATTGACCTGTGCCTCCATGGACAGCTGTGAGTCCAAAATGACTCCCAGGCTGCGCACCTGGTCCTTCAGGGGCACAGTTACCCTATTCAGGACCAGGGAGTCCTCCACACCAGCCCGCCCCCTGTCTCCCAAAAACAATACTTCTGTCTTGTCAGGATTCAACTTCAATCCATTAGCCGCCATCCATCCTCCAACCGCCTCCAGGCACTCACACAGGACCTTCACCGCCTTCACTGGTTCTGATTTGAAAGAGAGGTAGAGCTGGGTATCATCTGCATATTGATGGACACCCAGTCCAAATCCCCTGATGATCTCTCCCAGCGGCTTCATATAGATGTTAAAAAGCATGGGGGAGAGGACGGAACCCTGAGGCACCCCACAAGTGAGGGCCCAGGGGTCTGAACACTCATCCCCCACCACCACTTTCTGAACACGGCCCAGGAGGAAGGAGCGAAACCACTGTATAACAGTGCCCCCAGCTCCCAGCCCCTCTAGACGGTCCAGAAGGATGTTATGGTCGATTGTATCAAAGGCCGCTGAGAGATCCAGCAGAACCAGGAAACAACTCTCACCTTTGTCCCTAGCTCGCCGGAGATCATCAACCAGTGCGACCAAGGCAGTTTCAGTCCCATGGTGAGGCCTGAATCCCGATTGGAAGGGATCCAAATGGTCCGCATCCTCCAGGCGTGCCTGGAGTTGTTCAGCAACCACGCGCTCAATCACCTTGCCCAAGAATGGAAGATTTGAGACTGGGCGATAGTTGGCCATACTGGCCGGGTCTAAAGATGGTTTATTAAGAAGCGGTTTAATGACCGCCTCTTTCAGCGGATCTGGGAATGTTCCCTCACAGAGGGAAGCATTCACCACCCCGCAGAGCCCATCGCACAGCCCTTCCCGGCTTGCTTTTATTAGCCAGGATGGGCAAGGATCAAGGAGACAGGTGGTTGCTTTCACGCGTCCAAGCAGCCTGTCCACATCCTCAGGGGTAACGGATTGAAATTGATTCCATGCAACTTGACCAGACAGAGCTCTAGCACTCTCCCGCCCTGGCCCTGCTCCCACGGTGGTGTCTAGCTCCTTCCGAATATGAGTGATTTTATCTGCAAAAAACTTTGCAAAATCGTTGCAGGAGATCTTGGGGTCTTTACAATGCCCCGGTGGTAAAGGTGGTTCCGTTAAATTGCGAACCACCTGAAAGAGTCTCCTGCTACTATTTTCTGCAGATGCAATAGAGGCGGTGAAGAAAGTCTTCTTCGCCGTCGCTATCGCCACTTGGTAGGCTCGACGTTGAGCTCTAACCTGTGTCCGGTCAGATTCGGAGTGAGTTTTCTGCCACCGACGCTCTAGCCGTCTCAGCGATTGTTTCATCGCCCTCAGCTCCGAAAAAAACCACGGGGCTGTCCGGGCTCCATGCAATCGGAGAGGGCGCTTCGGAGCCAGACAGTCGATAGCCCTGGTTAACTCCGCATTCCAGCGGGCCACCGGGGAATCAGCTGAAAGGCCATCAACAAGGGCTAAAGCATCCCCTACCACTCTCTGGAAACCATTTGGATCCATTAAGTGGCGGGGGCGGACCATCCGAATTGGTCCCACCTCCCTGCAGAGGGGAAGGGTCGCGGAGAGGGGAAGGGTCGCAGGCCTCCCCAATTGGAAAGGGGAAGGGGAAGGGTCACAGAGGGGAAGGGTCGCAGGCCTCCCCAATTGGAAATGAATGCCATTTCTGCTCTGCCACACTCACCCAGACATCCATCTGGCATCATTATACCTATAGGGCAGGTTAAGATGCAGCTAGGCCTGGAAAAGTGTTTCAGGCACCTTTCAGCAGATTGGTGGCACCTGCAAAGTCCTGTGTTCGAATGGGGAAGCTTTTTGGCCCAGCAGGTCAAATCTTTATCTCCCCATCTGCCCACAGGCCAACTTCGACAGGTGGGTGGGGCCAACCACCTCTCATGAGCACTTCTCCATTGCATGTGTGAAGCTCTCCTTGACTTTTTTAAATTAAAAAAATATTTTATTTTGACAAAGTAATAACCAAAAATAAATAAGGATAAAAATGTGCACCCCACCACCAAGACCATTCCATTGTAACTATCCAACCTCACAAAATTTCAACACCTCTTGAGATGGTTTGACCACTTTCCGTTTATTATTATTATTATTTCTACCCCACCCAACAGTACAAATTCTACAAACACCTTCCATATCTCCTCAAAATCAACTCTCCTGCATATTCCCCATCTTACCGTAATGGCACATGTTAATTCATCATTAATAGCTATATCCCACATCTGTTTATACCATTCTTCCATTTTATATTCTGCTGGCCCCTTCCACTTTCATTCAGCTATCAATAAATTTGTGAGCAAGTCCTTCATAGTCTGCGAACCTTCCACCCCATCGTAAATTGATAGTAATGCTGCCTCTGGACCTTCAGTCAGCTTTAACTCAATGATTTCTGTTATCTCCTTAAACACCCTTTGCCGGAAAAATAGTACATATTTACACCCCCACCACATGTGAATATAATTCCCTGTTTCCTGGCATCCCCTCCAACATAACACTGAATATTCCTTGTTCTCCTTGCCTTTTAAGCCTCTCCTTGTGCTTTGTACACCCTGCAGAGACCTAAATAACGCTGTCCATCTTTCTTGGGCTGCCTTCAGGGCTACTGTAGACATGTTGTTTGGATACTGGAAAGACCTAATATACAAGTGTTAGAGAACAAAAGAGAGATAATCTGTGGGAACACCCCTACTCCGCCCCCCTCTTTTTTTCAGCGATGCATCTGGAGCTCACCAGCTGGCTTCTCTCCTGTTGGACCTGGATGCTTCAGATGAAACATCTCAGCTCCTCAGTGCTGATGCTCTGTACCAAATGGATCGATTAGATGAAGCTCACAAGGTCCTGTTGGTGGCTCTCTCCAAAACCTCCCAGAGATCTGCCTTCTTGGCCAGGCTGGCTCTGCTTCAGTTGAAGAAAGGCTTTCTATATGATTGCAACCAGGTAAGAGCAGTGGGATGGGGAAGGCATGCCAAAAGAAGGGGAAATCATCACTAAGGAAGCAACAAGGTAAAATGCTAAAGGGTAACAAAGTGAAATGATTTTTTCAATATATAGACAGAAAACCAAATGACTTTGATACCCATAGATATGTTAACAACATTTATTACATGAAAATGGGGTTGAATCTTAAACAAAAACAAAAACACACACATGAAGAGACAAACATCCAGAAAACAAAAGGCAGTGGACAATCTTTCATTGGCGGTTTGTAAACAGAGTCTGGATGGCTGCAAGTCAGGGATTCTTTAGCTGTGATTATCAGGGGTTATATTAGATGACACTTGGGATTCCTTCCAATTCTATGAGACTACCAAATATAAAAGCTCTATAATACAACAACTGAAACAGATAAACATGCAAACTGAACGTATGTCAAAATAATATATCCACAGTGTGTGAACAACCATGGAATAATCTAAGTGAAAAAGAACCCCTCTAAGCTGTGTATGATATGTTCTTGTAGATCCTCAATCATATTCTTTAGATATGCTGAAATGCCACCAGAATATGATCTTGGTCAGGTTTTACAGTCCAGCCCACAACTGCTTCTTACCCTAGAAAGAGAGACGCATTCACTGTCTGAGTGACTGTACTCCAAACGATGCTGCTCTATAATAACTTGCTTTTAACACACAACGATTGCATGGTAGCTGAAATAATCCACAATGGTAGTTCTACTCTGCATAGGCCCATTGAAGTAAATGAGTGTGACCAACTTAGCCCCATTCATTTCAATGGGTCTACTCTGTGCAAGACTCAGTTGAATACAACCCATTGCCTTTAAGCTATCAGTTAAGACCATGGGAGAGTGGGGCAGAACATCTGCATTGCATTCAGTGAGTCACTGTTCAGTCCCTGACTTTGCCACTTAAAAGGGTCAAGTAGCAGGCAAGGGAAAAATCTTCATCCTGAGACCTTGGAGAGGGGCTGCCAGCCAGAGCAGACCAGAAGTAGCCAGTGCGGTACCCTACAGATGCTATGAACTCCAATTCCCCATTCCTGCTGTGTCCTAAATCCCCATTCTGAAATCCAGATGTGCGGTGAACCATTGGCAGGGCAGGAATTTTTGCAAAAATCAAAAGCACGTCCCTTGGCCATGAATTAAGATTGTTGACTTTTGGAAAGTTAGTTCAGAACAACCTATAACTTAACAGCAGAGGGCACTCTTATCTTTGCTTAGGACTCACAGAAAATCACAGTGTCCGCATAGGAACCTATTTTAGCTGCTTTTTGTAGAGATACTCAAGACATATAGCCCTGGCTTACATGCAAGGGCATGGCTGTCTAGGCTTTGGAGAGCTAACAAAAACATCTTAATCCTGTGCTATTTTAACACATCACAACTCTGATAAAAGATCCTGTAATCTGTAAGGAATTTGCTTGATTGGATCTGCTTCTTCCAGGCATATTGGGAAAGGAGTTAGATGGGGCAATGAAATCTCTGCCCCCAGCTGCTGGAAATCTTACTCTATGTACCCTGCTTCCCAGAAACTATCTGCATGCACCCACTTTGCTCTTTCCAAAACAATACCTGAACTGAAACACAGCCATCCTTCGGAATTCACACTTCTCCACATTTTGCAATGCCTTTCTCCAATCCAAAAATGTGTGTATTGGGGGGAAGAGTGAATAATAAATGTAGTGCATCTAAATATGTGATGTTGGGGGAAATTGCTTGCAAAAGTTGTACATTAGGAGAAATTTGCACTAAAATGCTGATACATTTCAACGGAATTTATTTATTTTTTTAATTGCAAACTGACATGCAAATGTGGAGAACCGAACCTAAGACAGGAGGCGAGGGAATGAGAAATGTCCGAAACCCAAAATGGACAGATCCACCCATCTGCCCGGGTTTCTTTAGTTGTGATTCCTGCACTATAGATGGCTCTTGGGGTTCCCTTCCGACTCGACAGTTCTGTGATTCATCTCTAAATCTTGGTGCTGATTCATCTTTTCTCTGTGTTTCCTTTACTGAAGCTGCTCAAGAAAATGACCCAAACTGGGGAGACCTCCTGCCTCCTGATGGTCGTGAAGATTTTAAAAGAGGAAGATAGAGCATTGTTGCAAAGCCACTGTCACTCCAGGGCCATGACGATCCTAAAGAACAAGCAAGGGGGAGGTTACATCAAAGAAGCCATCGTCTACCTCTCCTTTGCCATCACCGCAGCAGGTGAGACACCCCACTGTAGTCAACTTTGCACAAAACCAGGCGCGCAGGTCAATACTAATGGGCAAAACCTATCCCTCCCCCTTTATTTCTACAGGTTTTTTTAATTCCCCATGCTCTTGAATATATATGGGGACTGGACTACTTCAATGCACTCTTTGTGGGGCTGCCCTTGAAGATAATAATAATAATAATAATGATAATAATAATAAAATAGTAAAATTTTATTTATATCCCGCCCTCCCCAGCCGAAGCCAGGCTCAGAGCAGCTAACAACAGTAAAATAATAGAGCATACTAAAACCAATTCAAGATGGCAAGGGAACTTCAATGGCTTCCAGATCATAGCAGCCACATTACTGCCTGGGGTTGCATTCAGATCTCATATATGTCAGTTTGCATTTCTTAGTACAGAAAGCATTGATCTGATAGTGTACAGATCTTTCCTATTCTACTTAATTCAAGAGGGTTCTGGAAGCTTCTCTACATGAAAGAAACAAGCAGAAGGTTCATGATGTTTGGGTTATTCCTTCAGAGAAGCTGAGTTCAGCTGGTTTAAACTGGTTCTGTTATATCTTTCTGTCAAGGTCATGCTGACTATAAGAGTGAGGCCAGAAGGAGCCTGGGTTTCATTCTCTCTCTTTCTCTCTCTTTTCCTTTTGGTGTGGTGTTCTGTATATAGTGTTAAGGTTTAGTCTTCTTATAAGTACAGTATTGTAAGTTTAAAGTTAAGTCTGCTGCAACTGGATTTTTTATGGACAGTGCCAATCCTGAATGTATTGGATTTGTGACTATTATGCTCATTTGCCTTCAGTAGCAATAAAGCTGTACTGGATGAAATGCCTCTGCTCTATTTTGGGGGGAATCCTGCAACGTGTTTAAGTTGTTACTCTGCTAACTATACATTGGAATCTACTCAGGATCAATATTGAGTAGAATTTAAATGTCAATGTAACCCCCCACCCCTACCCCCATTTTAAAACAGTTGCATTTGTCAGTTCTTTCTGGGCCCAGTTCAAGATACTCACATTAGTGCTTAAAAGCCCTAAATGACTTGGGCCCCAAATATCTGAAAGATCTGCCTGCTATCTTTGCATATTTGAAAAGTCTGCCTGTTATTTCTCCAGATGCCAGGTTCAGAATTGGTTGTTTTCTGGGCCCTGGGCATATGGCACGAGTTCCTGCAAAAGAATAAAGCTCCATTTTGTTCAGGGAGATAAAAGGCACCCCTGTCTACCCGAATTGCTTGCAGCTAGAGCATATCACGGAAGAGACTTGTCGCAGGGAGGATTGCTGAGGCAACAAGTCTTTTCAAACTGGGTCATGTGATAGTCAGTTGACAGTCACTGAGAAGCAGTCAAGAGCCCAGCGGAGGAACCAATGGGTGTTAGGTCTAGTTTCTACCAAACTGGCGAACCTGTGTCTGGGCTACATCACTTCAAGATTAAGTTGGGGCTCAGCAGAGCCAAGGCACATCTAATCATAATCATAATCCTGTCCAAGCAGCAGTTAAAGCCTTGGGACTAGGACCTAGGAGATCAGGGTTACAAATCCCCACTCAGCCAAGAAACTCACTGGGTGACCTTGGGCCAGTTACTGCTTCTCTCAGCCTCATCTCCCTCACAGGGTTGTTGTGAAGCTATAATGGAGAAAGGGAGAGAAGCCATGCACACCACCTTGAACTGCTTGGAGGAACGGTGGGACCAAAATGCAAAATTAAAAACAATAACAGAAAAAAGCAGCTATTAAATACTAATCTTAGATAGAGCCTAACAAGTACTAATCAGAATTAATTAGGATGATGGAAAAGGTTCTATCTCAGATTAGGCATGTAAGGATCTGTCAAATTCACTTCTCCAATCACTAATTTCCCCAATCTTAAATTCACTTCTACACATTTAGCAGCAATTTGCAAAAAGCAAAAACAAACCAAAAAGAACCCTACGATCCTCATGAAAATTCATAAGGATTTTAGTGCAAATTTCTCTTAATATGCAGCATTTTGACTGATGTAACATTTGTGCAAGCAATTTTCATTAATGTTTCACTGATAATGTTTCATTTTCATGCACGCTTTCTGTTTTGCTCCAGGAGGTTATGCTGTCGATTCGCTTCTTAGCAGGGCCCGCTGTTACGGGCATCTTGGGCTGAAGAAAACTGCCATATTTGATTTCAATGCCATCCTAAAAGAAGACCCCACAAATGCCCAGGCACTGAGTGGGAAAGGATTTGTTCATCTAGCTCTGAACCAGAAAAAGGTAAGAACGGGGTAGTTTTATTTTTCTGTTTACTTACTTACTTACTAAACAAGACTTTGAGCCAGAGGAAGAATCATAGCTCAGTTGGTTAGAGCATGGTGCTGATATTGCAAGGTTGCAAGTTGGGCCTAGTGGATATAAGGACAGTCCAAGACGAACCATAGGATCATAGAACTGTAGAGTTGGAAGGGACCCCAAGGGTTATCAAGCCCAACCCCTGCTATTGCTGGCTGAGGCAAAGGACAAGATAATGCTCTCAGTCAGAGTCTGGGAGTCAGCTGGGCTGGTGGGGCTGACAGATCTCTGCCCTCCAATAGGACCCCAACCTCCGTTGCCCAATTATCCCAAATGGCGGTGCCAAGTCTGATTTTTTGGGGGGCGGGAGGGGGAGTTGTGCAGGGCTGCTCTAACCACTGCACCACTCGCTGGCTCTCAGGCCATGCCAGGATAATGATGTGAAGAAAGAGGAGGGGAAGAATAAGAGGCCTGAGGGACAACAAGAGAGAGAAGATCTGACTGAGCTATAAAGGCTTTCCTTTCTCTCTCTGCTAAATCCCATAAAGGCCTGGAAGGGGACAAAAAGGGATATTTTGATAAAGGTTAAACAGGATTAACATTTTGAAAACCCTCCCCCCCCACACTTCTCTCCCCCTCCCCTTTCAACCATTAAATGCAAACTGTGTCTGTATCAGCAGCCCCCAAGTGGCCTGTCTTAATGGGGAAGGTTGTGATGGCTAGCTTATCTGCCTTCCGAGATAGCAGGCGCATGACAGTGAAGAGGCTTTGATGTTCCCTGTCGCATGCATCTTGCATGCATCTTTAATACCTCGGGATTGAAAAGAAAGCCCTTTGTTTACCAAACTAATAGAAAAGGCAGATAATTAAATGTCATTTTGGCTTTGAGCAGGACAGGCGGGCAGGGGAAGCATAGAAATTAGCTCACAATACTTTTGCTCTGGCTAATTAAACTCTTTTAGCGCCTCCTTTGATTTTGAAGGGCACACAGGAGTGTCTTATAACACCTGGTAAGGGGCAGGAGCCAATGTAGGGGAGAGTGACTGGTCTGTGCGCACTGTGCGCTGAGCCAAGAGGGTGTCACAACCATGACTTAGAACAGAAGGCAAGAGGTGACCTTGAGCGAGTCGCTGACTCTCACCCTGATGTACCTCACAGAGTCGTTGTATGCCCTTGAGCTCCTTGAAGAAAATGGTGGAATATAAATGCAAATATTGTTGTTGTTGATAATGATAATCAGGGCTTTTTCCCCCCAACCAGAGTGTGCTGGAGCACAGTTCCAGCACCTTTTTCCGGAGCCTCCAAACAACAACTCATGGTGCTGAGCCCTGGCATGAACCAACTCCTGAACCAATGACTCTTCCTCCTTCTCCCTCACACACACAACCAATGCTGAGACGACTGTGCTATTGCTCCTCCCCATAGGCAGAGGCCGCTGTGAGGCCTACCCGCAGGCTGCTGAGCCATCCCTTCTTCCTCCTCACTCTGGCTGCTCTAGCAGGAGGCAGCGGGGAAGCCCATGGCGCTGGAGGAAGCAAGTGAGGAGAGAGGGGGGAGTGGAGAAGAAGCCAGACTGTGGTGTGAGCGGATCACTGCAAGGAGGAGGAGGAGGAGGAGGAGGAGGAGGAGGAGGAGGAGGAGGAGGAAGAAGAAAAGAAGAAGAAGAAGAAGAAGAAGAAGAAGAAGAAGAAGAAGAAGAAGCAGCAGCAGCAGCAGCAGCAGCAGCCGCCCAGGTGCCCAGGGATGACCACAAGCCTGTGGATGGGAGACAACTGATAATAATGACAACAGATGATGTAAACCAACCAGAGCTGTGCTTTTTTAAAAAAAACTACTCTTGTTTTATCCACATAGGAGGCTGTGCACGATCTGACCTCAGCCCTAAGAGCCAACCCAGCCGTAGCAGTTCAAGAAATTCTTTCATTAAAGGAGGAGGCCCAGGTGTTGATCCATCAGTGGTTGTATGACCACTGCTGGACTAGGCTGTCGGAGTTCGTTGCTACCAAAGAGCCACCCGTTGGAGATACACTGAAGGACCTCGCTGTAGCCGGGGCACTGCTTGTGAAAATAAAGAGCAAGGACACAGAGAGTCACATGCTTTATGTGGACCTTTTAGCTGCCGATGGTAAGAGAACTTTCAAATATCTTGGAGTACCGTCTCATTATTTGGCATTACTGTCACCCACTGTTTCTTAGCAACAAATGGAACCTGGTTAGTCTTCCCAAGGTGTGATGATTATCAGCTTATGATAGGGCAGAAGCCCCAGTGTTGCAGGATGCGCTCCCTGCTGAAACATGGAAGAGGCCCCATCAGCATTGGCATTCTGCCGGCTTTCGATAATGCAGCTGTTTACCCAGGTGTTCCCTTGATCTCTTCACCTGAGTCTCCTGTTTGAACTGCTGTGTGCATTTTAATTGTGGTTGTTTAGATTGTAATGTTTCTGTAGCTTGTTTTTATACTTCGTAAATAGCTTAGAAGTCTATTCTGACATTAAGCAGAATGATGATGATGATGATGATCTAGGGTTGCCATATTTCAAAAAGTAGAAACCAGGACACACCAAACATTTTAACAAAAACGCACACACAAAAAAGTGATTTTTCGATTGACTTGCCTAAAATCCAGGACAAAGCGCCACATGGAACACCATCAGAATAAGCTCCAGGTGAGCTTCCCTGATGGGCAGGGAGAGACTGAGGAAATAACTTTCCCATTTTGCTTCTTCTTGTTGTTCTGATCACAAAGGGGTTCCAAAAGCTTCCTTATTTTATCAACAGCAGTTATGAACTGGTTTTCTAATGGAAAAATCCCTTGTGTCAGTGCATGGAATATTAAAATCACAGTTTGAAATGTGGGCACACATTTCAATTTCGTATGTTCAGAGTATGTTGCATGTGGATGTCTCATGTCAGTCACCTTTACAACAGTTTTGTAAGGTAGGCTGATACCAATATTCCCTTGGAGCCCCTCAGAGATCCATTGGGCAGGCAGCTGCCATTTACTGCATCAACAGAAGCATAGTGACCAGATCGAGGAAAGTAATAACACCACTCTGTTCTGCTTTGGTTGTACAAAAATGTCCATGTTAGGAGAAAGTCATGCTAAGATTCTGATGAATTTTCGTGAGAATGTCATCTTCTTTCTTTTAAGTTCAAATTGATGTGGAAATTTAAGAAGGAAACATTAGAAACTGAGAGAAGCAAGAACTATATTAGCCTATAGTAACCAGTTTATTGATGTTCATTGGCAGGGAGAGACAATGAGGCTCTGGCGCACCTCCAGGGAGAGTTTGGTCACTCTGCACCCAATGATTCCATCAATGCTCGCTTTGGAATGCTCCAAGCCAAGAAGAGCCACATGAATGTCGCAGCCCATATTTTGGCCAGTTTGGCCACAAATTACAAAGATATAGGATACCTGATGAGCTTCCTGGACACCAAGCAACGGCAAAACCTTGCTCAGGTAAAGCTGCCTGCTTGATGCAAATGATGTCTGTTTTTCAGCTGAAGTTATCCCTGCTTCTCCACCAGTGAACATACCAACTCGTCTAATTGAACACTATCATATTGGGAGATATGCTGGAGAAACAAGAGAGCAGTTGAACAGATAGATCTGGGATGGAGAGCCTGTGGCCTTCCAGATCTTGTTGGGCTGCAGCTCCCACCATCCTTGACCATTGTCCAAGCTGGCTGGGGCTGATGGGACTTGGAGTTCCTATCATGCATGGAGGACCACAAGTTCCTTATCTCCAGATGTTGCTGGACTCCAATTCCTATTGTGTCTGACTCTGTTCCTACATTCTGTGTTCCTCAGCAGGGTTGATGGGACTTGGAGCCCAGAAACACCTGGAGGGTCACAGGTTCACAATCTTTTCTACAATGCAAGCTGGAGAACCTGTGGACCTCAATATAGTGCTGAACTGCAGATCCCATCATCCTTGACCATGGCTTCCCAGCTGTTTTGGACTACAACTCCCATCATCCCTAGCTAGCAGAATCAGTGGTCAGGGATGATGGGCATTGTAGTCCAAAAACAGATGGAGACCCAAGTTTGGAAAACCCTGTCCTTGACCATTGCCCAGAGCAGCTGGGGCCAATGGAAAAGTCCCAACAATGTATAGAGTAGCCACAGGTTCCTCATCACCATATTTTTGGACTACAACTCCTATCATGTCTGTTCCTACATTCTGAATTCACCATGCTGTTCACCATGCTGGCTGGGGTAGAAGGGAGTTGGGACCTCATCTGCGTTCATTCTCTCTCTCTCTCTCTCACTCACTCTGCTCAGGATTGCACCAGTATCAGTTTGGAGGTGAAAGAGAGATCCCGCATCCTGGTTCTCCCAGATGATACCTGTTCAGCTTACCCAGGATGTTGGCTTTGTTCCCCTGATCCTGTTCTCTCCCATTGCAAGTGACACCCATCCTTTTTCAAAAACAAACAAGCTGTTTGTGGATTCTGTGAATCAGGCTGGCCTGAACAAACACAAAACAGCTCCTCCCTATAAATAAAAAAAACAGCCACAAAAAACACCACCCTGTGTTGTGTGCTGATATGCTTAATAAATAAAGGGCCTGGAGAGGACTGTTTTGTATGCACCCCTCGCAAGCCAGCAGGAGGGTGTTAAGTAAGCAAGTATTAATTTATCAATCCCTGAGGCAAAGAACCTCTCTTCTCTAAATCAGGCAGGCAGTCGGAGGGGGCATATCTCTTCTGGGAGAAAGAAGCTGGGAGATTTTAAGAACTAATTGCCAATCACCGACTTAATGTGGGAGTTAAAAGGACGACCAAGAACATTACTCCAGGGGGGCAAAGTGACTCCTTACTTAGAAGCGAAATGTTTCTTAGCTACATGCATTTAGCTGCCTTTTCCCTAAGAGGTTTGCATTTCTAGCAAACTAGATTTGCAAGCCTTCCCCCTCCCAAGGTGTCAGGGAGCAACCCTAGCCTATTCCAAATAAGCCAAATTTTTTTTGCCTATTCCAAATAAACAAATGCACCGGGGGGGGGGGCGCACAAATGAGGGACACTTCCAAATTGACATGCATAAGTGGACTTGTGTATATATTCATAAAATCATAGAATTGTAGAGATGGAAGGGACCCTAAGGATCTTCTAGTCCAACCCCCTGCAATGCAGGAATATGCAGTTGTCCCATACATTCCTTCCATGTTGAGATACATCAGCAGCTTCAGCATCAGTTACACTCAGGGCAATGTTCCCTTCTTGGGGGCTGCATGCCGGTGGTGGGTGAAGCCAGAGAAAAACATGGGAGGAGCAAGGAATGCATTTTTTAAAAAAACTTTTGGGACAGTAGGTGATTTTCTAAACACCCCCACCCACCCTTCTCTGTCCTCCTCCAAGGCAGGTAAGAAGCATTCTCAGAATTCAAGGACACATTCCTCAAGGAGGATTCAAAGCAGGGTTGGTGAGGCGAGTGGCTCAGAGACATGTGTGGCGTTGGGAGAGTCCCAGACAGTAAATTCAGGGACACCCCATGACATTTTCTTACCTGTTGTCAGGGATTGGCTGGACGAAGTGGGGTGGTGGCAGGCACCAGCCGGAAACCCAAGGGAAACTCCAGAGGAGGAAGGCTCGAAGCCTGGGGATTGGTGGTAGGACACCGAGGAAAGGTCAAAAGGAGAAGATTGGGAGGAGAGGCTGGGTGCTGAAGGGGCAGAAGGGGTTAGTGAGCAGGAGGAAACTGTGACAGGGAGCAGTTCAGGCTCTGAGGCTGCAGCAGAGATGGGGGGGTCAAGGGACAGCTGAAGAATCCCTCTCCTGCTGTGACAAGCTCCCCTCCACCCTGGTCTGCAAGAACACAGAGAATAATGAGGAGAGCAGAACAGAGGCCAGAGATGGGCAGATGCAGTTTGAGACTGCCTGGGAAACAGCTGGAAGAGGAGGAGCCTTAGAAGGGGTGGAAGGCAGGGACCTTCAGTCCTGGAAACAGTTCCATAGGGGCAAGAACCTACTGGGAAGTGTTAACTTCACTAGCATGGCACTCTGCCTCGGGCGTGGTGACCTGCATCTGACTCCAGCCCTGACACCTGTGCAGAAGTCCATTTTACTGATGAGCCCTGCACACCTCCGTCCACCAACAGCTGCCCTGTTTTGTCTAGTGGTGGTGCCAACCCTGATACTCCCAGGTCACACAGGACTGTTCTAAGCACTGTCACTCTCAATGATTCTCAGGTCATGCCAGGAGGCATGAGCCAGGCTTAAAGACACATTGCAGCCAGGGAAAAACTATTGGGGAAGGGGTGAAGCACAGCAAGTGAGGAGGTGTGCCCTAGGGAGCAGATAGAGAGGACTGGAGGGCTGCCTGCAGTTTTCAGGCCTGCAGTTCCCCACCTCTGGCCTGTGACATTATGGGAAATTTGAACAGTGGGTCTGTTTCCCAGTCCCAGCCGTTGCCCCATGGAAAAAGGTGTGAGACCTTCAACCCCAGAACCCCCTGCCTTGATCCCCTACAGTCATCAATCAGCAACCAACCAAAAAATCAGTATAACTATACAAGTTATTTTGGCATCCCTCCAGTTGCCCTGATATTTTGGGAGCTAAATTAGGCTGCCGTGTGCATTAGCAGTAATTTTAACAGAAGCAATTTTCTTTCCAGCTCGCGTTGCCAGCTGTAAGATGTGAGATGCAATAAAGGAACTTACTGGCAGCTGGTTTAAACATGAAGCATTTCCCTGGCCTTGGTCAAAGTCTTCAGCGATAGCTCTTTTCAAAATTCAGAGCTGCTGTTCCAGTGTGGAATGAAAAGAATGAGGCAGGTGGGTGTGTTTAGTCTGGAAAAGAGAAGACTGAGAGGTGAGATAATAGCTGTCTTCAAATATCTGAAGGGCTGCCAAATGGAAGATGGAGCAAGCTTGTTTTCTCCTGCAGGACCTGAACCAGTGGATTCAAAGGACAAGAAAGGAGATTCCTTCTAAACATTAGGAAGAACTTTCTGACGGTAAGAGCTGTTCAACAGTTTAATAGAATCCCTCTGAAGGTGGTGGACTCCTTCATTTGAGGGGGTTTTTTAACAGATGTTGGATGGCCACCTGTAAGGGACTCCTTAGCTGTGATTCCTGCATTGCAGGCGGTTGGGCTAGATGACCCTGAGGGTCCTTTCCAACTCTGCAGTTCTATGATTCTGTTAATATAGCCAGTGATATAGTCACTTTAACCACAATGCCACACTCCTTCAAGAACACAAGGCATGGATGAGCTCATTTTAGTAAAGAGTAGAATAAGGCAAGAAGATCAAACCGATCCATTCTTAAGGAAATCAGCCCTGAGTGCTCACTGGAAGGACAAATCCTGAAGCTGAGGCTCCAATACTTTGGCCACCTCATGAGAAGAGAAGACTCCCTGGAAAAGACCCTGATGTTGGGAAAGATTGAGGGCACAAGGAGAAGGGGATGACAGAGGACGAGATGGTTGGACAGTGTTCTCAAAGCTACGAACATGAGTTTGACCAAACTGTGGGAGGCAGTGGAAGACAGGAGTGCCTGGTGTGCTCTGGTCCATGAGGTCACGAAGAGTCGGACAACTAAACAACAACAACAACTAAACAAGGATTGTCAACTAAGCCCCCCTTTTTTTTACTCAGAGGAGACCCACTGAAATTAATAGATCTAATCTAAGTCATGTCCATTAATTTCAATGAGTTCGTTATTTACTTCAGGATAGATACATTCAGAGTAGACCCATTGGAGTTAATGGTCTTAAGCTAGAGGCAGAGCCATTCTAGTTGCATCCCCGTCCTTCTCCCTGCTGAGTTCTACTGGGACAAAGAAGGAAGAGGATGGGCAATACCACCCTCTAGACTGGTTGTAAGTAAAAATGACCAGCTGAGAGAAGATTCAGATTGGTGGGGCAATACCCTATTTGCCCTGATAAAGCAGCCCTCTGCACCGCTTGTCGGTGGCATTGTTTATTACTTAAACATTTGCTCTGCAGCAGTGTGGTGAAAGCGCTGTTTTCGTTTCTGAGCACTAAAGGAGCAGTAATGAGAAATCCATTAGAGCCACGGTGTCCTAATGAAGGTCTCCTGATTGAAATGGAAGGAAAGAGCTAACTCCTAGGGGCTGTGGGGGCTTCGGCCCCCATAATAAAATATTTGAGATATTTTCTCCACGTGATGTTATCTGAGTTATCAATATTCTTCCTTGTTCATCTTTAAATAGTTTTTTGGGGGTTCCAACTCTGGTTTTATATACATTACAACTCCTCTCTTTTTTGTTAAATCAGAGGTTGCAAAGTCCTTTCCCAGACTTCGATTTATCAAAATTCTTCTATGTTTCTTTGCAATGTGTGTTTCTTGGAGGCATATCACACCCAAATTTATAGCTTCTTTACAACATGTTCAATTTTATTCCTTTTAGTCTTATTATTCAGTCTGTTTACATGCCAAGTTAGAATTTTCAAATCCATCTTGTTCCATATTTATTTCTCTTTCGCCTCCATTTCTGTTGAATCTTCCTCTTCCTGTCCAGCTTCCAGTCCCCTGTCTGGAATCCTAGAGATGTCCAACACTCAGTGGTAGAGCATCTGCCTTGCATGCAGAAGGTCTGTGTTCAGTTCCCAGCATCTACAAATAGAGCTGAAAAAGTCCATCTGAAACCCTGGAGAGCCAGTCTAGACCAGAGTTTCCCAAGCTTGGGTCTCCAGGTGTATTTGGACTACAACTCACATCATGCCTAGCTGGCAGGACCAGTGGTCAGGGAATTGTAGCCCCAAAATAACTGGAGACCCAAGTTTGGGAAACACTGGTCTAGACATTACAGAGTTAGATGGACCAATGTTCTCACATGATAGAAGACAGCGTCTTGTGCTTCTATGGCACTACAATGAGGATGATGAGAGTTGTTAGGAGACTCTCTACTCCCCCCCCAAAGAGCTACAATTCCCAGAGCTCCCTGAGAAGAGGGATTGTCTGTCAAACCGCTCTGGGAATTGTAGCTGCGTGTGAAGAATAGGGGTCTTCTAGCAACTCTCAACATGTGTTGAGTGTTAAAGTGGTATGATACTGCTTTTAAATGTATAGTGCAGTTGGGGTCTTAGTATGGTGCAACTGGATTTTCTGTATCCTTTGCATGTTGTGATTGATGAGCTATGATGTGATCCTTCCTCCATTTCCTCAGAATATTACTCAGAGCTTCTAGTTTGCACTATGAGAGCAGGATGTTAGATCAGATGCTCCTTTGGCCAGATCCAGTAGGCGCTTATTATTTTAGTTTCACCCACTTCACAGAGAGATTAATTCATCAGCCCCAGGATTCCTAGAAAGACATCCAAAACTGGTGAGAAGGAGAAAGAACAACCAAATTACTGCTTTAATTTGTGCTGGTACATGCTGACCTCCCCACCCACCACCCCTGGCAGAAATGTCGCTACGGCTACTTAAACCTCTTCTTGCATAGCTCACAAGTGTTTGGCGTGGAAAATCCAGATTGGTTTCAAATTGTCACTTCAGGCTGAATTCTGTGTTCCCTTTAGTAGATGACATAGAGCATACTATCCGAGAGCAACAGTGGTGTCGTGCAAGCAACTTTATAAGCACACGGTCCTCATTTATGTATTTTTCTTCAAATGAAAGCATCATGAGTTATTGGATCCTAAGCATGTGTGCTTGGGAAGTAAAGTCATGGTGAATTTACAGGAACATAAGATGCTATCTTAGGTCAAGTCAAACCATTGGTTCATCTAGCTCAGTATTGTCAACACCCACTGGCAGTGCCTCTCCGAGGTTTCAGATAGGGGGTATTCCCAGTCCCACTTGAAAATGCCAGGGATTGATCCTGGGGCAACATCCATGCAAAACAGACAGAGGGAATTCCCAATGTTGTCCAGAAATTCAAGAGTTTAAAATTATAGAATCATAGAATTGTAGAATGGAAATGGATGTCCAAGTTCATCTAGTCCAGGGGTGGCCAACTCCCAAGAGACTGCGATCTACTCACAGAGTTAAAAACTGGTAGTGACCTACCCCCCTTTTGGGGGTTCAGGTCAAAATTGTTGAGCTTTACTTAGGGAGGAGGAAAGCCCCGTTTTTCTGGGGTTCAGGTCAAACATGTTGATCTTTTTTTAGGGGAGCCGAATTTGTTGAGCTTCTTTGGGGGGAGCCAGTGATCTACCAGTGATCTACCACAGACGTGCAGTGATCTACCAGTAGGTCTCGATCTACCTGCTGGACATGCCTGATCTAGTCCAATGCAGGAATCACAGCTAAAGAATCCCTGACAGATGGCCATCCAACCTCTGGTTACAAACTTCCAATGAAGAAAAGTCCACCATCTTCCAAGTGAGTCCATTCCACTATCGAACAGCTCCTACTGTGAGAAAGTTCTTCCTAATGATTAGTCACAGTCTCCTTCCTTGTCTTTTGAATCAATGGGTTAGGGTCCTACTCTCTGGAGCAGCAGAGGACAAACTTGCTCCATATCACAGTCTCCAGACTAAACATACCCAAACCCTTCATAGCCAACTTCTTGGGACTTTCGGCATGCAAAGCAAATACTCCACCACTGAGCTACAGCTCTTTAGTCAGACTTACTTCTGAGAAAAGAACCTAATTTAGGACTGGGGGTAACCAATATTCTTCCTGTCTCTAGGTTGCTTCCAAAGAAGGAAATGCACTGGTGAAGGAGCAATTCTACACAAAGGCTGTTGGCTACTACTCACTGGCCGTCTTGGCAAGTAATGGCAATCCACGATATCTCCGCCAACGTGCTGCTTGCCTAGCCCACCTGAAGGACTACAATAAGGCTTTGACGGACATGGACAAGGTGATCTCCAACCACGGGAAGAACAGCCTGAAGACTCAGATTGAGGACTACTGCTTGCAGGGACATCTGCTCTTGTCCACCTCCAAGGAGGAACTGGCGGTCAAGCGGTACATCCAAGCTCTTCAGCTGGGACAGTCTTTGGCTCTGACCATCATTGCTGCCGATCACGATGGGGATGCACTGTCCAAAGCATTCCTGCAAACTGCTCAGTCCTCCTTTGCAGCAAAACGTTATGAAGAATCCTGGAAGACTGCAGAGTATGGGCTGATGATCAACCAAAACAACGCTGAGCTTAAGAGACTTAAAATAAGACTTAAACGGGAGGCATCTGGATGCAGAGTACAATAATTTATTCAGTCTGGGTCACAGGAGGCTTTCTCATGACCTGCATTTTTAAATCAACCATCTCAGTTTGCATTTCCCAAAGTAACATATTTACTAGAACATAGTTACTCATCAGTTTTCACACATTGCTCAATGTTGTGATACTATAGCTCCCCAAAAATGTAGCAGAGAGCATATTTTAGAGATGAGACATACAAGTGTGTATTTTATGAGACAGTGTGTTGAAAATTAATGTGATTTTTTGTGCATTTTTTTAAATTGCAGAGTAGTGCAGAAATGGACTTAGGAATGAGCACATTCAAAGCAGACACAGACAGACAAATGAATGGATCCATCCTTCCTTATTCTTCAGTGCTTTTGTTCAGCAAACCTCCACAAGCACACATTTTCTTCTTTCTTTTCTCTCTCTTTTGCTTGTAAAGACCAGAGAACAAATATGGAGGTGCCTTTTATTCTGTAGCACCCTGTTTCTTGAATGCCCTCCATATAACAAAATCATACTGTCCAAGTTGTGAATTTTTATTTTTTTAAATCAAACGAATATTCGAAAGGCAGGAAGAAGGTAAGAATTTTCTTTTTTTTTCTTTTTCTTTTTTTAAATGATATTAAAATTTCAGAAAAAAGAGTTACATAAAAGCAAGAAAAGCAAAAACAAAAGACAGAAGTAAAAATACAAGAAAAATACAAAATACAGAATAAAAGAATAAAAAACACTTTAAAAAAATAGATCAATCTTTCCATGCCTTACATTCATATCCTTGTTTCCCTGACCTCCTCATACCTCCCTTTTTTGTATTCCAATTCAATTAGTTAATTCAGCAGTTTCTTTCCCTCTTTATTTTCTCTTAATCCTTTAACTTAATATACCATAACTTTAAATTTTCACCTGTTATCAATCCATTTTTACACACACCTTTATAGCATTACTGCTTAAACCACCTAACTTCATTCTAACATCATTCTAACATTCATTATTTTTGCAATATTTCTGTAGATAGTCTTTAAATTTCTTCCAATCTTCTTCCACCAACTCTTCTCCCTGGTCTCGGATTCTGCCAGTCATTTCCGCCAATTCCATGTAGTCCATCACCTTCATCTGCCATTCTTCCAGAGTGGGTAGTTCTTGTGTCTTCCAATACTTTGCAATAAGTATTCTTGCTGCTGTTGTGGCATACATAAAGAAAGTTCTATCCTTCTTTAACACCAATTGGCCCACTATGCCCAGGAGAAAGGCCTCTGGTTTCTTCAAGAAGGTATATTTAAATACCTTTTTCAATTCATTATAGATCATCTCCCAGAAAGCCTTAATCCTTGGGCACGTCCACCAAAGGTGAAAGAATGTACCTTCAGTTTCTTTACATTTCCAACATTTATTGTCGGGCAAATGATAGATTTTTGCAAGCTTGACTGGTGTCATGTACCACCTGTATATCATTTTCATAATATTCTCTCTTAAGGCATTGCATGCCGTAAACTTCATACCTGTGGTCCATAACTGTTCCCAGTCAGCCATCATTATGTTATGTCCAACATCTTGAGCCCATTTAATCATAGCAGATTTCACCGTTTCATCCTGAGTATTCCATTTCAACAGCAAGTTATACATCTTTGACAAAATCTTAGTTTTGGGTTCTAACAGTTCTGTTTCTAATTTTGATTTTTCCACCTGGAAGCCAATTTTCTTATCCAAATTATATGCCTCCATTATCTGATAATAATGAAGCCAGTCTCGCACTTTGTTTTTTAATTTCTCAAAACTCTGCAGTTTCAATCTATCTCCATCTTGTTCCAAAATTTCCCAATATTTCGGCCATTTGGCCTCCATATTGAGCTTTTTCAGAGCCTTCGCTTCCATCGGTGACAGCCATCTTGGAGTTTTATTTTCAAGTAGATCCTTATATCTTATCCAAACATTAAACAATGCTTTCCTGACAATATGGTTTTTAAATGCTTTATGTGCTTTGACCTTATCATACCACAAGTATGCATGCCACCCAAATACATTGTTAAAACCTTCTAAGTCCAAAATGTCTGCGTTTTCCAGAAGCAGCCATTCTTTCAACCAGCAAAAAGCTGCTGATTCATAATAAAGTTTAAGGTCTGGCAGGGCAAATCCACCTCTTTCCTTTGCATCTCTTAGTATTTTAAATTTTATTCTAGGCTTCTTGCCCTGCCAGACAAATCTAGAAATATATCTCTGCCACTTCTTGAAACAGTCCATTTTGTCCACAATTTGCAATGTTTGAAACAAAAACAACATTCTAGGCAATACATTCATTTTTATCGCAGCAATACGACCCAGCAGTGAAAGCTTCAAATTAGGTAAGAATATTCAGCCAACTAGTGAACCCAGTATTTTTCAGAATCATTTACAGCTGCTGTTCGTATACATATTTATTGGGGAGTAAGACTGATCTAACTCAATGGGGTTTACTTTTGAGCAATAGGATCAGTGGACATCATTATTTATCATCCTTGCTTTCCTCAGCCAAGGATTTTTGCTGGTCCCAGTTCATAGAAGATCTTCTCATAGAAAAAGCTGCTCCATACTACTTCACGGATGGCAGGAGGGTGGGCATTTAGCAAAATGGAGAATCTCAGTGAAATGGTCTCTCCAGTTTCTCTGCCTGCACACAGAGTGGAGGATTTCAAGAGGGCGTGTCCTAGTACAAGGCAGCTTTCATGTTAGCATGTATCAGCGATAGAGAACCTCAGGTCCAGAGGTCAAAATGTGGCCTGTGGCTTCTCTATATGGCCTCTGGAACTCTCCCCACACCACACCCCTCAGTGGTTCTGCTTCATATCCTCCTTGAGTGTTTTTGCCTGGCTCAATTGTGTCATTGAATTCTGGTACTGCCTCTTGCTTGCCCAAATGGAAGAGGTGTGTTTGTAAACGATGTGAAAGATGAAGTTAATATTCGTTGCTCTGACCGCCTTTGCCCCATCCTCATCTGCTACTTGCATGTGGCACCTGGAAGGTTGTCCAGGTGGGAATGTGGTCCTCATATTGAAAAAGGCCCCTTATAGAATCACAGGGTTGTAGAGTTGGAAGAGACCCAAAGGGTCCTCTAGCCCATGGGTAGGCAAACTAAGACCCGGGGGCCAGATCCGGCCCAATCGCCTTCTAAATCCGGCCCGTGGATGGTCCTGGAATCCATCTATTTTTACATGAGTAGAATGCGTCCTTTTATTTAAAATGCATCTCTGGGTTATTTGTGGGGCATAGGAAGTCGTTCATCTTTTTTTTTCCAAAATATACTCTGGCCCCCCACAAATTCTGAGGGACAGTGGACCGGCCCCCTGCTGAAAAAGTTTGCTGACCCCTGTCTAGCCCAACCTCCTGCAATGCAGGGATCACAAGCCTCATCCCTTTTGTGTATCATGCAACTGTCTTGCACTGTCTGTAGGAGTAAGCCATACTCAGCCTAGTAGGGATTGCTTCTGTGTAGGAATGAGCTGTGTAACTTGAGTATCACTTCACCACCTCCCCACACCACCGCAGTTGCACCAGGTTCCCTGGCTGGTTGTACCAAATTCTCCTTCCAAAGCCAAGCAACCTTTGTGCAAAGACCTCATGGCAGGCGGGGGTCACTGGTGCATAATTGTTTCTGCTGATCAAAAAGAGGGAGGGGGAAATCCGCAGAACACTTTCTTCGCAAGCACATGTTCTGACTTCCATTCCACCACGCCCACACGCTTCAAGTGGCAGACATTCAATGAAAGAGTTTTACTGTTGAAGTTTTGGGGAAGGAAATGTGATTGACTCGTGTAATGAGACCCATCATATCCCCCCTCCCTGAAAAATGTCAGTGATTCCGCCATATCATCGCCTCCCTTTTAATTGCTTCTTCTGTTCTGAACAATTGGTGTCAAAAGGAACAGCTGACAGCCTTTTCTCCTTAGCAAACGTGCCTCCCTTTTCATCCATCGGAAGATGGATATGATACCCTCATTCCCACTTTGCAGGCGCTTTTGTTGCCGTACGGAGCCACTTCTGAGCTCTGACAGACAAATTGGAGGGCGTCTGGTTGCAATCAAGTCTTCCCAGGTATTTTGCAAGCAGAGTCTCCAGCTTACTGTGACCTGGGGTTGCTGCAATTGACAGGCCTTTAATTTGGGAAACAGAAGCCCCCAGATTTCTGCAGCTGAAGCAAATGATCGTAATTAGGTTACTTTCCAAGTTTCTGCAAGAACCCATGTTCGTAATCGCTAATGTGATTTTCAGCCGTGCTAAAAGAGCTGTTGTTGCCAAGCAATGGGACATAATGGTTCTGCTTCATTCCGCGCTGGTTTAACGTCTTGTAGAGGACCGTGTCTAGTTCTGGGATGTCACGCTTTAAGGAGGGATAGAGAGAAACTGGGACAAGAGTCAGTGTGGTGTTGTGGCTAGAGTACAAGACTGAGACCTGGCAGGCCAGGGTTCAAATCTCCACTCAGCCAGGACCTTGGGCCCAGGCACCATCTCTCAGCTTAACCTGCCTCTCACAGGGCAGTGGCATAGCATGGGGGGTTGCCCTTGGCACAAAATTGTTAGGGGGCACAAAATTTCAAAACCCAGAGCTGCCTCAATACAGCTGAATGCTTCCATCACTGGGCTCTGCTGAAAGTGGCTTCTCCCTGCAAACCAGGAAGTGACCTCTCTAGAAAATGGAACAACCCTTCTTTTATTTCTTTTTTCTTTTTTTAAAATAAAGTTTATTCTAGAAAATATATGCACAATCGATATACCATCCTTTACAAAAACATAAAATAAAAATTCCACCGCTGTGACTTCCCTCCACCTCAACTTGACATCTTTTGATATTCTATGTTCTTATTTACATTGTGTTTTTTATATTATTCGATATTCACCTATGATTAATTTTGTCGTGATCCAGTTCAGCTTTACATACATATCCATGCATATCAACAGATTTTCTTTGAAACAGTGTTTTTTTCATATAATCCTCAAAACACTGCCATTCCTTCCTTAATTTCTGGTTTGACTGGTGCCTTATGGCTGCCGTTAATTTAGCCAATTCTATAAATTCACATAGTTTACCTAACCAATCTTCTTTGGTGGGGATGATGTCCCTTTTCCAGTTTCTAGCAAGTAATAATCTGGCTGTGGCTGTGGCATATAAAAATAGCCTTTTCTTATCCTGTGGAATGTCCTTTCCTAAAATGCCCAATAAGTATGCTTCTGGCTTTTTTTTCCTAAAGAGGCTTTGAGCAACCCTTCTTTTCTTATCTCTGTGACTGCGACCTCTTGGGTGACACAGGCTCCATTAGGCAGTTGAATGTACATGTGTACTCTGTCCGTGTTCTCTCCCTCCCACTCCTGCTCTGTGCAGCCCTGGGCACTAGTAATCCCCGCTACGCCACTGTCACAGAGTCATTGTAAAGACAGCATGGGGAGGGAGAGGATGCCACCTCAATTTCTCAGAAGAGAAAGGTGGGATATAAATGTAATTTATACAATAAAACAGGAGAGGAGGCATTCCACAAGAGGAAAGAAAATAATCTGTGGGAAAGGTTGAAAGAACTGGGTATGTGTAGCCTAGAGAAGAAGAGAACTGAGTAAGAACATGAGAGGACTCTTCAAAGGTGTGAAGAGTCGTCATATAAATGAAGGCAAATCGTAAAATTGCAGAGTTGGAAGGGATTCCAAGGGTCATCTAGTCCAACCACCGCAGTACAGGAATCACCGCTTATCACAGGAATGATTGCCATCCTTTCTGTGAATGCTGCCTTTTCAGAGTTAAAACTGCTTGTGGCATCAAAGATTTGCATAATTAAATGCAAACTAACAAAATTCAATTAGTCATAAAGAGTAAATGAAAACATTCCAGTAAATGCACAGCAAAATTAAGCAATCCTCACATAATTCATAATAAGATCTAACAATAAAGATGCAAAACCATAATGCCAAGAGCAGCAAAGTTAAATATTGACATTCCCCACCAACAGTAACTCCTAAACAACACCCCATCCCTAGAGTCTCTAGGCATCCTGAGCAGCAGGTCCTGCAGGACTCACGGGTAGGATGATCATGGATCCCTGCAAAAGTAGCAGCAGACCATCTCCAGGCTAAATTAACCAAATTTGGGTCCCACAGAAGTCAATGGGGTAAACTAAGCATGGTTAACTTAAGCTCCATTCATTTCAATGGGAACTAAGTGCAAGTAAGTGGTAAGTAAGAAGAGGGAGATCACAGTCCCTCCAAGTGTCCCCATTTTCCAAGGACGTCCCTGGTTTAGAGAAGCTGTCCCAGTTTCTGACTTGACCCCGGAATGCCCCACTTTTCCTTAGGATGTCCCTGTTTTCATTGAAGAAATGTTGGTCTGTATGGAGTTATCTGACCCCTGAGCTATCTGAAGGCAATCCTGTAGAGGGAAGGTTAAAAATAAAATTTATTATGTTTTTTATATATGTTGGAAGCTGCCCAGAGTGGCTGGGGCAACCCAGTAAAATGTGTGGGTTATAAATAGTAAAATGATCATTATGGAATGAGACGTCCCTATTTTCATCAGAGAAATGTTGGAGGGTGTGAGCTCAAGAGGCAGAGATGAGTCAGGCTGGTGAAGAGTCATGAGTGTCACCACCTCCTGCTGTGACAAGCTCCCCTCCCCTTCTCTCCCAGAACCAAGGGAGGCATGAAATGGGCAGAGAAGAGACTGACTGCATGATGGTGCAGTCTCCAGTTGCATGGGGGTAAGCCCTGGAAAGGAGGACACAGGCAGCTGTGGGGATGCAGGAACCTTTAGTCCTGGCAACTGGTTTCATGAAGTAAGACCCACAGGGAATGAGCTGCTGTGCTCAACAGGCCTGACACTCAGCCAAGTCTGTGGAGATCATGTTTTTGCTAATAAAGAGTTAACTCCAGCTTGAACTGTATACAGTGGTACCTCGGGTTAGGTACTTAATTCGTTCCGGAGGTCCATTCTTAACCTGAAACTGTTCTTAACCTGAAGCACCACTTTAGCTAATGGGGCCTTCTGCTGCCGCACCGCCGGAGCACGATTTCTGTTCTCATCCCAAAGCAAAGTTCTTAACCCAAGGTACTATTTCTGGGTTAGCGGAGTCTGTAACCTGAAGTGTATGTAACCTGAAGCGTCTGTAACCCGAGGTACCACTGTACTCTGTGACACTCTGCTTGTCATTGATTCTGGTACCACTTCCCATTGGCTTTCTGTCTTCTGCCCCACTAGTCCCAAAGGGTGCCAGCCACCACCGTGTCTATTTTGCCTTGCCAGACTTAGCTCTAAGCATGACTTCCAAACTCAGCCTTTTCCTCGCAGGGCAAAGATGTCCAGGGCTCTTGCCTTGCCCCACAGCCACCTATACCTTCCTTTTGATTTCTATTTCCCTGGGAGTATATAAGGACACCGTTCTGAAGCCGGGAGGCAGATGTTTCTGTTTTAATGACAGCTCATCTAAAAACCATTTTGTTTTACTACCATCACCCCAGGCAAGATTGGAAGCTGCGTTATCGTTTGCATTGTCTGAGCCTTGAGCAATTTCCAATTTGCCGAGGTTCTGGGGAGCCGGCATCCTCATTAATTTAATGTGCTATGCAAAATTACCGTTGGCATCCCAGCCATGCCTTTGGAGACATGGTTCCTTAATCACATTTTGACTCAACCGGTCTGCATCAGAACCTGCCGGCCCGCAAAGCCATTTGTCAATGCCATCTCAAATAAAGGAGCTTGTTGTTTTCGGGAGGCTCGCCTCCCAGGGGTCCAAAGAAACCACATCAGCCCATGAGCACCATAAAGAGAGAGGAGACCCTCATTGCATCCTAAGCTTACAGAAACACTTCTGCATGCAGAGAGAACCACCCTCTAAAATGCCAGCAACTGAGGAGTTTTCTGAGACATTTCTTTTTTCTCATTGCCCTAGAAGAAGAAGAAATTTTCTCGGAACATTCGCCACCATTTCTTTGCTTTGTCTCTCATTAGCTGTGATTCCGGCAATGCAGAAGGTTGAACTCAATTGACCCTTTGGGCCCCTTCCAACTCTAAAGTTCTACGATTACCAAACAAATGTGCATGCACACTCACACAAAGAAACAAGCAGAGTCCCAGGATTGGGAAATTGTAGAGTTGGAAGGGAAACTGAAAACCATCTAGTCCAACCCCCTGCAATGCAGGGCTACGCAGCTGTCTCATATGGGGATTGAACCTGCAACCAGCGCCGGATTTACGTATAAGCTAAACAAGCTATAGCTTAGGGCCCCACTCTCCTGGGGGCCCCCCAAAAAAATTAAAGGAAAAAACTGGATGTACATTTCCAAAATATAAGATAAAAAACAAATAAAATAAAACCTACATACTGCAACAGTGTTTTGTGTTGTATAAGCTCCTATGATGTAAGTAATGCTAGCTTGCTCCCTAAAATATCACTGGTTTGCTCATTTCTATATACAGTGGTACCTCTGGTTGCAAACGGGATCTGTTCCGGAAACCCATTCACAACATGAGCAGAACACCACCCACATCTGCGCTTGCACAGGTCACGATTCGCCGCTTCTGCGCATGCGTGTGACGTCATTTTGAGCGCGAGCGGTGAAACCCGGAAGTAACCCTTTCTGGTACTTCCGGGTCGCCGTGGGACGCAATCTGGAAAGATTTAACCTGAAGCAAACGTAACAAGAGGTATGACTGTATAGGGTGCCTACATTCTGCATGGACTGGTTGCATGGCAACATGTGCAAATGGCTTTAGATACCTATTAGGTCCATAAATTACCATATAGCATATATTCAACACGAAAAACAGTGACAATTTGTTGTTGACAAAGGACAGCTGGACATATAAAGGGCCCCATTACCTTCAGTAGCTTAGGGCCTCATCAAACCTAAATCCGGCCCTGCCTGCAACCTTGGCATTATCAGCACCATACTCTAACCAAGTGAGCTATCCAGGCTGAACCTCTGGCCCAGGGCCTCACTAATCTGGCCCTTGGGATTCTCCCAAGCTTCATCGGTTCCCCACACCCCTCACTGGCCCTGCTTCACACCCTCCTTGAGTGTTTTGGGGGTTTTTTGCCTAGCTGAGAATGCACCATTGAACTCTGATCATGCCCCTTAGTTGCCTGGATGGAGTTTAGAGATCGGGGGCGAGTGAGCATAGAAACAAAGCCTACAGTACAAAGGTAAACTTTGCACCTCTCATAATATAGAACTTATGGACAGACAAATGAAGCTGCATGTTGCAAGATTCAGGACAGATGAAAGAAAATATTTCCTCACACAGCTTATAGTTGAACTATGGACCTCTCTCCCATGGGAGGCAGTGATGGCGCACCAACCTAGATGGCTTTAAAAGAGTATTATACAAATTCATGAAGGAAAAGGGCTATTCTTTGCCCACACAGTCAGAGGCAGATACACTTCTGAATGCCAGTTGCTAGAAGGTGGAGGGGAGAGCCCTCTTGTACTCAAGTCCACAAAGTTCCCAGGATAACAATAAAACACACAGCGATGAAGTATTTTGTTTTATGGGTTCAAATAGGCCACAACTTTATTGGTTACAGATGTGAGCAGTTTGGCGTGGGCATTGGGGTGAAGCTGGCAATATCTTGACTCCTGCCTGTCTGCAAGGAGTCCACTTAAGAGTAAACCCCCCGATAGGGGGTGCCCTGTGACTTACATCAAATAAGGGCACCCCAAGCGGTCCCCGTAGGAGTTTGACGCACAGTGTAAATTAATAATGCAGAGTTTTAAAGAATAAAAGCTTTACTGAATTAAAATAAACTTCTTCATAAACAACATGGTTCCAAACAGTTTGACTGAGATTACATACTCTGTTCATAGCTGAATCAGACAGACTCTGAAATCTTACAGAGAACACAAAAGAGAAACTGGCTACTAAGTCACATGTCAGAATGACTCAACAGTTAGCAGTTAGGCCTGAATAACTTTAGTAGGCCCAAATGACTGTGCAGTCCCAGCACTTCCCAGCCTGCTTTGCTGTTTCTGCTCTCATGTGTCTTTGTCACATGACAGAGTTGTGACATGGCCCTAGACCACACCCAGGCTTTGGACAGAATTCACAGCCCGGATCCCTTTAATAGGATACCCGTACTGAGGAGGGGCAGATGAAGGCAACAACCTCCCCTCCAACCAAACAAAGGTTTACCCAATGCCTAACCTCACAAAAGTTGTGACGATTGTTACTAGGTAGGCAAAAACCCAATGGCCGGTGCCAATTTGCCAAGTATAAAAAAATCCTACCCGGCCCCAACAAAATGGTGACCGACAATTGTCCATAGCAAGGTCATATCTGAGCAAAGCATGAAAAGAGGGTGGGTGGGGCGATCTGGTAATCTGGTTCTTAAGTTCTTATCAGAGTCTGCACCACCTCATTGAAATGAGTTGGGCTGTTTTAACCGAAGAGACATCTGCCACGTAAGGCAAAGCTTGCAGCTGAGACCAGAATGGCTGCTCCTATATGAAGCTCAGTTGCTGAAGCAACATTAGAGTTTTGCCCTCTATACAGGCAGCCTGACCACTTGCCTTGCATGAGGTCAGTGACTGCATCATAAAAGGATGCTCCTTAAATCCTGACGCAGCCAAAAGGTGAGTTGGCAGTGTTTTGTGCCAGTGGGAGCTTCTGCGCTGTGTTATAAAAGGAAGCCCCAGCCAGAATACATTCAATAACCAATGGCTGCTTGAGGGGGTATTTAGCAAAGCACATCCTGATGCATGCCCTCATTTGACAATGGGTTTTGATATGCTTCCTTGTAATAATTCTACATGGTGCCACAGGGTGGTGTTAATTTAGGACATTGTGGGGAATGTAAATGGATGAGCACTTAGAGCTCATTGGAGGAAAGGCCAGGTATAAGCATATAATTCAGTAAGCAAGGGCCATTATCAGAGTTCAAAGACACATTCCAACCAGGCAAAAGTACTCAGGATACAAAGCAGAACCCAAGAGGTGTGTGGCCTGGGTAGAGCTCCAAAGACCAGATGGAGAAGCTTGGAGGGCCACATTTGGCCCCCCAGGCCTGTGGTTCACCACCATTGATCTTAGAAAAAGGTCATGGCTCAGTAGTAAGTGTTATTAATATCATGGGGTTATATCCAGTGGCGAAGGAACCCTTTCCGGCACCAGGGGTGGCGCAGCCTGTATGGACTGCGCATGTGCTCTCTATACAGAATGCAGCACATGCGCAGTCAGTATGGGCTGATGCTCATGCGCGGTGGCCGCATGGGCTGCTGCGTCCACAGCGACCGTACAGACGGCGCAAGAACAGCGCCCATACAGACTGTGCACACCCTCAGCCGCTCTACAGCTGGGGGGAGGCAGGGGCCATCTTGTCACCCCTCCCAGAGTGGCATCTGGGGCGACCCACCCCTTACGCCCCTGGTTGTATCCAATGAAGTTCTAATCAAAATAGACCCATTGAAATGAATGGACTCCAGTTAGTCATGTCCATTATCATGGCTAACATGTTACTGCTTTGAGTAGAATTAGCATTAGATGTAACTCTTGATGTCTACCAACAGGAACTATGTAAAAAGTTGTGGCAGTGAGGCAAAATGGTGGCTGTGGGATTTGGAGATAGGGTGCACACTTGTGCTCATGTGCTGCTTTGTGGGCTCCCAATTGGGGCATCTGGTTGTCCACAGTGGAGATAAGAGGTTGGACTAGATGGGCCATGGACCTGATCCAGCAGGCTCTTCTTGTGCCCTTTCTGGTGCTAGCATTGGTTCAGTCAAAAAGCATAGCTAGGGGGTAGACCCTGCAAGTGAGGAGGCACTGGGCAGGCTGCAGCACCAAAGCCAACCTGAGAGAAGTTGGCTGGTGGGTTCCAGACCTCTCTTTGAGAAATGCTCTTCTGCAGCCTTCACAGGTGCAAAATGCTTGCACTAAAATGTGATTGATTTTTTTTCTCCTGGGCAATTTCAGCACAAGGACGGAATGGGTAATTAGCATTTTGCCAATGTTGCACACAGCCTGGTCCCTTAATGGACTTGGAGTATGATTATTATTGTTATCTTAATTGACCGCCTCCTCAACTGCCTGAGACTGACCTAAATGCCTGCTAATGCAATCCAATTTAGTTCCTCTTAATCAACCTTTTCTGGCAAACTGCAGTAAAAAGCAACAGTTACTATGGAGGCATGCAGCTGGTGTGCTGCCCCCCAGCGGCGAAAGAGGGGCAATGCTGTGATTCTCTAAGCTAAAATGCCCAGCTATGGGTTTGTACAGTGCTCATTGGGAATCTCTCTGATAGTCTGGAAACTGAGACTTACCGGTACCTGCTCACAAACAGTCCTAGTGGAATCCCATCCAAAATGTATATAGCAAGGAGGGAGTTGAATAAGGGTTTAACTCCAGTTCCCACCAGCCCAAGCCAGCATAGTCAATTATGGAAGTTGAAGCCCAATATCTGGAGGGCTAGAGGATTAGATGCCCCAGATGTAAACTCTCAGTTGCTGCTTGCAAGCTCCCAGTCTAGTTACCTTATGGACAGCACCCCTCCTGCTGGACAGCTCCCCAGCCTTGCTTGGAAGGCTGAAATGGTGTGGCAAGCATGAGGTTTAGTGTCACCTTCCAGCTCCCATCAGTCAAGGGACCAGGGCTTGGGTCATGTGCCCAAACCATGGGTTGTATTCAGTGTCACTCCTTCTCAGAGTAGACTCGTTGATATGAATGGATATAACGAAGTTAAATGCATTTAATTTCAGTGGGCTTATTCTGGTCGAACTTAGCTGGAGACAACTATCTGTTTCTTGCTCCATGGTTAACCAGCATACCAAATCAGTGGGATTGATTGGAGAATTGAAGGTTTTTATCCTCCTTCATTGGAGGTTTGTAGACAGAGGTTGGATGGCCATCTGTCAGAGATTATTCAACTGTGATTCCTGCATTGCAAGCGGTGGACAAGAGGACACTTGTGGTTCCTTCTGACTCTACAGTTCTATGGTTCTGTGACTGGTACCTTGTGTTTTTGCTATTTTACTTTGTTGTGTTTCACTTATTGAACTTTGAAGCTACATTACTTTTGAATCAGGAAGTGTTTTTATTTGTTAATGAGGTGCCTTTCTTGCGAACTACTTTGAACTCAGTTGGTGGGGGAAGCAGCATACAAAAATAAAATAAAATCTTCCAGAATGGTGTTTGACAGGACTGTAAGCATAGTTAGTGACCCAAGGCCACCTATGAGCTTTGCAGTTTATCAGGCAATATTTGTGGATATAGAAAAGTTCTTCTCCCTCTCTTCATAACATGAGAACTCGTGGACACCTAAAGGCTCTAAATATCGGAAGACTCAGTAGAGACAAAAGAAAGTACTTCTTCACAAAGCGAATTGTTAAACTATGGAATTTGCTCGCACAAGAGCCAGTGATGGCCACCAATTTGGGTAGCTGTAAAGGGGGATCAGAACACTGATGGAGGATAAAGCTATCAGTAACTACCAACCCTGAAGGCTTTGTTCTACCTCCATTGCTGAAAAGAGTATGTCCCTGAATACCAGATTCTGGAAGTGGACGGAGGAGAAAGTGGAAGCTGGACTAGATGGGTCACTGGCCAGATCCAGACGATCTCTTTATATGTTCAACCCACAGCTGCCTACACTTGTATTTTAATTTCTGCACTGCCTTTTTGCTAAATGATCCCCCTAATGTTTCTCACAAAGGTTAACAAATAAACAAGTTTAAATCAATAAAATACAGGCAAAATAATCACAACAACAGAACCTAATACCCAAATTGGGGACAGGCAAATCTATCGATTTCAGTTTCTCCTTTTGCCCTGTCTGAAGTTTAGATCTCCACATTTCTGAATCACTTTTATTAGGTTTAGTCCTCTTAAAAACCCATCAGCATTTTTGCTCAATGTTAACATTATTGCAAAGCAATTTTCCCTTCGATGGTGCATTTTTTATGTTACTTTCACCAATGTGTGAGTTTATATGGACACTTCTGACCCCATTACATACATTTCTATGCACATAATAATAATAATAACTTGACAGGAGAACCACACTTCAAAATCCAGAGAAGTGTGGCTTTCAAAAGATAGTAGTGTTGTGGTTCGTATAAGTGCAAATTAGGGAGGTTTGCCTTTCAACGCAATCTGAATCAAATTTCTCCCCCTTCTCTAACACACATACAGTCAGCCACTCACCTACCTAAATGCTAGAACCACGATTCCATAAAAATGCCTGGGAGAAACCACCTCCCATGCAGTAGCTTTTCCTTATAAAGACCCCAGGCTAGGGGTGGATAGAGCAGAACAGATAGGAAAGCTTGACCTTTGGTGGTCCATCATGGTCTCCCCACTGCAGCCATTTTTTTACTCTCCTTAGGGGTGTAGCTCTAGGCATTCTGGGCATTGCAGGAGGTTGGGCAAGATGACCCTTTGGGTCTTTCCAATTCTACAATTCTATGTTTCTATGAGCCCTTGCACTTCAAAATAAACCCTTGCTTCACTTTCTGGATACAAGTCTACATGAGAGCCAGTGTGGTGTAGTGGTTAGGAGCGGTAGACTCGTAATCTGGTGAACCGGGTTCACGTCCCCACTCCTCCATATGCAGATGCTGGGTGAGCTTGGGCTAGTCACACTTCTCTGACGTCTCTCAGCCTCACTCACCTCACTTGGGTGTCTGTTGTGGGGGAGGAAGGGAAAGGAGAATGTTAGCCACTTTGAGACTCCTTAGGGTAGTGATAAAGCAGGATATCAAATCCAAACTCTTCTTCTTCTTCTACATCTGAAGTCCTACATGCCAGGGATTCTAATGGGTGATGGAACAGCCATTTTGTTGTAAACCCTGCTGATCTTCAGCAGCTCATAATCAGAAGCTACCTTATACCAAGTCAGACAAGTGGCCCATCAAACTCACTGGCCAGCAGTGGTGCTATCTGGAATGATGGGGATTGAGCCTGGGACTCATGCAAAGCAGCTACGCTACAGTTCTTCCCTGAAGACATAGGAAGCTTTCTTATGTTGATCCAGATCATTGGTCCATGTAGCTCAGTATTCTCTACTGACAGCAGCTCCCCAGGGTTTCAGACAAGGAGTCCCTCCCAGACCAACCTGTAGATGCTGGGGATTGAACCTGGGACTCTTTGCATGCAAAGCAGATGCTCTGACACTGTGCTAGTCTATGGGGGGGATTTTCATATGGAAGCATTTGAGGAATAGATGGTTAGTTTAGTGTTTAGGTTGGTCAGGAAACATCCATGTACCGCTTTCCTGTAAGAAATGCAAGGGAAGTCAAGAGAGTGCCAGGGAAATGTTGCCTAATTTAAATAACGCTTTGGTTCTTTTTGTACTGAATAAATAAACAAACCTGCTGAGGAATTGTGCTAACAATGCAAATGGCCACACCCACTACATCTGATTGGGTGGCCTGTGGTGGGAAGCAGTCAGCTTTTTATTCCATCTCTTTGCAGTGGACTTTCATTCTCTGGACATCCCAGGGCACCTGTGAGCAGACGTGGAAGAACACCACAAGCCCGATGTAGCCTGCATGCATGCTTTTGACACCCAATGGGCAAATCTGCAAAATAAATACACTTCCTACCAGAGGACATTAGGAGCAAACCGATATCCCAGTTATGTTGCTTGTTCCTGAAAAGAAAAGGAAAGCAGGTAAGAATGCTCCACATTTTAAATATGTTTGTGCTTGCATGAATCCTTGCGCATGGACAGCTGTCCACCTAGAATTTGGAAAGCTAAGAAGAGAGCTTTGAAAAATCATGCAGTCTCCTCCTGAATGTCAGTTGCTGGGAATCACAAGTGGGGATTTTGATTGCGGTTTCGCCCATGTTCTGCTTCAGAACTTCCCACAGGGGCATCTGATTAGCCACTGTGAAGACGTGATGCTCAAGTAGATGAAGGGTTTTTTTCCCAATGGGCTGCATCCAGTTAAGTCCTGCTGAGAGTAACCCCACTGAAATAAGTGGACATAAATTAGTCATGCCCATTAATTTCAATGGGTGTACTCTGAGAAGGACTAGGACTGCATACAACACGTTCAGCAGGATTCCACTAAGTTTTTGCCTGTGTAGAAGGAGGGCTTCTTCTGAAACTAAACTCTCCACCCCTCCCCTCTTCCTGCACCCCTCTAAATCTGCTCTGGAGTGTTGGAGCAAAATCCAGAATAGCCTTAGGAGGCCATGGAGAGGAGGGAGAGTGGGAGTAAGTCCCATTGCACAAGTGGTCCTCAATTCCCTGCACATCTATCCACTTAGTGCCATGTTAAATTCTGCACTGTGTTCTTAAAAACCTTTTGAGATTTCTTTCTTTCTTTCTTTCTTTCTTTCTTTCTTTCTTTCTTTCTTTCTTTCTTTCTGCTTCATTGGGGAATTTTACCTTTGAGGATTGCATATCCCTATCTGATATACAGGTTGGGAGCCTTGAGTGTGACTTCTTATGCATCACACACAAGAGGGAGATATCTACAGGCTTAGAGAAAAACCAAAGTCTGCAGAAGTAAATATACAGATCTATCTATCTGAGGGGGGAAACCTAAAAAGACAGGACCCCAAAAAATCACTCAATTGAAACTGAACACACTATTAAGGCACTGTGGGTTAAACCACAGAGCCTAGGACTTGCCAGTCAGAAGGTCGGCGATTCAAATCCCCATGAAGGGGTGAGCTCCTGTTGCTCGGTCCCTGCTCCTGCCAACCTAGAAGTTCGAAAGCACATCAAAGTGCAAGTAGATAAATAGGTGCCACTCTGGCAGGAAGGTAAACGGTGTTTCTGTGCACTGCTCTGGTTCACCAGAAGCGGCTTAGTCATGCTGGCCACATGACCCGGAAGCTGTATGCCAGCTCCCTTGGCCAATAAAGCGAGATGAGCACTGCAACCCCAGAGTCAGCCACAACTGGACCTAATGGTCAGGGGTCCCTTTACCTTTACCTATTAAGACACAGAAGGCTGGCTGACTGTTTTTGTGGGTGAAGAGGACAGAAAACGAGAGTGACAGGGTACAGAATGGAGTGACCTATGGAAAGGCCATGACTGACTGGAAGCCTGAACTGGAGCACTCCAGGCCCCACTTACAAGGAAGGATGAAACTGTCAGTGTGTCGTGAACTGGCAGGGCAATGGATAGGAGGAAGAGGATCCTAGTGAGGGGTGTAGCTGGGACTGGGACACACCAGGGCAAGCTGGGAAAGGGGAAGGAGAGGTTGGTGTAGGAAGTACTTATGGGGTGGTGGAGGATGGCAAGAGAATGGGGATCAGTGCATAGGAACCAGAGCAGCAGGACCCACCACCAGAGCCAAAGGGGCACCTGTCTCCATACAGCAGTCTCTGAGGAGTGGGGAGCAGTGGGAGGGGTGCTCCAGTAGGCTGAGGCGGGCAAGGGCCCACAGCCCAGCTCCGTAGCTGGCCAGGTGGGGCTCGCTAGCTCTGGTAGTATGTGGTTCCTCAGATTGAGTGTCCTGGGAGCAGGTGAGGGTCGCATGCCTCATCAAGCCCAGATGCTGCAATCAGCATACAAAGTATAAAAGGGCACAGAGCTGAGGTGCTGTGTCTGCTCAACTGCCCATGTTGATGTGCCTCAACTTGGATGCAAGGCTTTGCTTCACTTTGGACACTTGGATTGACCCTGGACTGGGGACTTGACAAATGGACTTGCCGCCAGGTAGGCCAGGGGTTCAGGGAACAATGTTGGCTTGTCCCTCGGCTTCTGACAAAGTTGAAGGACACATTCTAACCAGGCAAATTAACTCAAGGAGGGTATGCAGTAGTAGGGCTAGTGAGGGATATGAGCCTGTGGAGAGTTCAAAGAGCTGAATAGTGAGGCCTAGCAAACTGCATTTTGCCCTCAGGCTTCAGGCTCCTCATGCCTGCCAGTTGAGGAGCCCATTCCATTTGTTCACAAAGGTGTTTATCCATTCCTCTGCATTTCTAGGGAACCCATTTCCAACCAACAGCAAATTTGCTCCCCTGATACCCTTGAGTCTTCATCTGCAAACCATTTTTCCATTTCCAAGTGTTCCTCCAAATGAAATATCTGTGGCAGTAAACTGCATTTGCTCCCAAGTCATGTGGACTCCCCATTAATCTGAGGCAGAAAAGTTCCCACCAGAAAATTGGTGAGAATGTGACGTCCTGGACATCTTCTGAGTCTGAGGGCATCACATGAAGCCTGGAGAGGGACGGAACTTGCTTTATAGCTGACGCTTATCTTGGTCCGTTTGAAAGGCAGACTGGCCTTAGGCCCCTGTTCCTGAAGGCTGTAGTGAAAACCGTCACATTGATCCGGGGACATTTGGTGCTGTGGTTAGCATTTGTCTGATGATCAGGGTGGAGAGAAGAAAATGTCTTTAAGAGAACCTGAGGCAGTTTTCCTCTTTCATGTTGGCCAGATGTCAAGAAGACCATGTGCAGGAGTGGGGAAGGACGGTGAGCATCTCAACACCACAGACTTGAACTGGCTTGAAGGAACTTTTCCTTCTCCTCAGAGATCTCTGAAGACTGTAGGTCTGGGGGGACATAAGACGCTTCCGGCCAGAGGCCCATCTACTCCAGCAACATATGTTCACCATAACCAATGAGGTGCCCATTATTGGAAACCCTCAACCAGTTGCCTATTATGCTTCTCTCACATGATTCCCAGCAACTGAGATTCAAAGCCATACCATATGACAGTGGAGGGAGACATAGGTGTTGTGGCTAGTAACCACTGACAGCCTACATGAGCGCAGAGGCAGGATACTAGGGAATACTTGTGGGAGATAGACAGGCCTAGTCTCAGCTGGCACCGCTGCCCTGAGGTCCCTTTTCTGCTGCTTCACTGGGTGCCCTTGTGAGCAAATACTCTGGGAGCCTCCTGACACCCATAAGAGCAGGAGTCACCAGTGTACTTGCCAGTAGTAATAATAATAGTAATAATAATTTATTATTTATACCCCGCCCCTCTGGCTGGGCTTCCCCAGCCACTCTGGGCAGCTTCCAACAACGTATTGAAATACACTAATGCATCAAAAATTAAAAGCTTCCCTAAACTGCTCAGCAGCAGTTTCCCTCACTGCTGGTGAGCAGTGAGGGAACCGCCAGAAGGCCCTCGGTGCTGGACCTCAGTGTTCGGGTAGAATGATGGTGAAGTGAAGGCCCAAGACAGGTGTTGATCATAATGTGAGCTGCGCACAGGTGGGCTGTAGCGAGCGAGCTACCACCATTCCTGTGGAGCCTCCTTTTATTGAGACAAACATGCAAGCTAGGCAAATACATTTTTGGGCTGTGACCTTTACACATCTTCCGTCCCGAAATCGTGGGGTGGTACAGAGCTATTTTGGCACCTGTTCCACAGCGTCATTTTCCCCTTGCACAGTGTATGACGTAGGAGACAAAAGGTCTCAGGGGAAAACTTACAGACAGGACACCGCTGACTCTGAGACCGCAAAAGGTCAGACATGGGTGGAACGATGTACCAGACAGCTGTGGCTTGTCTGGGGGGGGGGGTTCCCTGCACCCCAAGGTCATGCATGCAGGCAGATTGTGGCTGCCTGCTGGTGGGGAAGTGTGCTCCCTCTGGACCCCACTCCCCACTCCGCGATATCCCTACAGATGGGGGTGGAGACACTCCTTCAGATGTACTGGACTGAGGCCATTTACTTCCTACGAAACCGACAAAAGGTAAATATTCCCTCATAAAGTCACTCTAATTCAGGAACAGGAACCTTTTGTTTCACCCCAAGGGCCACATATTACCTAAGAGGAGGAGTTTGGACTTGATATCCCGCCTTTCACTCGCCTTAAGGAGTCTCAAAGTGGCTAACAATCTCTTTTCCCTTCCTTCCCCAATTGATGTTGAAACACATGCAAAACTGGCCTTGGGGCAACTGGTTGACCACTCTGAGCACAGGATGCTAGATTAGATGAACTAGTGGTCTGATCCAGCCAGGATGTTCTTATGTTCTTTATGTATTTAATGAGGAGGAGGAGGAGGGGTTTGGATTTGATATCCCACTTTATCACTACGCTAAGGAGTCTCAAAGCAGCTAACAATCTCCTTTCCCTTCCTCTCCCACAACAAACACTCTGTGAGGTGAGTGAGGCTGAGAGACTTCAGAGAAGTGTGACTAGCCCAAGGTCACCCAGCAGCTGCATGTGAAGGAACAGGGAAGCAAACCTGGTTCACCAGATTACGAGTCCACTGCTCTTAACCACTACACCATGCTGGCTAGAGAAAACTTAGAGAAAACTTCCTGCAGCCATATACCAGTTGTGGGTGGGGCAAAGGTGGGCAAAGCAAGGAATGTAAATTTTACCTCTCGTACAGTACGCTAGAGGGATGCGGGTGGCGCTGTGGTCTAAACCACTGAGCCTAAGGCTTGCCGATCAGAAGGTCAGCGGTTTGACACACACCCCCCAAGACGGGGTGAGTCCCCGTTGCTCGGTCCCAGCTCCTGCCAACCTAGCAGTTCAAAAGCACATCAAAGTGCAAGTAGATAAATAGGTACTGCTCCGGCGGGAAGGGAAACGGCTTTTCCATGCACTGCTCTGGTTTTGCCAGAAGTGGCTTAGTCATGCTGGCCACATGACCCGGAAAAACTGTCTGCGGACAAACGTCAGCTCCCTCAGCCAGTAAAGCGAGATGAGCACCGCAACCCCAGAGTCGTTCGCAGCTGGACTTAACTGTCAGGGGTCCTTTACCTTTACCTTTTACAGTATGCTAATACACACACTCCCACACCCATCTCTATCCTTCATGAAGATTAGAGTTCAGGGACACATCCCAGCCAGCCAAGGAGGGTGTGAATCGGGGCCAGTGAGGGGCATGGCCTGCAGAGAGTCCCAGGGGCCAGACAGAAAGGCCTAGTGCAGGGGCGGAGGAAGGGGGTGTAGTGGGTGTGGGCCACCCCAGGTGTCAATGCTGAGGGGGGTGACAAAATGCTGTGCAGCACTCACCGCGGGGCCTGCAGCGCGCTTGAGCCACACGTCTCTCCTGGGAGAAACGTGGTAGCTTGGGTGCACGCAGGCTCTGCGCTGCCCAAACGGTCTGCCTGTTGCCTCCCCCCAGCTGTAGGGCAGCTGAGTGGGAGGAGGCAGGCAGACTCAGGAGGCCCCGCGGTGCACCCCACCCCTATTGGCGGCTCGCCCCGCCCCTGGGCATGCCGCCCAAGCGGCTTCCTCCACCACTGGCCTCATGGCCACCAGGTGTGAGGTTCCCCCATCCCTGCCCTTATCCTCCATTCCAAATGCCATTGCAGCCAGTTCCTCATTGCTACCCACACAAGTCCTGAGCATCCCTCCTAGAATGGCGATCCAAGAGAGGAGGAATAAACATGGCTAGTAATTTCGGCACTTGAAAGGGAAGGGAAGATAGTGGTGGTTTGTGTGTGGTGGTGGTGTTTTTCAATCCAAGGAGCATTTGCTGCTGCTCTCTCCTTTTGCAGCTGACAAGACCAAGGCAAATGATGTTCCTCCGCTTGCTAGCTTGCTCCCCAGCCCCCAGGTCTCTGTAGCATTGTAGCACACTCCTGCCATCAGCTCTCTGATTGACAGAGCAGTCTGATCACCTGGAGAGGAGCAAAAGTGCATCCATTAGCTCACGAGAGAGGGCTAGGTAGAATCTTATCTTCTGCTGCTGGCTGTTTATGAGCTGTGTGGTTGCAAAAAGGCAAGCCTCCTCCTCCCTTCTCTTCTCACTCTCCTCCTCCTCCTCCAGCTCATTTGCTGGAAGAAAGCAGCAGCAGGGCTGAGCTGAGAAGTTTTTGGCATGGACTTGAGAAGGCAGAGGGACTTAAGCTCACCAGCTCCAGCACCCCAGGAGCCAGACTGCTCATCCATAGCCTGGACAGGTTTCCAAGCTGCTCTGTTTTCTGCTAGGGAGAAACCAAGCACAGGCATGTTTCTGGGACTTGGTTTGGAATCACAGCATTTTAGCCAAAGTTGATGGGACTATCTGAGGTTGTGGTTTTTTCCTCCCTCCTCCTTGTGGTGAGAAGATCCCAAGAAGTGTCAGCGGAGAAGTGGGGGTGTCTTTGAGTCCACCCCTTTTGGTGGGGTCAAGGAGGTTCTCCTTCCAAAGTACCAAAGAGGTCTCTGTTTGGATGTAAGCAAGATCACCAAGACATCCCTGCTGATCAAAGCTCGTTCTGCAGGAACTGGAGATGGAGAATGAGGTTGGGAAATCTGTGGATAAGCAAATGGATAAATACATGTAATTATTCTGGTCTTTTTTTAAAAGCTCACTTTCTTTCTCTGTTTTCTGCTTTTGCACCATTGCCCTCTCCATTCTCCCATCTTCTCTTCTTCTGGTGTGTGTGCATATCCCTTTAGAAAGTCAGAGGGACATGTGATTAATCATTTTGCGCCCTTCTTCCACAGAGTGACCATAATGGGGAAATCAGAAAGCCAAATGGATATTGTGGAGAAAACGACCAGATCTGGACAGAGGTCCTGGAGCTTGGTTGCTCTCAGCTTGTCTGTCCTCCTAGTCCTCATGAGCTGTGCTGTGGTTTCCTTAGTAATCCTCTACTTGAAAAGCAGAGGTAAGAGAACAACTGTTACTTATGTGGTTTCCTTCTCTCCTTAACTGCATATTTGGGTAAATTGTATACAGTGCTAAAAAAAACTATATAGGAAAGAATTTGTTACCATTGCTTTGGGAGGGGATTGGGGGGATAATTTGTGAGATCTCTTCTCCTACTGTGTGTGTGTGTGTGTGTGTGTGTGTGTGTGTGTGTGTGTAAACATGAATAAGCTCACCACAATCCCATCTGCAGTTTTCAAGGTAAATCTCAACTTGACAAGAATGAAAATCAAGAAAGGAGTCCCCGTATAATCACGGGCATTCTCCAGCATACCTTACAAGGGGTGAATAGTAATCCCAGATCCCAGGCAAAAAAGATAGCTGCCATTACCCAGCATAATATAGCAGATTAATTGTTGAGTTTCAACACAGAACACCAATATTTAAATACTCGCTGCTCCACAGAGTCTACTAAGTGGGAAGCTCTGGGATTTGAGCAAATGAGAATATACTCACACACACACACACACACAGAGAGAGAGAGAGAGAGAGAGAGAGAGAGAGAGAGAGAGAATTTATGTGGAGAGAGAAAATTTAAGAGAGAGAAAAGCTGTATAAGTGAAATAGAGGGGGGAAATTGAAATATCCTCCTCAGTTAACAATATTGAAAAGCTTGGTTGAGTTAACAAGAGCCCAGATTCTCAACATTCAGCTGGTAGACATAAGAATGTGTGTTTGCATCTGTCTCCTTGAGACAGTGTGCAGTGGAGAAAACGACTCCTTGTGCAGTGTGGATTTTAGGCAGAATGAGGAGAGGGGCTTATTTAGATGTAGACAATTTGGGATCTGCTACGCTTATCACGCTAGAACAGGAGATGCAGTAAGCTTCTAAGAACGGAATAATTTTGTACCTTCTGCAGAAGCCCAAATGCAGTCTGTTGCTAGAAGAGTGAGTTTTAAAAGAACTCCCACACAGAACTGGGAAGGAGGGGGAGAGCGACATGCTGTATTTATTCTGCCTTTAAAAGCCTTTTCTTTATTAAAAAAAAAAAAAAGGTTCTGATGGCAGCACTGATTTCCTCCTCCTTGCCACTGAAGTGTTGCCTGAATATTTTGTCCCTGGGTTCATAAAAATATACATGTTGTTGTGGAGGACAGAGTGGATACAGAGAAGCTTTCCCACCTCCATTCGTAGAACTAGAAATCAATCGTTCAGCAGAACCAGCTCCCAGTAGATTTAGGGAAGAGGAAAGGATTGTATTTCATTGATATCTCATTTTTAGCCTAAGAATCTTTAGAAGTAGTCTCTAAGAAGCCCATGGGGGACACATTCTCTTCTGGGCAGCATTCAGGGGAGGTACATGCCAATGGTAGGCAGGGCAAGAGGCAAAAGTAAGCAGAGAAATGAATGCCTTTGTATGGTAGGTGAGTTTCTGAACACACACAAACAGCCTTATCCCCCAACCAGGCAAACAAGGGGCATTATCAGAGTTGTGTTGTTGTTTTTTAAAAAAAACTGTTTTTATTAATATTTCCATGGGTAATAATAATAATAATAATAATTTAATATTAATACCCCACCCATCTGTCTGGGTTTCCCCAGCCACCCTGGGCAGCCTCCAACAAAAGATTAAAAATACATTAAAACATCAGTCATTAAAAACTTCCCTAAACAGGGCTGCCTTCAGATGTCTTCTAAACATCAGATAGTTGTGTATTTCTTTGACATTGGATGGGAGGGCGTTCCACAGGGCGGGCGCCACTACCAAGAAGGTACATATAACGTCTCTGTTTTCAGTTCATAGATTCTTTTCTGCATGTCAGTTACATTCAATGTGAGACATTGCTGCCATGTGCATTCTGAGGTTGGGGGGGGAAAGAAGTAGGTCCAAGGAAATATTCCAGCCAGATCGAAACACTCAGGAAGGGTGCAAAGAAGAGCTGGTCATAGGGTGTAAGAAAAGCCCTGCTGGAATCAGGCAGGAGGCTCATTTGCTCCAGCACCCTGTTCTCACAGTGGCCAACCAGACAGTGATGTAGCATGGGTTGCCGGTGCCCAGGGCAGAGCCAGTGTTGCACACACACACACACACACACACCCCAGGTCTGGGCAACTGGGGTGGAGGTGTGCACCCCAGCCCCAAAGGTTAAGCTTGGGTGCAGCTTGCCTCCCCATGACTGCGGAAGCCAGCAGGAGCTCACCCATATGGCCTCGGTGAGGGAACCTGTTGTGGGGGTGCCTGGTTTGCCTCTCTCAGAATTTTGGAACCCAGGGCCACTGTTAGAATTCCTGCTCCGTGATTGCAGCCATGGGATTGTTGTCTATCACATGACAGTGTATGTTTTGACTCCACAGAGTGGGAAGAGAGGATGTTTGTGTTACTGTGTTCCGTGATGTGGGACTATTTCCCTTTGTTCTTTCTCTTTGCTGTCTGACGATAGAGAAAGAGAGGGAGCCATGTTGCAGTTCTCCGTGTGTGTTTATGTGTAAATAAAGTAGATTAGCCAAAATGCTGAGTTGCTGAGATCTGTTAAGCAAGCTGCGAAGACTCTGCGGATCCCTAAGTGTGCCGATGTCTGTTGGCATCAGTCGCTGTGATGTTCGGACTGAAGAAAGCTTTTGAAGCTCCCAAACGATCGGCCAGGAGGGAAAGAACATGCCAGTTCGGCATCTGTCTCTGCCAGGGTCCTACTCGAGTGTAGTTCAAGCTCCTGACAGCCACTACCCCTCCACCCCCCATGCTATGCCACTGCAACCAGATGCCTGCAAGCAGGACCTGAGTACAACAATCCTCTGTCCAGTGATTCCCAGCAATGGTTATTCAGAGAAATATGGCCTATGACAGTGGAGGCAGAGCACAGCCACCATGGGCTTTCTTTCCAGGAATTTGTCCAATCCTCTTTTATAGCCACTGGAGCCAACTTTAGGGGGCTATGGGCAGTGGTGGAGGAAGCCGCTCAGTCGCCTGGGGCGGGGTGCCCAGGGGTGGGGTGAGCCGCCCATAGGGGCTGGGCACACTTTGGACCTCCGGAGTCTGCCTGCCTCCTCCCACTCAGCCACCCTACAGCTGGGGGGAGGCAGCAGGCAGACTGTTTGGGCAGTGTGGAGCCTGCCTGTGCCCAAGCCACCACGCCTCTCCCAGGAGGCCCCGCAGTGAGTGCCGCCAGGCATTTTGTCACCCCCCCTCAGTGGTGGCACCTGGGTCGGCCCGCACCCACCGCACCTCTCTTCCTCCACCCCGGGCTATGGGTGCTTTGGCATCCACAATAATGTATTTGTGGGCTGGGCCCCCAGAAAGTCAACGGGCAAAGTTGAAGCCCTTCATTGCAGGTGCCCACAATCTTCAGCGCAAGATAGCACCGATTTACAGCCTTCCAAGTAGGTGGCCATTGCCGCCTCTTATGTCAAATAAATCTTGGCTTTGTCCCTGTCTTAGAAAGGTATTCGGGGTGACAGGAGGGTTAGGTCGGGATAAATCACTGTGAAATAGCTCTGAGAAGGGGTGCTCTTTTGACAGATTCAGTAAAAATAGTAGGCTCCCCCCACACACACACATATAGACACACTCACAGAAGAAGAGCCCTGCTGGGTCAGGCAAATGACCTATCTAGCCCAGCATCCTGTTCTCAGAGTGCCCAATCACATGCCCATGGGAAACCTGCAAGCAGGATTCATGCACAGAAGCCCTCTCCTCTTCTGTGGCTCCAGAAACTGGTATAGTGGTACCTCAGGGTAAGTACTTAATTTGTTCCGGAGGTCTGTTCTTAACCGGAAACTATTCTTAACCTGAAGTACCACTTTAGCTAATGGGGCCTCCTGCTGCTGCTGCACCGCCAGAGCCCCATTTCATCCTGAAGCAAAGTTCTTAACCTGAAGCACTATTTCTGGGTTAGCGGAGTTTGTAACCTGAAGCGTATGTAACCTGAGGTACCACTGTATTTGGAAGCATGGCCCTCCAAGTGTGGAGGCAGAGCATAGCCATCCTGGCTAATAGCTATTGATAGCCCTCTCCTCCACGAATTTGTCTAATCTTCTTGTAAAGCCATCCAAGTCAGTGGCCATCCCCGCCTCCTGGGGGGAAGTGAGTTCCATACTTTAATTGTGTAAAGAAGTGCTTTCTTTTAATCTGTCCCGAATCCTCAAACATTCAGCTTCCTTGGATGTCCATGAGTTCTAGTGTCATGAGGGAGGGAGAAAACCATTCCTCTATCCGCTTTCTCCATGCCAGGCATCATTTTATAAACTTCTATCGTGTCACTTTTTACTCTTTTCTCTAAGCCAGTGTTTCCCAAACTTGGCTTTCCAGCTGTTTTTTGGACTACAACTCCCATCGCCCCCAGTGGTCAGGAATGGTGGGAACTGTAGTCCAAAAACAGCTGGAGAGCCAAGTTTGGGAAAACACTGTTCTAAACCAAATGCTGCAGCCTTTTCTCATAGGGGAGTGGCTCCATCCCTTTGATCATTTTGGTAGTCCTTTTCTTAGCCTTCTCTAAGTCAACTCAGTATATATATATATATATATATATATATATATATATATATATTCTAACTATAAGAAAAAACAAACTTCACACATTGGCGCTTGTATTATCGGTGTCACCCAAATCCTCCAAGTTCAGGAACACTCTGCAGAAAGTTTGCACATTTATATCCATTCCCCATGGTGATGCAAATAAAAATATCCTGCTGGTTCTGGGTCTCGGTGATTTTCACACCTACATAAAAAGACAAGGGCTACTGAAACCAAAGATGGCCATCAAGCTGGATTGGATTGCGGGAGTTCTTGGTGAGGAGAGCAGGAGGGTGGGAATCCTAAGGAGTTGTGTTATGCTTGCTGGGAAAAGAATGTGGTTGAGTTGGCTTGACAGGAGGCATTGCAAGATGGCCAGGTGTGTCGCATATTTCTCAAGGTCTGAGTCTGAAGAGACAAAGATGCCTGCAAACTTAGCTCTAAAGGAGGGGAACCTCAGACCTGTGGCCCAAATGCTGTCCTCCAACTCCTCTATTTGAACTGCAAGGCATTTCCTCAGGCTTCATTCCCTCTCAGAGGCAACTTCATCCTTTGGTGCTTTTTCATGGTTGGAATGTGCCCTGAATCTCTAACGATACCTCATGGTTACCTGCAAGGAAGATGGAGAGATTGGGGGTAGGGGTGGGTGTCTTACTCCACATAGGTAAGAGTCACATCCATTGCCCATAGGCGCCAACTCCTAGGGACTGAGGTCCCTTTGCCCACCCACCCATAAAATATTTGAGGAGGCTGCTACCCCCAAAGTTGATGGGCATTGCCATTCAAATGGTGTGTGTGTGCATCTCATGATCGATTATGCAACGCTTACCTGCCCCTCCCCAACTTTTTATTCAAGTTGGTACCTGATCTGGCCTCACCCAGCAGCTATATGTGGCACCTGGAAGGGCACCCACAAAAGAACAAAGAGTAGAGGTGAATGGGACTCTGAACATCTTGGTCCACTGGCAATATCATGAGCACACTGCCTCTGAACCTAAAGGCTGGATATCTATTCATCCTTACTAGGTTAAGAGGTCCCACTGACAATGTCCTGTCTAAGATCCCCTCCAAACCCTGGAGCCATCAGTGATGAAGCTCCTGGAATACACCATTGACACAATGCCAGAATAATCTAAGGAGATGTCAATAACCTTTTGGTGGAATTCTGAAGAGCAGTTGCTGGGAATCACAAGTGGGGAGAGTGCTGTTGTGCTCAAGTCCTGCTAGTGGGCTTTCCACCATGGGCAACTGGTTGGCCACTGTGAGAGCAGGGTGGTGTGCCTGATCCAGAAGGGCTCTTCTCGTGTAGAACAGGAGACATGATAGAGGTGTATATAATTATGTATGGTGTTGAGCATAACACTAGAACTCAGGGCCATGCAATGAAGCTGAATGTTCAAAGATTCAGGATGAAAGAAAATACTTCTTCATGCAGCACATATTTGATCCCATGGGATGTAGTGATGACCACTAACCTGGAGAACTAGCCTCTTCCTCCAGGATTTTCTGTCAATGGTAGCTAGCCACAATGGCTATGTCCTGCCTCCCCTGTCAAAGGCAGTATTTCTCTGAATATGAGTTGCTGGAAATTTCAGGTAGGGAGAGGATTGTTGGCATGTGGGTTTTTTTGTACAATCCTTGTGAATGGTCTGTGTTTTATGTGCTTTTCTTATATCCACAGATTTACAGTATGGTGCCAGTCCACAGAACGTATGTACCACCCGTGGGTGTGTAACAGCAGGTAAAAATGATATTCTTTCCTGAATCATTCTTTTTTTTCTGCTGAGGTCCACTACAGGGAATGTGCTGGCATAGCAGACCAATGAAGTCAGCAGGATTGAACCCTCCACTCATCAGCTATGGGTAGTGTTCCACTATTGTGTTCTCTGCAGGGAATGTACTGAAAAAGCAGATGTCTCCCAACTCCACCCACCAACCAACTTTGACAATACCTCCCACTTTTGAGCCACTAGCTGTCGACATGATGTCAAATGATTGTTGGCCCCGCTTGGAATCCCTAAGACAGTTGGATGGTGCCCTGTACGCCATCTTCCGGCAACTCCTGCAGCCAAGCTGGTGCCAAAAGTATTGCTTTGCTTTCCTTTGGACCACATTGACAAGACTGAGAGGGGTGGGGTCTTGTCATCTGGGCAGCCCAAGACCTCCTTACACACTGCCAAGGTTTGTGCCCTGGGGAGGTTACTTTGGTACTGATAATGCAGCCGTCTGACTTCACCCCCAGAGGTGCACTTTATTGTATCTCAAAACAGACAGATGCCAACAAGGCTGTCTCCACCCACTTGTCAAAGTTGTGCCGTGGTGGTGGGAGAGATAATGATCTGTCCCCCTGGGCCAAAAATGTTACCCATAACCCTGGGTTAGGGGGAGCCCAGAAAAGGCAAATGATCAGGTAACTTAATCAGAATATTCTTCTGAATAAATTTTGGCTCTGTCCCCATTTTGATGCTTATTAGATACAATAGGAGTGGTGGACTTTTTCAGTCTGAGGGCCATATGACCTTCTGGGCAACCTTCAGGGGGCCACAAGCTAATGGTGGGTAGGGCCAGAGGCAAAAGTGGGAAGAACCACTAATGTAAAGCAACTAATGTTATGTATATACAGTAGGCTGGGTTCTAGACATACCCCGCTATATCCCATGTTCTAAAACAAACTGGTTGCTATTTTGTTTGCAGTCCCAGTTCAAGGGGCTTGCATTAGCATGGGGGGAGCTATTTAATTACAAGCATTATTGGTGGGGGGTTTTGCAAACAGTTACCAAGTGTGTAGTGTTGTCTGCCAGAACAATTCCAGCTCTAGGTGAATTCTTTCTTCTTCTTCTTTCTTTTTTGCCAATTAATTTTTATTGCTTTTCATTTTTTAAATGAATTAACATCAAATTAATTCCAATTTAATACAAATTTAAAAGTTGACTTCCCATCCTGCTCCCTTGATGTTTCCCTTCCCACCCTTAATTGCTGCTCAATATTACATACATTTCCAAATTTCATTTCAAAATATTTTGGCCTTTTAGCCTTAATTTTTTTCTATTTTCTTCTTTACTTCCCATCAGCTGCTCTTCTTCGATCTCTGCCAGACTTTTACTTAGCTATAACATATTCACAAATGTCAAGAAGAATTGCTCCTCACTTTGTCAGCCCACATGCATCCTTAACTTTAAAATCAACAAACCACAAACACAAAAAAAGCTCTAGGGGAAATTCAAGCTCTAGGGCAGTGATGGCCAAACTTGGCCCTCCAGCTGTTTGGGGACTACAATTCCCACCACCCCTGAGCACTGGTCCTGTTAGCTAGGGATGATGGGAGTTGTAGTTCCAAATCAGCTGGAGGGCCAAGTTTGGCCATCACTGCTCTAGGGGGATGTGCTGCCTCTAGGTACAAACTGGCACGCAACAGTTGGGAATGGGCTTAATTATTGGACACCACAAGGGTACTTGCAAGCATTCTGCTTCCCCAATAATGGACACTTTTATGTTTTCATGACGTGCAGCTGCCAGAATAATTCAGAACATGGACCCCACGGCAGAACCTTGCCAGAATTTTTACCAGTATGCCTGTGGAGGCTGGCTCAGTCGTCATGTCATCCCAGAGACCAGTTCCAGATACAACATCTTTGACACACTGAGGGATGAACTGGAGATAATTCTCAAAGGTGAGGGTCTCTTTTCTGTACTTTCCCATTACCTGCCTACTTCCCCACTCAGTGCTAGATCTGTGCACAAGCCAAGTATGCTGCAGTTCATGGACTCGGATTATTATGTTCATGTGTATGTGTGTGTTTTAACATATCATTTTCAACACTTATTAAACATACTTTTATATCTTCTACAATTTTTTTGATTGCAATCAATCACATCTGAAAATTTTCCAATCTTTTTCAATTAATTTACATTTCTTACTTCCACTATTACATTTAAATATCATAACTAAAATCTCTCTTCTTTCTCTTCTTTGTAATGTTTCATATATTCCTCCTTACAAAACTTCTTGTAGTCCTGCTAGCATAATTTGTTGATTACAGTTGCTCTTCAAATAGTTCGTATATTTCTTCCAATCTTCTGTGAATCTCTGGTCCTGCAGGTTTCGAATCCTTCCTGTCATCTTGTCCAATTCTGCGTAGTCCACAGATTATGACGTTCTAAATACCTCCCCCCAAAAGAAAATACCAGTTAGATTGTTAGCCACCTCCATCCAAGGTCTGGATATGCCAATGGAAAGTCTCTGTTCATTGGCATTATGCATGGTTAATTCAACAATACTGTCAAAGAGGTGGTGTCCTCTGCAAGTTGCACAAAGATGCAAAACCTTGGAGAGCGTCGCAACAGAAAATGCTCCGGCAGATGGCGGTAGAAAACTTGAGTGCCTTGTTCACTATTAAGTTGTATTTCAACCAGCAGGTGGCTGTAAACAGCTTCCAGTATAGCTTGTTTCGGTCTCTGCAACTTCAGCCCATAGAAAGTGCAAGCAAGAACCCAGAAACTGGTGATTTCAGCCAGGAAGAATAGGCCCAGTTCTCAGTGATTTCAGCCAACAGGTTAGCAAATCCCTGTTTCCAGCATTAAGAGCATAAGAATAACTTCCTGGATCAGACCAAAGGTCCTTCTAATCCAGTGGTTCCCAACCTTTTTTTGGCCATGTCCCACCTAAGCATCTCTAAAATCCTGTCCCCCCCCGATGACATATAATTATTATTATTCAAAAAGTGAACTCCTGTTCACATGGAGGAAGCCTAAAAAGTCATACATTGTTAATAACTCATTCTCAAATTGCCCCCTCCTTAAAAATCAAATTGTCCCATGCTGGGAACCATGGTTCTAATCCAACATTCTCTTCTCACAGTGGCCCAACCAGCAATTGCTATTCAGAGACAGTGGAGGCCGAAACCACAAGTGCTTTATCATCTGTTGCAGCCATGACCTCACCTGCACCCAAACAGAGAGAACAGATTGCAGGTCATTAAGCTATCATGACCCTTTTCTTCTTCCAGGTGTGCTAGAGACACCAGAGCAGGAAGATCGGGAAGCCTTCCAAAAGGCGAAAATGCTTTATAGATCCTGTATGAATGAAAGTGAGTCTCCTCCTCCTCTTTATTCACCCATTTGCCCTATTTATCTAGCTGTTTTCCCTAGCGGCCACTTTTAGTGAATGGAGTAGGGTGGCGCTATGCTCTAAACCACAGAGCCCAGGGCTTGCAGATCAGAAGGTCGGCGGTTCGAATCCCCTCGACCGGGTGAGCTCACGTTGCTTGATCCCAGCTCCTGCCAACCTAGCAGTTTGAAAGCACGTCAAAGTACAAGTAGATAAATAGGTACCACTTCGGCGGGAAGGTAAATGGCGTTTTCGTGCGCTGCTCTGGTTTGCCAGAAGCAGCTTAGTCATGCTGGCCACATAACCCGGAAGCTGTACGCCGGCTCCCTCGGCCTATAGAGCGAGATGAGCGCCACAACCCCAGAGTCGTCCGCGACTGGACCTAACGGTCAGGGGTCCCTTTACCTTTACCTATATATGGTTTACAATGTAGCTAAAGAAATAATGCATTGCATATTTTATTGGTTAGGGGAAGGGAAGCTCAGTGACAAAGCATCTGCTTTGCATGCAGAAGGACCCAGGTTTGGACCCAATAGTCGGACAATGTATGATAGCTTCCTATAGTCATTTCTTCTTTCAGATACCTGTTTTAGAAGCACTTATTTCTATTGTCTCCAATGTTGTTTGGTGACATGCTACATATTGCAAGTGTTGGGATGCAGCTTGTGCTGGAGGCTGGTGTGGCTGCGTGGGAAAGAGGAGAGAGAGGAACCTCCAGGCATATTCAGCCAGGTTCGGGAGGGAGCTGTCTGAGGTCCTGGACAGCCACTGCAAACCTAAGGAGATAATACTGAGCTCTGAGTCAGTATGACGTAGCTTCCTTTATCTTCACAGATCTGCCATAGCTCAGTGGCTGGAGCGCTGGCTCTGCATATAGACGCTCCCAGGGTCAAACCACAGCATTTCCAGCTGCAGCTGCAAATCTCCCTTGTCTGAAACCCTGTAGTGCCTCTGCCAGTCAGTGTAGGCAACACTGAGCTTGATCTTCCAATTCCTTGGTATAAGGCAGGATCCTCCACCAGTGTGCTAGGATCCCTATTCTCATTCACTTTTTTTCTTTCCTGCTGCTTTCCTTTCCTTTCCCATTCATAGGCATCATAGAGCAACGCGACTCATTGCCTCTGCTTGAGGTCTTGCACACGGTTGGAGGCTGGCCAGTGGCTTCTGCAGACTGGAATATTACAAATGGTAACAAGGAGGCCAGGGGAACTTTGAGGTTGTTGTTGTTGTTGTTGTTGTTGTTGGCAACCAACTAGTGTATACATTTTATGAAATAAATAAATAATAGTAAATAAAGGAGGGTGCCCATCTTTGAACAGGGATGAGGCAAATCTAAAAAAATATATATGTAGTATAAACACTGACAACTGGGAAACACTGGCCTGTGAGCGCTCCAGTAGGAGAACAGCCTTTACCAAAGGTGTCATAGGCTTTGAAGACACTAGCACTCAGGACGCAAGGGAGAAACATGCTAAGAGGAAGGCACACTTGGCAAACCCTCACCATGATCAGCTCCCACCTGGAAACCTATGTCCCCACTGTGGAAGGACGTGTGGGTCCAGAATTGGCCTCCACAGTCACTTACAGACTCATTGTTAAAACCGTGTTTATGGAAGACAATCTTACTTGGCTACTAGTGATCGCCAAAGAAGAAGCTATAACACTTCAAATCCCAAACTCTGGCACTTGGGTGAGGACTGAGGGTGATGCCCTATGGGGTGAAGCCCTGCCCTTCCAACTCTTATCATTCTATGTGGATTATATGGGTGGCCAATTGGGGACAGCAGATTCAACCTGCAGGGGCAGCGTGCCCCATTTCTCTGCTTGAGATGAAATGGTGAAGTGCTGCCCCACACTGCTGTGCCACCCACTGCAACACCACCACCACCTGCACCACTGCCACATCACCCACCTCCATTGGCACCACACCACCTCTGCTGCTGGAAGAGAAGCAGCACCGCCAACAGTATTCAGTGAGATCTTGCCAAGATCTCGTGAGATCTTCCATGCTCCCTGAGATCTCATGAGTTTTCCACAAGATCTCACCGGGCATTGATGCCAATGCCAGCTGGCTTTCAGTGGCACAGTGGTGGACCCTAATTCCCAATGTGTCTGTTGACTGGTGTAGGTCCATGGAGCCGATGCAGCTGAGGCTACCGTCCAACATTTGGGTCTAGGACGTTGAAGCTTCCATGCCAGGTTAGTAGGGCTGGCCCATTTACTCTGAGGCAGAGTAAACCTGAGGTGGCCTCAGGTGGTGGAAGCCCCCAAGGCAGCACCCCACCCTACTGCCTCCAACACTGGCATTGGCTTAGATTAACACCTGGGAAGATTTCAGGGGCCCTAATCAACTTATCCATCTTCCTCATTGGATGAAAGAACTCAAAGTATTATACAAATGTACACCGCAAACATATGTTACTCATTTATTTCCCTCCTATTCCTGTGACCTTGGAAAGGCTGTAGGAATTTACACTGGTGGCAACTTGTACATTTGATTTCAATTGGATTTAGTCATGTTATAGTTTAGAGATAATTGTGATACATAAGTAGTTGAAATAGGATTATTATTATTATTATTATTATTATTATTATTAAACTTTTTTAAAAATCTCATTTTCTTTTCTTTAATCCTTTTGCCACAGAGCCAAACTGGAAAATAGAAGACAAGCTTGCCTTATTGAATTTCCAATATAACGCACGGGTCCTCATTGACATGTTTGTGTGGCATGACGACCGGGATTCCAGCAGAAATATAATTTATGTAAGAAAGCATCAAATCAGGGAATTGTGGTACTTTAGGTTGGTGGGCTGCTCTTCTTTGCCCATTACATGCATTTGTACATTTCACTCCCCCATACCCAATATTTTATGGATATTGTCTTCTACTAATCCTCTTCCATCTGTTTAAGATTTCATCACCATCATCATCACTTTTAATTTGTATACCGTCTTTCTATCTTATAATCCCCAAGGTGGTTTACAAGCTGAAGAAACAAAGAATGTACACCTTATAACAATCTAATGCAATACAAAAATGTGATGATAATAAAACATAACTTTAAAATAAGCAACCTACATCAAATAAAGTCAACAATCATTAGAATAGTACAGAATAATATTAAATATCAGCATATAAAAATTAAACAGAAATCTACTCATAAAAATTACAGTAAATAATTTCTAAACTATTTCAATTTCATTGAAACACAGTCCTTCTAGGCAGGTGGAAACTGCATGTACGTAGTCCTTGAAATAAACAGCATCTCCAAATAAAGAACTAGAACAGTAAGAAGCTGGTATGCTATGCTTCGTGTGCTGTTTCCCCAAACAGAAAGGACTGGGTTATAACCAATGCTCCTTATACTCCCAAGTATACCCATTGAAATTAATGGACCTGGCTAACTTAGATATAACCCACTGTATTGCAAGCTGTTTCTGCTCAGTATTGAAGGATGTCAACCATCAGCTCTAGCAAAAGACAATCATTTTGTGCATGTGGAAGACAGGTCGTGGTGCCTTCCTGATGTTGCTGAACTATAGCTTCCATCATCTCAGACAATTGACCATGCTGTCTGGGGCTGATGGGAGTTGTAGTCCAACAATATCTGGAGGGTGCCTATCCCTGCTATATGTGGTGTGCCACTTGAGATCCTAAGGATGCTGTGGATTGAACCTTCACTTGGTTCCCTAAAGCTATTGTATGCTGAGTCACACGATTGGTCCATTAGCTTGGTATTGTATCTTCCAATTGGTAACAGCTCCTCTGCATCTTAATAAGAAATGTCCCAGAGCTGGACATTCTTTGAATTAGAAATGTCAGCAATTGAATCTGGGGCCTTCCATATGCAAATCATTTGGTCGTTTCCTAAGCACTGGGTTTTTGATACTGACATCTTCTGTTGAATCCTTTCCTACACAATAAGAGAGATTCTTTTCCTCCAGATTGACCAGCCTGGGTTGGGAATGCCCTCAAGAGATTATTACTTTAGTGATGGCAACTACCAAAGAGTAAGTATTTTAACAGCTTCCAAACTTCACTTTCACCTTTTGAACATCACAATATTGAAAGATTCCAGGGATCCCACACATCCTGTCAACAATCTACTAAAATAGCTTCCGTTCTATTCTCTGCTCCATTCATGGTTTATGTGCTGGTCTGAGGGAGATCTCCTAAAACATTGATGGGGATTATCACAATCTCTACACACCCCAGAACTTTTACTACTCTTGGCAAATGCTTTCAACTCTTATTTCAATCTGAGACAGAGAAGAGTTTGGGTGCTCATAGGAGGTCATCTCTTCTTCTTACTTACAAGACCCCAAAGTTCATTTTCTGGCCTGAGCCTACTAAGCTTTTCTTGCATCTCTGCTGATTAAAATATCAACAGCCAACCTCAACCCTAAGGTGGTCCTTGAGAGACACCAGTCCCAGATAATTTAGAACACGTTTGGGGGGGCTATGTTCTTTCAGATGTTGTTGGCCATCAACTGCCATCAGCTGCAGCCACCACTGTAGATGGTCAGGCATGGTGGGAGTTGCAGTCCAACATCAACTGCAGGACCACAGGCTCCCCATCTCTGGTTTAGATATTTATACTTCAGATGTAAGACTATCAAATGAATTGGAAGGCACTGAACTATCTAGTGGTAGTCTCTACCTTCAGTGTTTCTGAAGGTGTTAACAACTTTGCCTGATGAATTTATTGCCTCTGGACTGTGCTTAAATGCAAATTTCTAACATCTTCTCTTTGTCCTCCTCTGTTTAGGTGAGGGAAGCTTACTTCCAGTACATGGTCCTCATTGCCAAGACGATTAGAGAAGATATGAATATGTCCAAAGATGACAACTTTGTCCAGGAAGAAATGAGAAAGGTTATGGAGTTTGAAACAGATGTAGCAAACGTGAGTACAGCATTTTTTTGGAAAGCTGAAGAGTAAATCCAAAGGGGAATGAGGACAGCAGTATATATAGTGTTATAGCCAATGTTAGTACACTCAGATGTAGACCCATTGGGTTGTATCAACTGTAGCACTAATTTAAAGTCACATAGGGGTGTACTTGTTCCAGTGGTGAAATGCTTTGTGCCAGTGGAACATTGTGGTGCATGAGAATGCATAAGCACATTGTTGGTGACTTTGTTGTGCAATAGCCGGAGCAATGAGTTTCTTTCAGCATAACTTTTCCATTGGATTCCTCCACTGCACAATGTGATAACTCAACAAAGAGCCCTTGATCCAATGGACAGAGAACTTCCTGGGTGCCTCAACCAAGGAGTAACTTCCGAATTGTCCTTGAAATTTCCATTTCGGCACAACATGGGGGCAACTCTGATCTTTGCTTTCTAGGCTACAGTGCCCACAGAGGAAAGGCATGATGTGACTTTGCTATATAACAAAATGACTGTTGCTGAACTCCAGGACAAGTTTGAACTAAACGTAAGTGTTTGAAGACCTGCTCCCTATTGTGCTGTTGGAATGACAATCTCAGATTCCAAAACATAAAATGTTGTTTAGTAATAGCAGTTGGGTTGGGTGAACTTGACAATGTTGGTTTCTGTCCATTTTTGGGTTTCACACTCTTAAGTTCAGTTCTCCACCAGTTTGCAATTTTTGTGTGCCTGGAGATCTGCTCTGCAAAATTCAGAGATGTGCGAATTTCAAAGGGTGATTGTGCTTCTGTTTGCAATTTGTTTAAAGGTAAAGGTAAAAGTACCCCTGCCCGTATGGGCCAGTTGTGTCTGACTCTAGGGTTGTGCGCCCATCTCACTTAAGAGGCCAGGGGCCAGCGCTGTCCGGAGACACTTCCGGGTCACGTGGCCAGCGTGACGAAGCTGCTCTGGCGAGCCAGCACCAGCGCAGCACACGGAAACGCCGTTTACCTTCCCGCTATAAAGCGGTACCTATTTATCTACTTGCACTTAGGGGTGCTTTCGAACTGCTAGGTGGGCAGGAGCTGGGACCGAAGGATGGGAGCTCACCCCACCGTGGGGATTCGAACCGCCGACCATTCGATCGGAAAGTCCTAGGCACTGAGGTTTTACCCACAGCGCCACCCGCGTCCCTAATTTGTTTAGGAAAGTACTAATTAGGTCTGTTCGTCTTTACATGTGAAATGAATTGAAACTCCCCCAACCCTAGTTAGCAGTAGAGGAGGCCATGACTATGTTCCGAAGGAAGCCTCAGAACCTAGTCCTGCTCTGTCCAATCGAGGCACAGGCAAAATGAAGCGTACCAGTAGTAGCTGGCGGGGCAAATGGGGCTGTGTTGCTCTCCCGGCTTTCTAATGCCACATATCATTACCACTTCCTGAGAAGAGGAGGAGGGGCAAGGCAGTGGGATCATGCTATGGGTGCAATGGTGGAGCTAATCTGATCCTCCCAGGTGTGCCTGCACCTTGCTGAGCTCCCTGCTGCCTTGCTCCCCTCCCTCCGGTAAGCAACAGTGATGTGCAGCATTAGGAAGTCAGGAGAGCAACACAGCCCCACTTGCCCCACCAACTACTACTGGGCCTGTGCCTTGATTGGACCCAGAGAGCAGGCCTAGCACCAATGGGTGGACATTACAGGGAAGCAGATTTCAGCTATACATTAAGTGACTTCAGAATGGTTAGAGCTGATCAGTGATGGAACAGACTGCCTCAGGAAATGGCATGAAGATGCTCAGGCAGGGGCTGGCCACCTGTCAGGGATGCTTCAATTGCATCCTACAGTACAGGTTGTGCATGGAGCATGGAGGGCTCAGGGAAGATGTGAGCTGTGCTCCAACAGCATCTGGGCAAGGCTGAAGAGCACTGGACCAGGGTTCCTTAGAGCACTACATTCTATGGACTCTCTCCCTATGAATCCTTTTCTGCATGATGATAAATACCTTTGAATGGGACGTGTTGAGGAATGCATTATCTAGGGATGCTTAAGGAATCCAGTCTTTGTGATTTGATATAAACCAAACTGGATCTCCTGAACTAGTGTATCCACCAGCTTTTGCACTTCCTAATCAATTCCCCCACACTTTTTTTATATATTGTGAATATATCGGGAATTAAAATCATTGAGCAAATCCCTTTGCTATGTCAATTTCAAGGAAAAACAATTTCAACAGGACCACGGAGGGATGAAAATGGAATTTCCCAATATCTTTTTAAAGGACTTGTTTTCATTTTCCCCCTTCCCCCACTCTCTATCTCTCATCTAGGGGTTCAATTGGACACTCTTCATCCAAAATGTAATGACTTCGGTTAACGTTGAGATCAGTCCCAATGAGGAGGTGGTCGTGCACGGAATGCCATATCTTCGGGAGCTAAAAGCTGTCATCGCCAGTTATTCAGCCAGGTAGGGATGCCAGATTTCTTGGACTGAGGTGGGAGAAGGGAGGGAGAAGAAGGGAGCATATATAAAAACATAAAGAGAGAGAAAATGAAACAGTAAAAGAGAAGCAAAAAGTAAAACAGAGAAACAAACAAGGAGAAGAGGAATTGGGGAGAAATACAATTCAGTCCACATTTAGAGGCGAATTTACTTAATCTGCATTTCCCCAAGCAACACACAGATCAAAACACAGACATCTTTCAAAAATTCACACTTTTCTGAATTTTTCTTTCCAGTTTTCCAGCCAGGTAATATGAACAAAAATGCATATGCTAGAGTAGAGTGTGCCTATAAATGCACGTATTAGTGAAACTAACGTACAAAAGTGCATTATTTTAGAGAAATCGTCTTGCAAAAAAACCCAACACGGTTATTATTGGTGAAACAAACAGGCAAAAATGCATTGTATTTATTAAGTTACATGGCTTTGCAAAACATGTGTATATCAGGCAAAACATTATCATCATCATCATTATTATTATTTATTTGCAAACTGATGTTGAAATGTGAAGACGTGAACTTAAAGCTGAAAAAAGAGAAACTGAGTTAAACTAAAACTGACAGAGCATGACTGAGTAAAAGAGAAACACAGAAAGAGGGAGAGAAAATGAATAGAAAGAGACACTGTGAGTGAGTGAGTATGAGAGAGAGAGAGAGCAACTCATCTGCACTATACATTTAAAGCAGTATCATGGTGCTTCACAGTCATGGCTTCCCCCAAAGAATTCTGGGAGCTATAGTTCAAGTGCGATGAGAGTTGTTGGGAGACCCGTATTCTTTGAGGGAAGCCATGACTGCTTAAATTGGCATCATAGTGCTTCCACTGTATGGGTTGAAAGTGATCTCAGTGTCACTCTTTAAATGATGACATTGGACTTATTATGGCTGAAGCGCTATGTGCACAGCTCCATTAAACATTGTTGTTGTTGTTGTTTAGTCGTTTAGTCGTGTCCGACTGTTCATGACCCCATGGACCAGAGCACGCCAGGCACTCTTGTCTTCCACTGCCTCCCGCAGTTTGGTCAAACTCATGCTGGTAGCTTCGAGAACACTGTCCAACCATCTCATCCTCTGTCATCCCCTTCTCCTTGTGCCCTCAATCTTACCCAACATCAGAGGTTTTTTCCAGGGAGTCTTCTCTTCTCATGAGGTGGCCAAAGTATTGGAGCCTCAGCTTCAGGATCTGTCCTTCCAGTGAGCACTCAGGGCTGAGTACTCATTAAACATAGCATTAAACATAGCAGGACTTAATGGCTGAGTAAATTGGCTGAGGACTGCATTGCAAGTTATAGCAGAGCTTATGCATTAGATATGCTTCAGAGTGTCTTTTACTGAATGATGCAGTAATGGGAGCAGTGGGGAGGAAAGAGACAATCTAACCCCTTCCTTCCTAGATGTTTATCAGTTCAAAATCACCCCGAGGGGTTTTAAATTTCAAGAGGGTTTTAGTAATTAAATTATGTAGTGAGCAACCAGTTTAACAATTCCTCACTTCTGCTCTTCCTTTCCCCCCTCCCATGTATGCATACACCCCCAGCACAATCCAGAACTATCTGGTGTGGCGCCTGGTACTTGACAGAGTCAGTGGTTTGAGCCGGCGTTTCAAGGAGGCCAGGGCAAACTACCGAAAGGTAACACTCTCCCACTTTTTACTCACAGGTTTTACTCATATCATTTTGGGCGGAGCCATTTACTAGTGTTATAGGTACTTTTCACTTTCTTTGGGAGGGGGGAATTTCTAGGTGTATGTTGCAATTGGATTATCAAGATGGCCACCGACCTCTGAGGCAAGGCGAGGCAGCTGCTCTCACAGTTTTACTGTTTTATTGCCCTATTTTATTATTTTATTGTTTACTTCCTTGTTATTTCACTGGTAAGACTCTGATGGGATTTCTGCTGAGACACTAAAAAAATATGCAGATTGGTGAGCATCACCACTTGCTAACCTTTTCACTCTTATAGACCAAAATGGAATTATAACAAAATCATGGTTAACGTTTGTAATTATCCCAATTTATTTATTTTTTTTAAAAAAGCTATCCTGAGCAGCTGTGTAACTACCGCCCTATTAGTCTCCTGTCCACTATAAGCAGTGCTTTTTTCCTTAAAAAAATGTTTAGGGATACTCTCAATTTGACTCAAGAAAATCACCATTTTTATAGCTCAAATCAGGAAAAATAAATAACAGTAAATGGACAAAAGTACAAAGATTCACAAAATGCTTAGGGGTATGCGTACCCCCGCGTCTCCCCCCACCCCAAAAAAACACTGACTATAAGTAAACTCTACTCTAAACATTTAGAGCACTATCTATTGGATTGGATTAAAATGAATAGAATTACTGACCCTGAGCAGATCAGATTTACAAAACAGAAATCAAATGCCAGGGATTGAACTGGGAACCATCTGCTTGCAAAGCACATGCTCTGCTACTGAGCTCCAGCCTCTTGGCTCTGTATCTTGATGTCTTACATATTTTCTACTGTGGCTTGTATTTATTTCACTTGTGTACATTTATTTACCTAATAGCATTGTTTTGAGATATGCTCAGAGCATAGCTCTTCACAATACTCGACAATCAGCTGATAGTTGGGTATTACACAGCCCCAATCCAAGCACTTGCTTTCAAACTATGCAGGCAAAAAATAAAATAAAAAATGGGTCATCTGATATCATTGCGATGGCAGGTGGTTGATGGGTAGATGACCTGTCAAACTTGGCCTGTAGCAGGTGGAAGTGATAAACATTCTGGCTCCCCAGCCAGATCTAATTCTCCCCATCACCACCACCCTGCAGGAGGGCATTAAGATAGTCTAAACCAGAGGTTGTCAACCTGGTTCCTACCGCCCACTAGTGGGTGTTTCGGGATTCTAGGTGGGCAGTAGGGGGTTCTATGGCACAAGCTGAATCCTCCTTCCATCAAGCACTGGTGGGCGGTAAGGAAATTTTACCATCAAGAAAGATGCATTAGTGCAGACATAGGCAAACTCCGGCCCTCCAGATGTTTGGGACTACAGTTCCCATCATCCCTAGCTAACAGGACCAGTGGTCAGGGATGATGGGAATTGTAGTCCCAAACATCTGGAGGGCCGGAGTTTGCCTATGCCTGCATTAGTGGGTGGTAGGTATAAAAAGGTAGACTACCCCTGGTCTAGACTGTGGACAACCTTAGAACAAAGAACAAGGAGCTTGTGCTGGGCAGATAAGGAGTTTGGAAGCCAGCTGAAGGGATGTTGGGAGCAGGCATGATGTGGTCTGGATGATGAGAGAAGTGTTGGGACTTCTTTTCTCCAAGGCACTTTATGGCATGATGCTAGAAGAAGCTCGATGGCGGGAATGTGTGAGCTACGTCAACACCAACATGGAGAATGCAGTAGGAGCTCTGTATGTTAGAGAGACTTTTGCTGGCAAGAGCAAAAGTATGGTATGTTGTTGTCTCATGATTTTCTTATTTTTCCATGTTCCTACACCCCTCACCGTCCCAGCCACTGTGAAACTGGAAGTGAAAATGACTGACCTTATCATAGTCATATGAAAGTGTGAATTTCAGTGATCTCCAAACAAGCCCATGGTTCTTTCTTTTGATCATGCAGCAATATAGGAGGGAACTGACACAGATACATTTCTGCTAGCAAAGAAACAACCTTAATGTGCCTAGCTTAGCCCACACCAACGGCACTGACTTGGGCCCCATACTGTAGGTGCCCAGCGTGCCCCAACCACACCATAATATCATGACACACACGCCGTGACATCACGACACACGCTGTAGTGTCATGATGTCATAGGGCAGCGGTTCTCAACTTGTGGGTCCCCAGATGTTGTTGGACTACAACTCCCATCATCCATAGCTAGCAAGGCCAGAGCTCAGGGATGATGGGAGTTGTAGTCCAATCACATCTGGGGACCCACAGGTTGAGAACCGCTATCATAGGGTGCAGCGCAAGCCCCAGTGGCACAGCAACAATTGCACCCTTCCCGTCCAAATGTCACATTTTCTCTCTCCCCCAACTCTGTGTTCTCTTCCACCTCCCCAAATCCATGCTCTCTCTTCCCTCCTGCCAGATATCTGCACTCTTTGCACACCTGCCCCCACATTTTGTAGATGCACAGCCCCTATATGGGTAATTTTGTGGGAGCTCAGGCACCCAGAGCCCTGGGGAGATGGGGCCTATGGCCCAGACCTGATGGAGCTTCACTTGGAGCTCTACATTCTGTTATTGGAAACGGCATGAGAATTATACCTCCCCCCATCTATTTTTGCCTCAGGTCCGAGACCTCATTGAGAAAATTCGTGAAGTGTTTATCGAGACACTGGATGAATTGCAGTGGATGGATGAAGCATCGAAAGGGAAAGCTCGGGAGAAGGTCAGAAGAAATGTGTGTCTAAGAATAGTTTTCAGTAATGAAATTTCACATGATTGGGGTTTTTTTCCATATTTTAAAAAATAGCAAATATATCAGACGTTCATATATCTTATGAAGACCATTTCTCTGTCTGTCTCAAATATGAAGCAATGGAGAATTTCCATGCAAGATGCAGAATAGGGGTGAGCAAGCCTAGGACAGGGGGATGAATGTGGCCCTCCATACACCTCTATCTGGCCCCCCAAACTCTCCACAGATAGCATTCCCTCCCCAACCACACACCCCTCACCATCGCTTATTGCATCCTCCTTGAGTGCTTTTGCCTTGCTGGGATACGTCCTTGAACTCTGATGATGCTTTTACAGAGGAAAGAGTGGTGTGAGTCCACTTAGAAACTAGCCTACAGCACAAAGGGGGTAAATTGTATGTGTTGCTCTGCTCACTTTGCCTCTGGCCCTGCCCACCACTGACATGTTGTGTCCAAAGGGTTCCCCACAAGGTCATGTGCCCCTCTGGTTGAAAAAGAGGGGAAAGCAGGTATACAGTAAGTTGCATTTCAGCTCTGCAAAAATCAGAGGTTTCTATACATGTTTGTTCCAGAGGATTATCTCAGTTCAAAGACAGGCAAAAGCACTTGAGAAGGATGGCGAACAGGACCAGTGCGAAGCCTGTCCTGAACACGGGGAATGGTCAAGGGTGATGTCCAAGGGCCAGATGGAGAGGCCTGGAGGGCCAGATTTGGACCCCCAGTCCTGAGGTTATCCCCCACCCCCAGTTTGCACCTTCATTGAGAAATAAATATTGGTGTGCTTTGGATCTTCTGAAGTATTGTAAACTGCCTCGCCCATGGCAAACAGTAGTGTAAAATAAATATTGTGGTGTTTTTAAAAAATAAATGAATGTGAAAGGTTGGAAAAATTGTATACAGACACTGTAAAATAAAATAAACAAACCCAGTAGATGGATATGATACTGCCTGGACCTGGAGAAAGGCAGGAAGTGAGGGTTTGGTTTCTGCTGTCTTCTTCTAGGTGACTGCAATTAAAGAGCAGATAGGTTACCCGGACTACATTCTCGAAGGTCAGAATGAAAAGCTAGATCGGGAATACACAAATGTAAGTGTGAAGGCGATACCTGGACATTTCCATTAAGGACAGTTTTGGGATTGTAGCCAATTGGTGGTCCTACTCAGAGTAGACCAAATGACTTTAAGGGATATGACTAACTTGGGTTTATTAATTTCGTTGGGTCTGCCCTAAGTAGAACTTAGAATCATTGAATTGTAGCGTTGTAATTGACCACAAGTCATCTAGTCCAACCCCATGCAATGCAGCAACCTTTTGCCCAACATGGGATTTGAAGCCACAACACTGAGATTAAAAGTCTCATGCTCTACTGGCTGAGCTATCCCTTCTTCATTGGATGTAACATTTTGTCTATAATTACTGGTAAAGGTAAAGGTAAAGGGACCCCTGACCATTAGGTCCAGTCGTGGCTGACTCTGGGGTTGCGGTGTTCATCTCTCTTTATTGGCCGAGGAAGCCAGCGTACAGCTTCCGGGTCATGTGGCCAGCATGACTAAGCCACTTCTGGCAAACCAGAGCAGCGCACAGAAATGCCATTTACCTTCCCGCTGCAGCGGTATCTATTTATCTACTTGCACTTCATGATTTTGAACTGCTAGGTTGGCAGGAGCAGGGACCGAGCAATGGGAGCTGACCCTGTCACGGAAATTCGAACCGCCAACCTTCTGGTTGGCATGTCCTAGGCTCTGTGGTTTAACCCACAGCGCCACCCACGATAATTACTGGTAGACATGCTTTATAAGACAATTATTTTTACACAATCATACTCCCTTTGGTTTTTCTATGTAACTGGGCATTGGTGTCTACTTGGTAATAGGGGCAACAACTCAGCAAAAGGACCTTCAAATGCTTGAAGACAAATGCTTGTATTATTATTAATTTTTACAGCTGAACTTCAGTGAGCATGAGTACTTTCAAAACATCCTGCAAAACCTCCAACATGGAGCTCAGAAAAGCCTGAGGAAGCTCCGGGAGAAGGTTGACCAAGACCTGTGTGTATCTCTATGGATTGCATAATGTCTTGCAACAGGACAGGGGAAGCACTTTCAGCCTAGGGGTGAAACAATCCAGGGGCAATAATCCAGGGGCCGCGTGCTAGCGGGTTAATGGGGAAAGAAGCAAAAGTGGGCAGAACAACAAATGTAAATTCTACTTTCGTAGAGTAGGTTGGGTTCTGTACACTCTCTGTCCTGCCTTCAGCCAGGCAAGAAACATTTTCAGAGACCCAGGGCACATTCCAGCCAGACAAAAACATTCAAAAGAGGGTGAAGTTCAGGGAGAGTAGAGGGGGGACCCCCATGGGTCAGACAGAAAGGCCTTGAGGGCCACATTTATTCATTTTGCCAAGATAATATGGGTATTCAGGGAGCAGAAGGCATCTTTAGGGGACAAAATGGGCTCAGCAGCTCTTAAACCTCCAGTGCCTGCTGATTATTCCCTACAAACCAGACTTTGGGGCAGAGATCCAGGGCCTCACTCAGCAGAATGAACCCCAAAATGAGTGAAGCAATTCACATTTCCATCAAACGAGAGGGTGTGTGTAAGATCATGAAGTCCAAAATCTGAAACTAGGCCACAGAGCATCAACTTTGTGATCAGAAGGTCCAAGGTTCCATTCTTACCATCCCCAGGCAGGGATGGGAAAGACTCCCTGTCTAAAACTCTGGAGAGCTACTGCCAGTCATTGTAGACAATACTGAGTTAGATAGACCAGTGGTCTAACTCAGTATGAGATTTTCCTATGAACCTAACTGCACCTCTGCTATGGAGTGGGACATGATTTGCTTAACATGGAGGGGAATCAGAGGGTGGTAGGCCCCCTCAAACTTTTTGCCCCAAATCCAAACATTGTTTCAGAATCTTAATGAAAATGAAATGATGGGGGAAGCTTGCAGATAAGAAATATTAAAGAATTCCCTGCCCTCTAATGCTTCTATGACATTTACCTAATGAGGGTCAGCACAGAGTTCAGAAGCTCAACCTTCCAATAATAGGATATTTCTACTGCTTTATGTTAGCAACTGTCCCATTGTTGTGCTGGGCCCCCTCCTCTGTTTGTGTGGGTGTTTTCCTCCTTGCATCATGCTACACGAGTTAGCACTGATCCTGACAACGGCTTTCATCGCTGATCTCTTTCAGGTGGTTAATTGGTGCTGCTGTGGTCAATGCCTTCTACTCCCCTAACCGGAACCAAATTGGTAAGTCCCAAAATATTCCAACAGATTTAGGTGGCAACCCTGAACATACCTACTCAAAGTAAACCAGTGGGACTTACTCCGAGGTAAGTTAGCAGTGAAAAATGCATGTTTTAGTGACGAATCAAAAGAAAAAAAATGCATTTCAATAGCTTTGCAGGATATTAGGCAAAATGGCATGCAAAGAAGAAATTCAGACTGAAATGGTGCTGGATTTTCCTGAAAACTTTTTTTGGGGTGGTGGTGGGGAACCCCACAAATGTGCGTGGAAATGTGGAGAACTGAACTTTCAAGTGGGACAATAAGAAACTGAAAGTAAGATTCACCCCTCCCTGGTGCACGCCTGTAGACCATGTGATACTCTTGGCAATGGAACACACTTGCTGGGCAGGGATATGTGGAGCTAGGAAGGCCCTTAGGTAGCCAAGTTGCTCAGGGCTTTAAATGCTGAAAGAAGAACCCTTAACTGCACCCAGTAGCATGCCAGCAGCCAATGTAGCTTCCACAGCAGAGGCTTAGCATCCAGGAAATCCATGCAGTTCCTCAGTCACCCTCAAAATCTATCACACTGAATGATCTTCCATTGCCATCATAATTTCCCTTTTCATCTATTTTCTGTAGTATTCCCAGCTGGGATCCTGCAGCCTCCCTTTTTCAGCAAGCACCAGCCGCAAGCCCTCAACTTTGGAGGTATTGGGATGGTAATCGGACATGAAATCACTCATGGGTTTGATGACAATGGTAAGGCAAGTCAGCAGAGCAGCTTGATCTGCCCCTTCCCTGGTAGCTCGCTGGGTTGGGAAGAAAGGACGGGGAGAAAGGGGGTTCAGAAACAGAGAGAGAATTAGGTGTCAACAAAAGAGAGGGGAGAAAGTCGTAGGGATGTTTGGAGAAAGAGAGAGGTGTTAGCAGTGCTATTTTTGTAGGAAAAGAGGTGCCAGAGCTCAAAACGAACCCTTGTTGCGTAGCGAATTTTCCCCCCAGTGGAAATAATGACACATGACACAATTATTAAGGTTAATGAGCTAAATAAGGCCACAACTTTATTGGTTACAGGTGATGAGCGGTATTGGCTTAGGCATTGGTCCTAACCAACTATATCCAACTTCAGCTCGTCCACTTGAAGTCCAGGAAGGGTTAACCACCAGTAGGGAGAGTCCTGCTGATGCACATCAACTAGGAACTCCCCCAGGGTCACCGATTGGGGGTGTGCCTTAGGCCCTCACCTCCATAGGCTTCGGACAGGGCCACGTCCCTTGGAATCCTTTTTCGGACTACCCTTCAATATACGGGCAGGTGATGGCGTTACCTCCCCTCTTCCATCTACAGTACCAATACCAATGCCTAACTGCCAATACCAAGAAAGTTTTGGTGATTTGTAGGCGAAAACCAAGTGGCTGGTGCCAATTTGCTAAGTGGAAAAATTCCTACAGGCCCCTCAACAGTGACCAACCGAGGTCCATAGCAAGGTCAAAGAACAAAAACCTTATAGGGCGGGAGGGTGGAAAAAGCAGGAACAGTTGGCAGGTGGCAAAGAGGGAGATCCCCAGCCGTGTCCCAGTTTAAATAGAGCAGGCCACACCCCCAGAGCCAGCCGATTGGCTGGCCAGGAGGTGACACAGCCAGGAATCCCCCCAATCGTGCGGTGGGGCCGTGAAGCCCGCAACTCCACCTCCTCCGAAGGGCAGAAGTGGCTTTCTCTTAGAACAGCAATGGCGCCCACCTGAGAGGTGCCAGAGCTGAGCTCTGGCTGCAAAAAAAAGCCCTGGGAGTTAGAAAGAGTGAGGGAGAAACATGGGAGTGTTGGAGAACGAGAGAGAGAAAAAACAACATGGTGGGTTGGAGAAAGAGAGAGAGAAATAAAACCATAGGGGTGTCAGAGAGAGGAGTGTCATAGCAAGCCTATCCAGTCAAATAGCTTAGTTCTCTTTCTCAAGTCTGGCAGATTTTGGTATGTGTTTTGTTGGAGATATATATATATTTATATATATGAGAAGTGGATTTTAGCTGTGTTTCATATATAATTTTAGAACTTAGAACTTTTTTTTGTAAGTGGTCTACAAATACTGTGTTTCCACATAAATAAAAAGGAGGTGGCCCTGCCTACCATCTGTGGCCTAGGGCCCCTGTGTTGTGATGTGAGTCCCTACCAAGTTGCTCATTTCTTTCTCCTCCTCCCCAAACAGGCAGGAATTTCGACAAAGAGGGCAACATGTTTGACTGGTGGAGCAACTTCTCTGCCACCCACTTCAAGGAGCAGTCGCGCTGCATGATCTACCAGTATGGCAACTACACCTGGGAGCTGGCAGGGGGACAAAATGTGAGTTGGGGCCATGGAGGCACTGCCCCACCAACCTCAGTATGCTCTCAATCAGCCCCCACCTTCATACCTTCTTACTTATGATGAGTCTAGGGGGTGCCCATGCCTGTCACCTTCCTTCTTCTCAGTCTCAGTGTTGCCCTTGCAGAACTCAGCAGAGGAGGAGGATGGGGGCAAAACTAGAATTAGCTGGCCCTGCCTCTGGCGCCACCTGCTGGTGGGCTCCCTGCTTTCTGCCCTACCAGTTCCCATGGGCAGCCACCAAAGGCTCCACTTCCTAGCCCATCGTTCATTAAGACCAGATTGATGAGTATCTGGGAGAGGCCCTTTTTTGTGGGTGGTGCCACGTATTGTGGAATTCTCTCCACAGGGAAATCCACTAAGTCAAGGGTTGCCCTTGGGGGGGGGCAGTGGGCACATCTGAAATTCTGAGTGCATTGTCACCCGTCACAAAATGGCTGCTATGTAGTGCAATGATTTCAAAAGTTCAAAATTATTTCGAGCTATAATACAACCGTATGTGGAACTGAAGAGCATTTGTTGTCATAGGTCAGTGGAATCAACACACTGGGAGAAAACATTGCCGATAATGGAGGCGTCCGTCAGGCCTACAAGGTGATTTGAAACTGTTGTGTGTTTTCACTGAGAGGTTCTGCAAGATTACTTATTCACGGCTGGAAACTGGGGGTTGAATTTTCTGCTTCTGGGTTGTATATTATTATAGATGTTGATGATGAGAATAGTGGGTGAGATGCTCCTAAGACGTCCCATCAGCATAATGATTTCTGCATGTGCAATGGGGCTTTTGCTCCCTTCCCTTCACCCTTCACACACCCCACACCTCCCAAAATTCACTTGGGGGGCAGGAGAATGCCCAGAACAGCCCACAGGGAGGAAGAGAGCAGATTGTTCTGCCTGACAAGCGGACATGCTTGACCAGATGAAACTTTGTCAGTGTGACATTGGCTTCCACCCAATGTACTGTAGCCAACTGAGTTTGCTCAGAGTAGAACCCTAGTAGTAGTATTAATAGTATTTTATTAATCGCCTTCTACACCAAGATTTCCCAGACTTGGGTCGCCAAGCTGTTTTTGGACTACAGTTCCCATCATCCCCAGCCACTGGTCCTGCTAGCTAGGGATGATGGAGGTTGTTCTACCTACACTATTGTCTCAAGATGACATCCAATAAAAACAGCCCAAAAAAAGCATTTAAACAAAAGGGTGGGGGTGAGAGGAAGCCAATTCATGTCAAGCAAAACTAAAACAATACACAATACTCATAGCAAAAGTCCATTTATCTCTCCGGGAAAACTTGTCGGGACAAAAATGTCCTCACTTGTTTCTGGAAAGTGCAGATAGTGGATGCTATTTTACAGAACTGAAAGCCCTGCTCTGAGTTACTATGGAGTGGGCTTCTGAGATCTTCAGAATTTGTAGGAGAAACTCCACTGACAGCCCTACAACAGGTGGATTTCGTATTTAGCAATTAGGGCATCTTGAGGCGGCCATCTGTTTTGTGAAAATAACAGGGGTGGGATAAGAGTTCATTTTTACTATTAGCCAGAGGTGGTGTAGTGGTAAGAGTATCAGGTCCAGGGCCCAGATGACCAGGGTTCAAATCCCCACTCGGCCATGAAGCTCTCTGAGTGACCTTGTGCCAGTCGCAGTATCCAGCCTTACCTACCTCACAGGGTAGGTTGTTGTGAGGATAAAAACAGGAGTGGGGTAGAGGCCCATGTGCCTCACCATAAGCTCCTTGGAATAATTTTGTTGTTTAGTTGTTTAGTTGTGTCCGACTCTTCGTGACCCCATGGACCAGAGCATGCCAAGCACTCCTGTCTTCCACTGCCTCCCACAGTTTGGTCAAATTCATGCTGGTACTTTAACACTGTCCAACCATCTCGTCCTCTGTCGTCCCCTTCTCCTTGTGCCCTCCATCTTTCCCAACATCAGGGTCTCTTCCAGGGAGTCTTGTTTCCTCATGAGGTGGCCAAAGTACTGGAGCCTCAGCTTCAGGATCTGTCCTTCCAGGGAGCACTCAGGACTGATTTCCTTCAGAATGGATAGGTTTGATCTTCTTGCAGTCCATGGGACTCTCAAGAGTCTCCTCGAGCACCATAATTCAAAAGCATCAATTATTCGGTGATCAGCCTTCTTTATGGTCCAGCTCTCACTTCCATACATCACTACTGGGAAAACCATAGCTTTAACCCTTGGAGTAATAGCGGGATATAAATGTAACAAGTGGAATGGTGGAGGATATTGTGTTTTTCAAGCTACTCATTTGGGTGTTTTAATTATTATTATTATTATTATTATTATTACAGGCCTATTTGAAATGGGTGGCAAAAGAAGGACAGGAACCAAGATTGCCTGGGCTTGATCTAACCCACAACCAGCTCTTCTTCCTCAACTTTGCACAGGTGTTTTTGATCACGGGAAAAGAGGATATTTATTTGGGAGCAGGGAGAGGGCTTATTTAATGTAATGTTATGCATTTGTCTGGCTTGTACGCTTTCTCCTTCTGAACCACATCGGCTCCTTAATGTGGGAGAGGTATCGGTCAGAAGCTCAAAAAGTGAATGAGATTTAATACCCTGAGGTTGGTGTGCCTGGCCCCTTCTTCCTGCAAGGAATCCCTCCAATACGCTGCGAGGGGTGGGAGCGAAATCCACAGCAAATATGCCTTCCAAAAAAATTGTGGCATTTGAAGCCACTGTGCTCACCTCATGTCTATTTGCATCAATTATCCTGCTGCTTTGCAGTCCCAGAGCTGTACTTGCACCCACAACATGGGTTGTAATATTCAATGTTCAGCTGACTCAAGCTTTGGGGTCAATGCTGATTTTGAATGGTTTTATCTGGGTATTCTGAGGCTTTCTAGACTCAGTTACAATCAAATTCATTGTCCATCTCCCAGGTATGGTGCGGTTCCTACAGGCCAGAATACGCCAGCCAGTCTATTAAGACTGATGTCCACAGTCCACTGAAATACAGGTAAAGCCCCCGTGAAGCCTTCTCCCACCTTCTGCTCACTCACAGACCGCCGCTGATCCAGTGGACCAGTTCACTACCTTTGCAATACTGCCAGCTTTCCATTTCTCTGCACCTGTTCTCACCAACAGCTCTCTCTTTCCCTGCTTCGCCAGGATTCTCAGCGGGGGAAATGAACAATTGGAATGTTCATAAGCATTCCGTAGCAGCTCAGCAGCTGCACTAGTGTCATTCCTCTGGAGCTGAGCACACTCAGCCAAAAAAGCAAGAATGGTTGCCAAAACTATAGTTTACTTTCTATTGCAAGGTGTTGTTTTGCCAAGTTTATTACATCCATTGATTGTCAGATTGCAGCCACAAAGTTACAATTCCCAGAGTAGTTTAGCAATTGATCCCTCTTCCTGGGGAATTCTGGGTGGGGAATAGGGATCTCCAAGCAACTCAGCACCCTTAGCAAACTGTAGCCCACAGGATTATTTGTGACCGTAGGAAGTGAGAAGAGTGTGCCTTCAATGTCTAATGTGGCTGACATGACACATTGTGAGGGGTGATTGTGCTCAGGCACACGAGGGGGAGTTTAAGACTTCCTTCCCTAGAAGCAGTTTTAGTGAAAATCCTCCCTCCCCAGGCAGCAATTAGCGTCCTGATAACGTTTGCCAAAGGGGACGCGGGTGGCGCTGTGGGTTAAACCACAGAGCCTAAGGCTTGCTGATCAGAAGGTCAGCGGTTTGAATCCCCGTGATGGGGTGAGCTCTGGTTGCTCTGTTCCTGCTCCTGCCAACCTAGCAGTTCGAAAGCACCTCAAAGTGCAAGTAGATAAGTCGGTACCACTCCGGCGGGAACGTAAACAGTGTTTCCGTGTGCTGCTCTGGTTCGCCAGAAGCGGCTTAGTCATGCTGGCCACATGACCCGGAAGCTGTACGCCGGCTCCCTCGGCCAATAAAGCGAGATGAGTGCCGCAACCCCAGAGTCTGTCACGACTGGACCTAATGTTCAGGGGTCCCTTTACTTTTAATGTTTGCCAAGGGGAGCATTATTACCTTCACCAAGGGGGGAGGGGGATGAATTCTGTCACTATTGCGATCCTTCACATGTGTGCTCTGGCTTACATGACAATCGCCCCCAACCACTCTTTTAGAAAAACTCACCACATAATTAATGGCATGTGCAATTAAAGCCATAAGTGGCAGGTCAATTAGTGGCAAAGCTGCCATAAGGAAAGATCACTTTCAGCCATTCCAAGTTCTATGCATTTTGTAAAAGAAAAGGCCCTCCTGTGGTTCTCACCTAATCCCACACATTCCTTTCCAGTCCTCAGCTTCTCTCTCTCATCTATTCTTCCCTCCTAGGGTGATGGGCTCCTTGCAAAACTTTGAAGCCTTTTCTGAAGTGTTTCACTGCAAGAAGGGCACCGCCATGCACCCCGCTGAGAAATGCAGGATCTGGTAGCCAAAGGACTTGGCCTCTACAGTCAGACCTCCGTTGTCCGAATTTGTTCGGGTTTCGCCAATGACGTGCCTGGTGGTCTATTTTGTCTCTTCCCCTTGCCTGCTCCAGTTCAATCACAGCCACGGTTTACGGTGCAACTATCGCAGCAATGGTGGGTCAAGCTACAGTTGTGACTGCGGTGATTCAAAGTGGACTAAGCACTAGTGTTTTGACATGCCACCTGTGTTGCTTCAGGAAAGAAAAGAAAAAAAAGACTCTCTCAAGACATTGACTGTTATTAAGATACATCAGGGTTCAAAAGATTAGCTACTTCAGAACAAAAGACAGTTCTATTTTTCAGCAAGGAGTATTACTTTTAATATGTCTTATGCCTTTTGGAAGTTTGGCAAAGTATCATTGAGGCTCCCTCACCCCATGCTGCTACTGTGTTCATCTTTGTCCGAGGATGAGATCGATCCACCAGCCCCTCCTAGCTGCACAATCTCATTTCATTCCCAATTAATGCTGCTTTTTGCATACAGCCTTGCTCTCAGACAAGTATGCATATAAGTCATAGAATAATGGGGATGTATCCCTGAGACCATCAAGTCCAACCTCCTTACTCAACACAGAATCTGCTGTGCAGGATGCGATTCCAGCATCTCTGACAGATTCCCTGCTTCAGTACCTCCAGTAAAAAATAATTGTAGCATTGTAGGGGGTTGGACTAGATGACCCTCAGGACCCAGTCCAACTCTACGATGCTGTGATTTTCTGCAGCAGTCACTTCAGCTGTTGATAAGCCTGTTAAACCTAAGACCATCTGTCTATAAGCAGAGGCTCTACCACTGCGCTGCAGCTCATTAACTTCATGGTGCTTGCCAGCCATGTCCTCTTCCAGGTACTCCATTCCATCCCCCTTATCAGTTTCTTTTCCTTTCTTCCTATTTTCCTCTATGATCCCCAAACCTGCTCAGCCCTCATTGGGCTGGGAGTTTTTTTGCAGCATGTGTGAGGGAGGGTTGCATCCATTAGGTTCCCATACATATATATATATATAACACATATACACACAGACATACACGCACTCATACACACACACACACACACACACACACACACACACACACACACTATTTCTGCAAACCATGAGTTTCAAGCATGCCAAGACCTCCTTCTCAGTTGCCCCATTTTGTTTTTTTATATACATTTTTATTAATTTTTTAACATATCAGTTCCAACAGTCATACAACATATCTTCACATCTTATACAATATTTTTGACTTCCGTCAACACCTCTGATGATTTTCCATTCTCAGTGACCCCATTTTGAGCTGCAATCCTGCTGGCACTCAGCAACGGAGTTTGCCAACAGGGGGACCAGAGGTGCTTGCACAACAAGCCTGCCTGGCAATTCTACATGCCTTTTTTTCCCAGCCAGGAGGGGTGGTGGGGGTTAGGGTGTGCTACCCATGCAAGTCCAACCAAAACAGCTGGAGGGACTGCACAGCAGCAGGGGGGGGTTGTTAGGGAACGTCCATACCCTCTACCCAACAGTAGATCGAATGGCTCGGTACACTGCCATGAAATTCCCCGCAGCTTGCATTGTGATGACCTCTTGTGAAAGGTAGCAACATGTCTTGGCTTTCATATGGTGAACTGTCTCTTCAGCCTGTCAGCTTTTGCTGTAAAGTGATGCTAAAATCCATTGGTTCCCTGGCACATCTTTTCTTTTAAATGCTTTCCACTGGCTTACTGGAATACAGAAACTCCACGTCGTCCAGAGGGCTGGGTAAGATAGAAGGCCCAGCAGCACAAATGCTTCACTCCATATCTTTCTAGAGCATGGTCTGCACCAATTTGCAGTAGCCCTCTGAGATGAGGGGACAGGGTGGTCTTTCCCAGCTCTACCTAGAGAAGCTAGGGATTGAAGCTGGGACTTTTTACAGGCAGAGTAGGTCCTCTACCACTTGCTGCATGCGGCCCCCAACCCAAACAAATGCCTAAGGAATGAATGCTTGAACACCCCATTTTCACAAAGCCAGTTGTAACTATTATAGAACCATAGAATTCTTGAGTTGGAAGGGTCCCTAGTCCAAAGCCCTGTAACTTAGTTTTTGAAACCTCCAATGAAGGCTAGTCATCCACCACCTTCCAAGGCAGCCCATTCCACTGTCAAAGAGCTCTTACCACCAGAAAGCTCTTCCTAATGTTTAGTTGGGATCTCCTTCCTTGCAACTTGAATCCACTGTTTTGTATCCCATCCTCCAGAGCAGCAGAAAACAAGCTTACTCCATCTTCCACATGGCAACCCTTCAGATACTTGTAGATGGTCATTATATCACATCTCCTCTTCTCCAGGCAAAACATACCCATCTGAAGCATACCCAGCCTTAGTGAGCACAAGGAGGCGTATTTCCCAACACTCACTGTATTCCTCTTCCTCCTGTAGCTTGTACCTACAGAGGAAGCTGCCTTGTCCTGTGTCAGGCCATTGGGTCCATCAAGCTCAGCACTATCCCCACTGATGGCCAGCAGCTCTCCAGGGTTTGGGACATTCCCAGCCCTACCTCAAGATGGTGCGGATTGAACCTAGGACCTTTCTGCACACAAAGCAGATCCTCTACCACTGAGCTGTGGCCCTCTCCCATAGAAGCACTCCACACATTCTAATTTGCAGTCTGCAGAGAAGATTGCAATGTCTGACAAGACTGGCCAACTTCTCCTTCAAACCTCCACAGGCAAAGGTTGCAGGGGAAACCCCTTGCAAGATCGCTGGCCCATTTGTAGTATACAAGCAAGAGATCAAAGCAGGAGTGGGGCAGCTGTGGACCCTCTGCATGTAGCTAGACTACAACATCCATCATCCCTGCCCATCCTCTGGCTGGGGCTGATGGGAATGCGCGTCCAACAACATACAGGAGAGACAACCAAAGACTCCATATCCAAGTGTTATGGAGACTCAGATTATTATTTTTAACAAAAAGGCTGCTCTTGTTTCTTTTCTAAATTCGGATGCACAGAAAATGAGGGGCAGGTGTGGGAAGAGAGAGGGAACAAAGAGAACCAGGAATGGATTTGCATGTGTGTTCCCTTAGAGAAGCAAGAACTCTCAGGAGCAGTGGTGGGGTCCACCAAAATTGCACAAGTCCACCAAAATTGTCCCCACAAATGACAGAGTCAAATTGGAAGCTCCACATCAAGTGCACATCATGTGTTGAGGAGATGGACACCACAGGACATCGTGCTTCCCTGCACCCGAAAGCAGCTGATTAACACCAGTAGCATGGTAACCAATTGGTAACAAGTTTATTCATTCTTCGTCAGGCAGATTTACAAAACGGGACAGAGCATCATCACCCTACTATGACAAACAGCTTGGTCTTCATTTGAAATGTGAAAAGGGGAGACGGATGGGAGAACAAGAGGCTCTTAGCAGTTTGGTCACTTTCTTCTTCATCTGCTACAAGCCTCACTGGTGCACTGCAGAACAGAGAAAGGGACTTGGTCCAATTGTTTATTGCAAAAGAAATACTCAGCCCCTTTCTCCCCCCATCCCTGCACAATGCATGGTATATTTAGCATCTTCAGATTTAAAACGCCATCTGTTTTTCTGTCTCAGCTTTGCTCATAATTGCTCTGTGACCTGCATTAAGTCGATACAAGGTTTCACCACCTAATTTTGAAGAGCCTAGTTTCCAATTGCACATTTGCTAGAGTCGTCATCAGATTCAAGAAGCCCTCCTTTTACAAGGGAGTATAGGAAGTTGCCTTAGGGACGCGGGTGGTGCTGTGGGTTAAACCACAGAGCCTAGGACTTGCCGATCAGAAGGGCGGCAGTTCGAATCCCCGCGACGGGGTGAGCTCCCGTTGCTCTGTCCCTGCTCCTGCCAACCTAGCAGTTTGAAAGCACCTCAAAGTGCAAGTAGATAAATAGGTACCACTCCGGCGGGAAGGTAAACAGCGTTTCCATGCGCTGCTCTGGTTCGCCAGAAGCGGCTTAGTCATGCCGTCCACATGACCCGGAAGCTGTACGCCGGCTCCCTCGGCCAATAAAGCGAGATGAGCGCCGCAACCCCAGAGTCAGTCACGACTGGACCTAATGGTCAGGGGTCCCTTTACCTTTACTATAGGAAGTTGCCTTAGGCTTATACCAAGTTGGGACCATGGGCCTACATAGCTCAGGACTGTCTGCAGTAGGGATGGGGTACGAATGTAAGAACCTTGCAGCTGGATCAGGCCAATGGCTCATCCAGTCCAGCATCCAGTGGGAAGGGAAGCCTGCCAGGAGAACCCAAGGATAACAGCACTCTCCCATTCTGTGTTTCATAGCAAGTGGTATTAAGAGCTTTACTGCCTCTGACAGAGGAGATAGCATGTAGTCATTGTGGCTAGTGGCCTCATTCTCCAAAGATTTATCTTCTTAAAGCTGTCCAAGTTGGCAATCATCACTACACCTTGCGGGAGTGAGTTCCATAGTTTAACCAGGCACTGTGTGAAGAAGTATTTTCTTTTGTCTGAACCTTCCAACTTCATTGAATGTCCGTAAGTTCTAGCGTTATGGGGGGGGGGACTGTTTTGCACTTACTCTACACAATGAATCATTTTATTTATTATTTTTTCCACTAAGGTTTTATTAAAGCTTTTTCATGATTAATAATAATAATAATAATAATAATTTTTATTTCTACCCCACCTATCTGGCTGGATTTCCCCAGCCACTCTGGGTGGTTTTCAACAGAACCTTAAAAACAGAATAAAACATCACACATTAAAAACTTCCCTATACAGGGCTGCCTTCAGATGTCTTCTAAAAGTCGGATAGTTATTTCCTTGACATCTGATGGGAGGGCCATACAATAAAATAAACTCATCTGAATAAAAACAAAATCAGAGAAAGTAAAAGCAAGTGGAGAGCCCTCTCTCAAAGGTAGCTCTTAACCCTTGTCTCACACAGAAAATGGTGGACCCTCCCAGCTCTCACCTGGGAGCTTTCTTCTCAGTCTCTCCCCCTGGGCAGTCTTCCCTGCCTACACCTTGCATCATTTTAAACACCTTTAAAACACTCCTGGGCAGCTCAAGTCAGCAGAGCATAGGACTCTTAATCTTAGGGTTGTGGGTTTGAGTCCCACATTGGACAAAATATTCCTGCATTGCAGGGGGTTGGACTAGATGACTCTTCTGGTCCCTTCCAACTCTACAGTATTATGATTTCATCATCACATTGCCTCAGATTTGCCTTTTCCCTAACCTAAGAAGTCTATACTGTTCTACATTTTCCTCACAGGGGATTTACCCATCCCCTTGATCAGCTTGGTGGCCCTTTTTTGAACATTTCCCAGCTCTACAGCAGACTTCCTCAACCTCGGCCCTCCAGATGTTTTTGGCCTACAACTCCCACGATCCCTAGCTAGCAGGCCAGTGGTCAGGGATGATGGGAATTGTAGTCTCAAAACAACCAGGCAACCAGAACTGTACACAGTACTCCAAATGTGTCCGTCCTGTAAATTTGTATGATGAAGTGCCAGTTCAGGACAAACAGATGTACTTCTTTCACACAGCACATAGTTAAACTATGGAACTCCCTGCCACAAGGTACACAGGGTTACCTTTTCCCAGTCCAAGGGCCACAATCCTGTGTGGGCAACCTTTCCAGGGCAACAAGCTCATGGTAGGTGGGACCAGAGGTATGAACATAGTTTGAGAAACCTTTCTGCCAGGCATATACAGTGGTACCTTGGGTTACATACACTTCAGGTTACAGACTCCGCTAACCCAGAAATAGTACCTCAGGTTAAGAACTTTGCTTCAGGATGAGAACAGAAATTGTGCAGCAGTGGTGCGGCAGCAGTAGAGGCCCCATTAGCTAAAGTGGTGCTTCAGGTAAGAACCGTTTCAGGTTAAGAACGGACCTCCAGAATGAATTAAGTTCTTAACCCGAGGTACCACTGTACACTCTCAAGGAGAGTGTGCGGCAAGGCTGGTAATGGGTGGGGCCCAAGGGCCAGGGGAAGAAGTGCAGAGGGCCTCATTTGGCTCCGCCCCTGGACTACTGGTTTCATATGCTGTCCCCAAAGTCCTTGGAGGAAGGGTAGGAGCCAAGGCTGATCTCCAAGACAGAGAGCTGCTCACCTGAGGCTTTGCTCCTTCTTCTACATTTGCAGAGATGCCAAGGGCAGTGACGATAGACTCCAACGGAAGGTAGTCACCAGGGGACTCCTGCGCAGAATACAAAAGCAGATTCTCCCCTCCTGGAATGAGAGGGGAAAGAGAGAGAAGAGGTAAACAGGTACTAGCTGTGGAACGCTAGTCTTAGCCCCCGTTTTGCATGTAGAAGGTCCCAGGTTCAATGCCTGGCATCTCCAAGTAGGGCTGGGAGAACGTCCTGTTTCTGAAGAGCCAGTCAGTATGGGCCAGGCTTCCTCAAACTCGGCCCTCCAGATATCTTGAGACTACAGTTCCCATTATTCCTGACCACTGTTCCTGCTAGCAAGGGATCATGGGAGTTGTAGGCCAAAAACATCTGAAGGGCCGAGTTTGAGGAAGCCTGGCTGTAGGCAATGCAAGGCTGGATGGATCATCAGGTCTCCCCTCCCTTTAAATGTCATCTGGCGGCACCAGGCTTCCTCAGCAGGAGAGATAGGAAGCAAAAGGCTTGTTGCATTTGAACCACCTCCATCAGGCACCTCCTGCCCCTGAACTATGCCAACTGTTCAATAGAGGAACAACTGTCTAGAAACTGGTGTGTTTTGAGTTTTGTTTTCCTCTTCCCTCCTTGTCCCTTTTCCCTTGTGTGTCGTTTGCTTGTTTGTTTGAGGAAGTGTCTTGTTTTGATTTTGTGTATGCCACCCTGGGAGCCTTTTTGGCTGAAGAGTGGGGTACAAACACTCTAAATAAATATACAAAAATAAGGCAGATTCCAGTGTTCCTGTGAAATGTTTTCTGCCCTCATCTTGCTCCTGGAAGAGAGCAATGGACATCTTTCAAGAACCATGCTGGGTCTGTCTATGGTAGCATCTTCTATTGCACAGCAGCCAGCCAGTAGCCCTCCCATCAGATGTCAAAGAAATAAACAACTATCTGACTTTTAGAAGACATTTGAAGACAGCCCTGTTTAGGGAAGTTTTTAATATTTGATGAATTATTTTATTTTAATCTTTTGTGGTAAACTGCCCAGAGTGGCTGGGGAAACCCAGCCATGGGCAGGGTATAAGTAATATAAAAAAAAAACTTTATTTATTTATTTATTATTAAAGAAGCTAAGAATTGTCTAGTGTGGGTGGCAGTAGCTTTCCCATAATTTTTTATTGATTTTCATACAATTAAAAAAATTCTATTCCGTTTCAATACAATATTCCTTTCACATTTTGACCTCCCATCCTTATTTCCATGATGTTTCTGTTCAAATCCTTTATCTAATGCCTCACATGTAATACTTATTTCTATAATGTATATCCTACATCACATTCCTTTATCATTCTCATTCCTTTGCTTACATTCCTCATTCCTCCTGCCTACCATTTCGTTTCACTATAATATTTTCTCAACTCTTCCACAAACATTTTGTCTTTTTTGTCTCTTATTTTTGCCATCCATTTTGCCATCTCCATATAGTATAATAGTTTGAGTCCCACTATTTCGTTGGAACTTCTTTCATTTCTGCGCATATGGAATTCCGGCTGTAGCAGCAGCATACATAAACAACTTTTGACCAACTTTTTTGAGGCCCACCCCATTATTCCCCCCAAAAATGCTTCAGGCTTTTTTTTGGGGGGGTGACTATTTTAACCATCTTTTTCAATCCATTATGTATCACTTCCCAAAAGCCTGTTGCTTTTTTTACAAGTCCACCACATATGAAAAAACGGCCCTTCAGACTTCTGCATTTCCAACCTTTACTTGATACAGTTTTGTACATCATGGCCAGTTTATTAGTTGTTAAATACCATCTGTATATCATTTTCCAATAGCTTTCCTTTAACATGTAGCAGGCTAGACTGGTGACTGGGAGCAGCCACCGAGACAACATAACACCGGTCTTGAAAGAGCTACATTGTCTCCCAATATGTTTCCGAGCACAATTCAAAGTGTTGGTGCTGACCATCTCCACCCCCATCATTCAGCCTGGACACTGAGGTCCAGCTCTGAGGGCCTTCTGGAGGTTCCCTTGCTGCAAGAAGCAAAGTTACAGGGAACCAGGCAGAGGGCCTTCTCGGTAGTGGCTCCCGCCCTGTGGAATGCCCTCCCATCAGATATCAAAGGAATAAACAACTATCTGACATTTAGAAGACATCTGAAGTTTTTTAATGACTGATGTTTTAATGTATTTTTAATCTCCTGTTGGAAGCTGCCCAGAGTGGCTGGGGAAACCCAGCCAGATGGGTGGGGTATAAGTAATAAATTATTATTATTATTAATTATATTTCATATCTACTCTCCACAACTTTTCCCTACAGCTCTCCAGAGTTTCACGCAAAATTATTCTCCCAGCCCTACCTTCAGGCATTGGAGATTGAACCTGAAACCTTTTGCATGCAAATCAGATACTCTACCACTGAGCTACATCCCTTCCCCCAAACAAGCTAATGTTATATATTTTCTAAGCCATTTACGTTGTCTTTGCAATGTGCAAAAAACCAATCCCCATTAACAGAAATTGAGCCTGGGCAGTGGAAGGTTGCCCCCTTACCTTGGCCAACTATCAGCGTCCCACCGCTCTGCAGAAGATCTCCAGAAAAGTTGCCTTGAATTCCGGCGGCGTTTGCCTGCAGCGGGGTGGGGAGGAAGAGAAGATAAAAGCCCAGGCCCCAATCCCCATCCGTTAAAGAGGCTTTTTCAGAAGTTACCCAGCATCCTCCAAGTCCCACTGGAGGCCAAGTCTAAGGACAACCCTCCATATTTCTGGAGGGTCCCTAGTTCAACGGTGAGGCCAAATGGTGGGCCAGAAGTTTCAGCTGGAACATTTTCCAGTGCTTTTGGAGACCATTTAAATGCAATGTTTGAGGGGGCTCACACTGGAAATAGGAGATGCTTGTTCCCCACCCCGAAATCTTTAAACATACTTTTTGCCAGCACAGCAAATCAGAAAAGTGACAAACACACTTGGACTTGGTGGTTTGGGAATTGCCAATAAGGCTTTGAACAGGGATGCCAAGCCTCAAGCCCAGGAGTCAAATCTGGCCCTCCTGGCCTTTCCATCAGGCCCCTGGAGCTCTCCCAAGCTACACCATTCACCCATCCTGCTTTGTGTCCTCCTTGAGAGCTGTCTGAAGGGGACCACAAATTCACTGCAGCTAGTGCAAACAGCACAGGCTAGGCGGACCACGGTCCTTCAATTTCATGTAGGGCATCATCCATTGTAACCAACAACCCCCAGGGATGTCAAAGTGTTCCTCTGTTAGCAACAGTCTTCACCAACTGACCTTTGTGATGACCTGTCGGACAGGCTTCCCCAGAGCTGCAGGGACTATACTTAAGGCATTGTACCTAAAAGGAGGAAGGCAAGTTAGAGTCAAAACATTAGGGACACAGGTGGAACATTATTTTCAAGAGTGGTGGCTTTGCAGGCAGAAGGTCTCAGGTTCAATCCTAAGAATCTCTAGATAGGGCTGGGAATGTCCTCTGTCTGCAGTGCTGTAGAGAGTAAGTGTAGACCAGTGTTTCTCAAGTTTGGGTCTCCAGCTGTTCTTGGACTACAACACCCATCATCCCTAGCTAGCAGGACCAGCGGTCAGGGATGATGGAAGTTGTAGTCTGGCAACAGCTAGAGACCCAAGTTTGAGAAACACTAGCATAGACCAGCAGTTCTCAACCTGTGGGTCCCCAGACGTTGTTGGACTACAACTCCCATCATCCCTGAACTCTGGCCTTGCTAGCTAGGGGTGATGAGTTGAGAAAGGCTAGCATTGACAGTTTTGAGCTAGATGGACCGATGGTCTGACTCTGTCTAAGGTCACTTCCTGTGTTCTTAAGACTACATGCCCCAGCTTTTGGTATGGAGGTTTGTGCGAATGGCACCCTGAAATTCTCTAACTGATTCAGTGGCTAGAGAAATTGAGAGGGGGGTGGCATTTTGCCAAATGTCTCCAGGAGGAGGAGATGATATCTAGGTTTCTCAGGGTGGGGCTCACCATTAGAAGTGGCAAGAACAGTTTTATTTTCTGGTGCTGTTGCGAGTGCAGAAACCGTGTTGAGAGCATGGCTATTATTTTGCAACCTCCCAATGCTCTGGACCTAGCATCATTTCAATATTCTTTGAGGAAGAGAGGAGAACTAGCCCCACTGTACATTGGGAAAGGCTGTGTGGAGAGAGTCTCTTCCTTTAAATTCCTAGGAGTTCATCTCAGTGAAGACCTTAGTTGGAAAATAAATACAACCCAGGTGGTTAAGAAAGCCCAACAGAGACTCCATCTCCTCAGAGTATTGCAGAAGAATGATGTCAATCAACATTTGATGATCTCCTTCTACAATAGAAAGTGTCCTTTCATACTGCATCATGGTATGGTACGCTGGTTTGACATCAACTGATAGGAAGTGCCTACAGAGGGTGGTGAATACAGAACAAGATATTATGGGCTGTCCTGTGAATCCGCTGGATGAAATAGCGGAAGAACGTTGCCTCAGGAGAGTGAGGAAAATTCTCAGGGATGATTCATACCCTGGCCGGCACTTTCTTGATCTCCTGCCCTCAGGCAGAAGATATAGAAGCATGATTAGTTGCACCAACAGGGTAAAGAACAGCTTCTATCTGTGGGCTGTTAGGCTGCTGAATGAAAAGATAACAACAGGGCAACTGACTTTCGGGTTTGGTGGGTGTACGTCAGTAAACGAGGGGAATTAAGACTAAGAGAGCTGAGTGGGGAGTGCTAGTGTAATCTCACTGTATACAAGTTGTACAAGTGCCAATAAAGTATTTCAATTTCAATATGTTTATGGGGAGAGAGGAGGTAGCCACCACATAAAAGAAGAAAGAAAAAAGTGCAGAATATTCTTGCGTGGGTGCAGGACTGAGTATGCAGTGTAAGTCTACACAGAGACTAGCCTACTGTGCAAAGGTAAGCTTTGTATTAGTAGCTCCACCCACTTTGGCCTCTGGCCCCTCCCACTACCGCTGCACGGTCCCTGAAAGGTTGCCCAGAAGGAATTGTGGCCCTCATTCTGAAAAAAGCTGCCTTACGTCATCAAGAAGAAAAGAGCCAGACACCTTTTTAAAACCCCAAAGCTCACATTTCAGAGAAATGGCCTGAGTTATCTGAGGGGCAAGGGGAAGAGCCACAGACCTTTGCCTAGGTTAAACTGTGCAGAATCTCTCACCAAGGTCACAGGTTCGATCCCCATGTGGGACAGCTGCATATTCCTGCATTACAGCGGGTTGGCCTAGATGATCCTCAGGGTCCCTTCAAACTCTACAATTCTATGATTCTATGGCACTATGGCCATGATCCAAAGCACACTTAATATATGGTTACCAGACGTCCCCGTTTCCTGGGGACAGTCCCCAGATTTACAAATCTGTCCCCGGACAAAGTCCGTCCCCGGAATGTCCCTAGATTTCATTTAATGTCCCCGGATTTATATTTGAAGTGTTGCAGATTTATAAGTAGGGAATGAATGTTGCGTGATTGGTTCAACGGCACAAGACACAACATATGGGGACTTCCGGTGAGGCGAAATGGCAGGCACGACGGAAGCGAGCAGCTCCTGAAGTCTGCCAGAGCCAACTGTTCCACTAAGCTGGCTCCGGGCTGCTGAGACTGCAGCTGCCACTGCCAAGGGGGAACCAGGGACACCCGGCGCATCAACTGGGGGAACTGCTGACCCTCCTGTAACCCAAATTGAGCCGGGAGTGAGAGCGCCTGGCCACCCGGCCGACTGCCCAGCAACACTCCGGGGCCAGGAAAAACCCCAGAGCTGATGCAGGGAGACGGAGGAGAGGAGAAGGAGAAGGAAGAGAGAGAAAGAGGAAGGAGAAAAAAGAGGGGAGCCCGACTTTGCCACGCCGCTGCAGCTGCTGAGGAGAAAAGATAGGAGAGCACCGGGAGGGCAAGGACACGTGGCCGAGCCCAGGCCCGACCTGAGCCTACTCCATGGCGGCTAGTGCTCCTAGAGAGCAGGATGGGGCCCAGAGGAAGGCCGCGCAACAGAGGAGACCACAGAAGAGAAGATATTTAAAAATAATAATTAAGAAGTAATAACTTTTAAAAAATAATTTTATTTATTTTCAAAAACAAAAGTGTCCCCGGATTCTTTGAAAAAATCTGGTAACCTTAACTTAATAGGGAGACAAATGCACGATTCTTATGACTCACCTTATTTTAATGATTGTAAGATGTTTCAAACTGTTTTCAATGTTGTGTTTTAATGTCGTAACCTGCCCTGGGACTTTAGGGTGGGTAACTAATAAGAACAATAATGCTCAATGAGACTTTCCAAGTCCACAACACACATGCTAAAAATGCAACATACCTTTTGAATCCGAGATCTTGGTAGCACTGTTTGGTTTCATCCAGATAGAGTTCTGAAAGAAAACCAGAAATTACTCAATGCAAAGACTAACATTTCCAGCCATCTAAAAGCCTGGAGGAGCATCCGTTGTTACTCCTACTCAGAGTAGACCCATGGGAATTAATGATGACTAATTGCTGCCAGGCTGCCTCAGTGGGAAAGAGATAATAAACAGGTCCATTCTATCTGCTTTCCTGAAAGTCCAGTTCCATCAGTCATCTCCTATCCCCTGAACTGTTTCTGTACCAGCCGCTCATTACAGGAGCTACTATTTAAGAACTGGTACCTGGGTTTGTTGGGTTTCCTCTTCCCTCCCTGTCCCTTTTTCCTTTTCTGTCATTTTTTTCCCCAGATTCCAAGCCTGTGGGCAAGGGTTGTTTTGTTTTACTGGCAGTACGTAAGCCCCCCTGGCAGTCTTTTTCATGAGGCATAAATGCTCTAAATAAATGAGAATGAGGCATAAATGCTCTAAATAAAAATAAACAACTTAGGTCTATTAATTTCAAGGGGCCTACTCAGAGTTGAGCGTAAAGGTAAAGGGACCCCTGACCATTAGGTCCAGTCGTGGCCGACTCTGGGGTTGTGGCGCTCATCTCACTTTATTGGCTGAGGGAGCCGGTGTACAGCTTCCGGGTCACGTGACCAGCATGACACAGCTGCTTCTGGCGAACCAGAGCAGCGCACGGAAATGCCATTTACCTTCCCGCCGGAGTGGTACCTATTTATCTACTTGCACTTTGACGTGCTTTCGAACTGCTAGGTTGGCAGGAGCAGGGACTGAGCAACGGGAGCTCACCCCGTCGCGGGGATTCGAACTGCCGACCTTCTGATCGGCAAGTCCTAGGCTCTGTGGTTTAACCCACAGCACCACCCGCATCCCTCTGAGTTGAACTTAGCTGGATGCAAACTACTGCATTTGTCGGGCTCAGTTTATACCCTATGCTTCTTTGTCTCCCAAAGACAGGAGAGAGTCACGAAGGCATCCACCTTTCAAGAAATACAAAGCCAACACAATTTCACCCAAGATGGGAAACCTGTGACCTTCCCAGATATTGTTGGACTCCCACTCCCACCATCCCCAGTTCACAGAGGCTGATGGGAGCTGGAGTTCCAACAAGATCTGAAGGGCCCGTTCTTACACATACGTTAAGACTAAAAACAAACAAAACCGTTCCATACAATTTTAATGTGGAGTGGCGGTTTCCGACAACCTTGCACAGGTCTAGCAAGGCAGATTCTGCTCACATGCCAAGCACAGAGGATGATTGGCTGGACAGTCAAACTTCTGCATTCTTGCTTTGAGCCGAGGTGGGCAGGGGCAGCCAGCAGTTAGCTTGGTGGGTTGTAAGCCAAGCCTTCCCTATACGAGTGGCATGTTAGTAGAGGCATATGTAATCGAGTTGGAAGGGATATCTGCTGCATAGCATCCCTGACTGGCTAGCCAGCCAACCTCTGCTGACAACATCCCCCATTGGCTAGCCATCCAACCTTTGCTTGCCACATTCCTGATTGGTTGTACTTCCAATGTCTGCTTCAACACATCTCCAAACAAAGGAGAGACCGTGTGCTCGGCTATCAAACAGCAGGTTCCCTTAAGTCAGGCATGGCCAAACTTGGCCCTCCAGCTGTTTTTTCTTTTCTTTTGTTCAATTTTATTTATTTTGTTTAAATAAGTAGTTCAGAAAAACAACAACCAAAAAAAGAATAGATTGAAGACACTCAAAATATTGAAAGCAAATATTACATACTTATAATATTCCTCCACACCTGCAGCTTCCCTCCGCCACAATTCTACTTCTTTGAATCTCTATTTCCACCTTTATCTTTGCATTCTCCAAATGTATTATTCTTTGTATTTCTTTTATCTCTTCTCTTTTGCAGTTCATAGATACACTTTACATTTTTATTTTAGGCATATTAGCATATCATTCTTAGAACAATATTTTAACATATAATCTTCAAAACATTTCCATTCCTTTTTAAATTTTTGATTTGACTGATATCTTATGATTGATATCAGTCATAAGATATCAGCCCTCCAGCTGTTTTGGGACAACAACTCTCATCATTCCTAGCTAACAGGGACCAGTGGTCAGGGATGATGGGAACTGTAGTCCCAAAACAGCTGGAGGGCCAAGTTTGGCCATGCCTACCTTAAGCACCCCACAAAAGGTCTCTCTCCCCCTTCCTTCATGGGGCTCCTACGATCCAAGACCTACCTCCCGCAAAGTAATTTCCCTCCAGGAACTCCTGCAGGCCTAGGCTTTCTGGCGCAACACCTATTAAGCGGACACCGTTACTCTCCAGCACCTCTCTCAGCTTGCTGGTTTCCTTGGCAATCCAGCGGCACACCTGGCACCCGAGGCGGCGCAAGAACAGCACCACGCAAGGACAATCCCTCCAAATGCTCCTCAGCTCCACCACCTGGAAAAACCAGACAAGATCATAAAAGTGGCTGCCCACACAAGATTCCTTCTTGTGGAACATGATGAGGCTTGAATGCCCAGCGAAAGAGCTCTTGGATAATAAAGTGGGCATAACAGGGGCTTGATCCTTATTTTTTGCAGAGCCAGATTTCTCAGACACCTCAGAAATGCAGGAGGATGTCTTCCACCAAGTCCATCTAACACAGAATTGTTTGTTCTGGCTCCCTCCAGAAGTTTTTGGACTACAAATCCCATCATCCTGGCTCTCTAGTAGTTTCTGAACTACAACTCCCATCATCCTGGCCATTGGCCATTCAAGCCGAGGATGATGAGAGTTGGAGCCCAGTAACATCTGAAGAACATCATGATTGGCCTATGTTGACTAGCTGTGGCACTTCAGAGCTTCAGTCTATCCCAGCCCTACCTGGAGCTGCCCGGCACTGAACCATACATGCAAAGCAGATATTCTTTTCCTTGAACCCTTGGCCTGAAGGTGCATAGGAAGCTGCCTTGTGCAGGGATGGACTTTGCCTCTCTTGCTCCAGGTTGTCTACTCACTGACAAGACAGCAGATCAGCATGGACAGGAGTCTTTCCCTGGAGATTCCAGGGACTGAACCTGGTACCTTCTGCATCCAAAGCATGTACTAAGCTGTTGAGCCTCAGCCTCACAATTAAGGAGGAAAAAACCAAAGGCTTCATGTGGAAGGTTCCGCTTAAACCAAGGTTTATATGCAGAACCTTTGGCTCTCCAAATATTGTTGGACTACAACTCCCATCAGCCCCAGCAAGCATGGCCAATGGTCAGGGATGATGGTAAATGTAGGCCGACATTTGGAAGGGAAAGGGTTCCCCACTTTGACATCACATGTGACATAGGTAGTGTTACAGCATGGAAACAAGGACTTTGACAGGTGGGCAGGACAAACCACCTGTCCATCATCACCTGGGGTCCTCACAACATCAGGTGGGTGACGTGTGGGTTCTCCCTGCCGCCTGCCAATGTTGGCCCACAGTGGTCAGGACAGAGAAGAATCAGGCTTGCAGAGCCAAAGAGATTCCCCAGTCCTGCTCTGCAGTATCCTTGTTTTGAAAGGGAGCCCAAGCTGTAGACTGAAAGAGTGGGAAGGTAATTGCTGGGATGCGGTGTTGACGAACTGTGAAATCCTGACAAGGCAGCTCAAGCAACAGCCTGGCAGATGGTCAAAGCACGACTCACAAGACTAGACCTACAAAACTCTGACGTAACAGGCAGGAGTGTCCCCAGATGGATTTCACATGCAATGTTTTATTTAGTGGTCACCAAGGAAGGCCAGGCTGAGGAATGCACAGGTCTTGGCACATGCAGGGCTTTACCCAGGCGCCAATCAGCTGATAGATGGTGCCTGCACGTCCCTTTCAGTCGATCCCCATCATCAGCTCTGCAGCTGGCATGTCAGGTATAAAGGTAAAGGGACCCCTGACCATTAGGTCCAGTCATGACTGACTCTGGGGTTGTGGCGCTCATCTCATTTTATTGGCCAAGAGAGCTTGCGTACAGCTTCCGGGTCATGTGGCCAGCATGACTAAGCCGCTTCTGGTGAACCAGAGCAGCGCACGGAAACGTCGTTTACCTTCCCGCCGGAGTGGTACCTATTTATCTACTTGCACTTTGACGTGCTTTCGAACTGCTAGGTTGGCAGCAGCAGGGACCGAGCAACGGGAGCTCACCCCGTTGCGGGGATTCGAACCGCCGGCCTTCTGATCGGCAAGTCCTAGGCTCTGTGGTTTAACCCACAGCGACACCCGCGTCCCAGGTATGTCAGGTATAGGGCAGGGATAATGGCTTGGCAAAACAACAACAACAACAACCAGCCAGGTGGACCAACTCAAGAGGCCTAGTGGGTCTAATTAAGCCAACAAGCCAGATGTTCTGCACCACTGATTTATTGCATGATTGTGCCCTACAGATCTTGTTTTTCCAAATAGTATGTACCAAACAAGGTAAATACCATGTGTTCTATGTAAGTTGAAACTAGGAGCGGTGCTAATTAAGGCAGCTGCTTTCTCCCTATTGGGAAAGGGCATCTTTGCAAATCATGATTTAAGAAATCCGACCTTGGTAGTTTCACACCACCTGGGACTGTATTTGGCCTCTGTGAACCAAGCAGGGTGTGAAAAGTATAGCCCACTTCCAATATCCATCTCCAAGACCAGCGGCTCAAGAGGACCGGGCATCATTAAGACAAGTGTTGAAAATAAAACTGCCAGGATCATAGATAGCTCTCTAGGAAGACCAGGGATAGCTCAGTCAGTAGAGCATGAGACTCTGGATCTCAGGGTTGTGGGTTCGAGTCCCACCTTGGGCGAAAGATTCCTGCATTGCAGGGGGTTGGACTAGATGTCCCTTGGGGGTCTATTCCAACTCCAGAATACTATGATTCATAATGCCTTTGTACAGATCTAGGGTACAACTGCACTTGGAATGCTGCGTGCATATGTTTTAAGAGTCAGAACAAAGTTTGGAAAGGACAGTAAAAGTGATCGAGGTAACTCTCATTTCAGATATTCCTCAAATGCATCCTTGGACAAATAAGCAATACTCTTAAGAAAATTGCATTTATAATTGTGGCAGCATCTACATTGCACTTGAGAAAACAAGTCTCTGTCTCCAAGGGGATACAATCTAGAAACAGACACAAAGGGAAACCACAGAAGAAAGGGTAAACCAGGGAATAATGGGCATTAATTTTACAGAATTTATAAATAATTTTAATTTTAATTAAATTATAATTATAATATTTAGACCCCTCTAGTTTTTTGGTATACATAAAAACTGGACAGAACACAGCCAAAATTGGCAGAGCAATTTAAAAACCACACACAAATATAATAATTAAAATACAGATAAAATCTGTAAAACTTTCACAACAAATATAGGCAGCTAAATCATATGTTTGGGTAGTCTTGCTGAAATAATGAAGTTTCCAGCAGGGGTCAAACTCAGTATAGCATAAGCTTATACCAGCATGATACTGTGAATTAAGTGATAAAGTTATCTCAGTCTCTATTCCTTCTCTATGGCCCCTAGAGCAGGCAAGAGGCTGCAATCCTACACACACTCATCTAGAAGTAAACCTCACTTAACTAGCAGGGCATAATCCTGAATCAAGACAGATATGGTTGCATTATTAACAGTGGCGTAGCGTGGGTTGTCAGCACCCGGGGCAAGGCAAGTAATTTGCACCCCCTAACCCGTGGATGTGCACCCCCTAACCCTAACCCCCAGATGTTGCGCCCGGTGCGGCCGGCCCCCCCTGCACCCTCCACACTACGCCACTGATTATTAACCAAGCGCAACATGTCGTTTTGGAACTATCATTCACAAAGCCCAGAGTTCAGATCTCACCCATTATAAGGCAAGCTTCTCTCAGCCCTACAACCACTCACCAGAGAAGTTTCTGAAATATGGGAATAAAACTAATTGGCCCGTAGGACAGTTGGTGAGTCAGACCACACAGAGTGATTTTCAACCCGCCAGAGTGCAGAATAATGAGGATAGCAGGATGCTAGGTTTGCTAAAAATAAAAGAAGTCACGTCGTTCCAGTACAGCTAGCTAACCAGCAGATACAACGCACAGCCTCCTTTCCTCTTCTGGAGGAAAGATCAGAAAGCAACCAAATTAAGCCACCCCTGCAGAGTGGACCTGTTTCAAACCCTCTCCCCGATCCGCTTCCATCACTGCTCCCTGCCCCCTTAAAGCAAAGAGCATGTCAGTTCTGCGCTGAAGACGCCCAAAGACAACGCACAACAACCTCTTAGAAATGGGAGACGAATAGCTCAGTTGGTTAGCTGGTTAAACCAGAGTTCAGCAGCAAAGCTCATGCCTTTTGCATGCAAAGGTTCTGGGTTCAGCCCCCAGGACCTCTCGTTAAAAAGGATCAAGCAGCAGCAGGAGAGATGACGACGACAGCGTTTCTCCCAGGACTCTTGAGGGGCGAACAGGCTGGCTGAGCGCAAGGCAAGAGCTCGGAATATTTAGGCAGTTACAAAACCACAACGCTTTTCCATGCAGGTAGCTGAAAATTTCAAGCGACTTGCCGGATCGCACCGTTTGCTATGCAGCTGCGGAATTACAAAATCGTAACACACACGCCCCGCCGTCTTATGTAAAGGGTCTCACCTCCCCACTGACTGCATGCTTCAGCGTGTTGGCTCCCACTTTGGCTAAATCCACCGCCATCTCTGCTCTTCTCAAACTGCACCCTTCTCCCTGGGTCTCGCGCTCCCTTTCCCTTTATGGGCTCGGCGTCAGCTGATAGAAAAGCCACGCCCCCTGGCTTCTGCAAGTCTCCCTCCTCCAGGACCCCTTATGCATATGCATAACCTGGGCGGAGCCAGCCAGCAGCTCCGGGCAGGGAGGAGATATCTCCTCCCACGAAGAGGAACATAGATATTAAGAAGCATCTGGTGGCGGCAGAAAGTGCTGTTAGCTGCATGTTGAGAGCTGAGCAGGGGCAGAAGCGGGTTAGCAGGGCAAAGGACAGGATGTGCTATTCTGGGGTGCTGGGAACTATAATCTACTCCCTTGCAGTGGCGGAGCTTCATGCTCCGGCACCTGGGGGTGGAGAGCAGGCGGGGGCGGGGCTGGCACGCATCCCAGGGGCGTAGCATGCCACCTGCGGGGGTGTGGCTCCAGCGCAGGCTGGGGGGCAGCTGCGATGGCACCCCACTGGGATCGCGCTGCTGGGGGCGGTGCACTCCCCCTGCACCCGTCTTCCTCCGCCAGTGCTCCCTTGCAGAACTAAAATTCCCAGCACCCTTATCAAACTACAGTTCCCAGGGTTTTCTGGAGAAAGTAATGTAGAAGCATAGAACCGTAGGCTTGGAAGGGATCATGAGGGTCATCTAGTTTAACTCTCTGCAATGCCAGAATCTCAATCACACACGGCAGCAAACTGCTTTAAAACCACCCAGGTGCTGACCTTTAAAGCCCTAAACGGCCTCGGTCCAGTATACCTGAAGGAGCATCTCCACCGACATCATTCTGCCCGGACACTGAGGTCCAGTGCCGAGGGCCTTCTGGCGGTTCCCTCACTGCAAGAAGCCAAGTTACAGGGAACCAGGCAGAGGGCCTTCTCGGTAGTGGCACCCCCCTGTGGAACACCCTCCCACCAGATGTCAAAGAGAAGAACAACTACCAGACTTTTAGAAGACATCTGAAGGCAGCCCTGTTTAGGGAAGCTTTTAATGTTTAATAGACTATTGTATTTTAATATTCTGTTGGAAGCCGCCCAGAGTGGCTGGGGAAATCCAGCCAAATGGGCGGGGTATGTCATTAAAGCCTCGCCTTCCAATAATAATAATAATAATAATAATAATAATAATAATAATAATAATTTATTATTATTGGAAGGCGAGTCTTTAATGCTTTAATGACATGGGGTGGATGTGCAATCCTCTAGATACAGCCCAGTATCTTTCAACATCAAATGGCTGGGTAAAGGGGAATGTTATTAGGGTCACAGTTTAGTGCTGTATGTTGAGTCAGACAGTTGTTGAGCCTGACAGCAGAGTTTCAGACAGGGTTCTCTGCCAGCCCAGCTTGTATGTTCTGAAGATGGAGCTACTGGGCTGCTGCTCTTTTATCTGGGATTGTGTGTGTGTGACAGGCCTGGTTCTTAACTCGGTTCCTCCTGCAAGTTAATAATGTGGGTGACAGATGCACCTCAGCAGGGAGGGTATTCCACAAATGGGGAGCCACTACCAGGAAGACCCTGTTGTGTGTCAATGCTAACCAGCTAGCACTCACCAGCAGCACCAATAACGGGACACTGTCAATTCCCATGGTGTCTTGGCAGGAACGTTGTGTGTGTGTTAGGTCAAGGGGAATAGTGCTGTAATATGCTTGAGGGGCGTTATTTAAAAGGTGCTTTTTCTGGTCTATTTTAGTTTATGGGGAGCAATAAAGCACACTGATCTGCCAGGTGCTCAGTAGGAATCTCGGTTGCCTGGCAACAGCTTCGACTTTAGCAGGTACCTATGTATGACAGCCCCTGGGAGGGAGGAGGTCAGTTACTCAGTTACTTAGCCAAGGTTCTCCCACTTTTCCAATCTTAAATTCAGTTCTCCACATTTCTGCAGCAATTTGTGGTTGATGAGTTTTTGGGAGGATTTAAAAACCAATCAGCATTTCAGTGCAATTTTCTTCTACTCTATTCTGCCTGGGTCAGACTCTGCCTGGACTAGATCACCTTTGAGGACTCCTCTGACTCTACAATTATATGATTCTCTTAATAAATGCATTTTTGTACATAGTTTTAACTAAGGTGGATATTTTTGCCAGCAATTGCTCCTAATGTAATGCATTTCAGTATGTTATTTTCACTAATAGGTTTTTTCCTCCCGCACACTTTCCTCTGATGCACACGTTCTTGTAATCATTGCTTGGCTGGAGAACTGCTTTGCAAAATTCAGATACGTGCAAATTTCAGAGGTTCTCATTATGTTTTGGAATGTGCAAATTTGATAGAATTGGCTTCACGTGCAAATGAGTTGAATTTCTCCCCCATCCCTGTCTCCAACTCAGTCTCTTCAGTACTGCCAATGGCTCTACTCTGAGTAGGTCTAACACTGGATACAGCCCAAGTGTTCTCATCCTGGTAGCTAAATAGGAATCTGGGCAATCAGAATGTTCAAGATTACCATTAAAAGAACGAACGTGAAGTGGTCTTTCCTGGGAGTATTGTAGCCACACAGAAAATATGAATCAAGTTGTTGTAGTTTTTTCATTTTTTAAAAAAAGACTAGTTTACTTCAAATTACAAAATATTATTTACAAAATAAGACGAAATGGTGTAAAAGCAAAAAAACAGGCAAAAAAGACACAATAACAGTAGTTGCAATAAGTAAAGATGCAGATTGTGCATGCTACATACATTTAAACCATATTTAAAACACATATGCCCCCCGCAATCCTAGGAACTATAGTTTATCCTCACGGATCTACAATTTCCAGCACCCTTAACTACAGTAGACCCACAACTTACACTGTGATTACATTCTGAGAATAGCTTGTAAAGCCATAATCGTGTATAGTCAAATTGCATTGGGTGCAATGACAGGGGGGATTGCTAAAGTTATTTTCCCCGGGTGCTCACCCTGTTTCCAACCCTATTATATTATATTATATTATATTATATTATATTATATTATTGCCAAGTGCATAAAACTGAATATGCACAAGTTAAATGTGCGCAAGTTGCAGGTCTACTGTACATTTCCCCAGGAATCTTTGTGCAGGGAGAAAAGTGTTTTATATGCATGGCGTGTTTGCAGCGATCGTCACATTTCGAAAACATTCTTAGACTTCAAAAGAGCATGCTTTCCCTTACAAAATCTTGCTGACATGATTATTATTATTTTTTAGCTGTCCCCTTGGAGAAGAGGTGCTGCCATTCTTAAGGAGCTTTCCTGGCACCCAGTGAGGGAGGTGCTAATGGAAGGAACCAAACGCTGTACAATTTATGTCATAGAACTTATACCCCCAGGCTCATATGTATCAGCAATAATTCGCATTTCAAAAAGTCTTGACATCATTTCAGCTCATCATGGTTGATCATTAACAAGTGGCAATTGAAGCATTATGGATGGATGGATGGGAAGGACCCTTTAGAAGGCACTTTGATCTGTTGTCAGGATCTTTGCAGCTACTGTGCTTCCAGGAAAGGGCATAGTCCACCCTGAAGTGCTTTGCCTTAGGCCCATCCCAAAGGCAGGAGACTTCTTTGAACATAAGAAGTGCCTGGCTGGATCAGACCAAAGGCCATCTAGATTCTGTCCTCAAAGTGGTCACCCATACGTCTATGGGCTACACCCCATACCTTCAAGATCAGATACAGTAGGCCTCTGAAAATCAGTTCCTTGTTAGCAATAGGTAAGCAATAGGCATCCCGTCCTGAGTTTGTGCAGTGCTTACACATCTTCCCATGAATTAGTTGTTCATCCCACACATTTCAATGCATTTCATTGTGGTTTCCTAATCACAAAAGTCTCTCTCTGTATTTTTTTCAAAGTGGATTTGTTGCACCTGGGCAACTGAATGCTTGAATCCACTTTAACTGAGCGAGCCTAAATTTCAGGTTTGCACCTGAACTCTTTCTGCAAAATAGTGATCATATGATGACAGCACCATGGGGAAAAGTGCCGAGATCTTGTGACCCCCTTAATGCATTAGCTTCTGATCTGTAAAGGTAAAGGTACCCCTGCCCGTACGGGCCAGTCGTGACCGACTCTAGGGTTGCGCGCTCATCTCGCTCAAGAGGCTGGGAGCCGGCGCCGTCTGAAGACACTTCCGGGTCACATGGCCAGCGTGACGAAGCTGCAACTGGTGAGCCAGCACCAGCGCCGCACACGGAAACGCCGTTTATGATCTGTAACTGAGGGCAATTCAAGGTGATGCGTATCTATTCTATAGTTTAGAAAATGTTGGTTTGCTCTGCATTTGGACACGCCTTAAGATATTGTCACCAAATTTTGCACAAAAGTTCCTGAGTTCCAACAGTAGGTTTTCCTCTGCATCTGGATACAACTGGGCACCATTTGGATCAAGAAGGTGCACTCAGCCTTGCAGAATTGCACTGATTTTTTCTGCTTTCTTAGAATTTCCCAAGGAAAGCCCAAGGCACAAGGCTGCTATTTCCCTATACCAGGGGTGTCAAACTCAAATTCATCGGGGGCCGCATCAGCAGTTTGGTCACCCTCAAAGGGCCGGTTGTATCTGTACGACTATGTGTCCACTCTTTATTATCATAAATTATTGTCACTGCATTCAATTATTACTGTTTTTTGTAATAATGTAGACGGTCCACTTTACATTTATTTTAAGGGTGTTTGGAGTGTGCGCGCGCGCCTCTCTCTCTCTCCCACTCACCCCCCCCCCACCAGCCACCCCATATTCCCAAAGAACAACTTGATCACGGGCATCGTTGGTCCTGGAAAGGCTGGCTGTGCAAAGATGGAGAGGGAGGTGAAATGAAGAGGAAGGGAAGCCCCGGGCTGGTGAAATCCAGCGCGGAGGAGAAGAGGACGCTCCCGCAGGGCGAGTTTGCACGCCGGGAAGGATCGGGAAGCAATAGCAGGACGTGCGAGGAGAGAGGGGCTTTCAAAGCCACCCACCCTGGGAGCGGTCTCTCCTTTAAAAATAAATAAATGATGATGATGGATTCTTAACATCTGGTGGGAATTTTATTTTCTCTCTCTTCCTGCTTTCTCCTCCTCCCGCCACCAAGCTCGCCGCCGCTGCCACCATCAGCATCTCTTTGCATTTGATGTGCGATTCTGGGAGGGGGGAATGCAGAGGAGTTGGAGGCAAGGCGAATGAATATAATAACGCGGGGAGTTTGGCGAGGAGAAGACGCGGATGTTCCGGATTGCTGGCTTGCTCCTGGCTGAAATCAGAAATCCGATTGCGCACTGGGTTGTGATTGGAAATCTAATCAGATCCTGGGATCGGCAAGGGGGGAGAGCGTGAGAGCAGAGGAGGGGGGCAGAGAGGGAGAGAAGAAAAGAAGAGCCCCAAAGTTGGCGTTTCTGAGAAAATAATTTCAGATGTTGCAAGGGGACACGCCTCGGTGGAGGGCGGAGGGGGAGACACGGGAAGCGCGGCCGTGGGAACCCCCGATGTAACGTGGACGCACATGGATCCGCTCACAGAGAAGGAGCCGCTTGGCCGGAGCTGAGCAGACATGACAAAATCGTGTTATTAAACCAAACAGCGGCCGTTTCAGGCAGACGGGGCTGCCGCTGCTGCTGCTGGTGGCAGCGGCAGCAAGGGAAACCTTCCGCAGAAGCCAAAAATGCTTCTCTCCCACCAAGAGGGATTCCAAGGTGGCTGAGGATTGGAAGAAAAGGGGAGTTTGGGGGGCGGGCGTACCTCTTTTTGAGCAGTGAGCGGGAGAGAGAAGCCAGCTGCCCGCCTCGCTTCGGCCCCCGATGACGAAGGTGCAAGTTGAGAGACGCGGGGACATTTGAAGCAGCAGCCACGTCCTTAAGAGCGACGGGGGGAGGCGAGTAGGGAGCCGCACCATGTAAACTTTCTTGTGTCAAAAAAGAAAAGAAAAGCGAGAATAAAAGGTGAAGGCTGGCAGCCGGCAGCGGCTACACGGGCCACATGACAAGGTCTGGCGGGCCGGATTCGGCCCACGGGCCTTGTGTTTGACACCTGTGCCCTATACAGTGGTACCTCTGGTTGCAAACGGGATCCGTTACGGAGCCCCATTCGCAACCTGAAAGGAACGCAACCCATGTCTGCGCATGTGCAGGTCGCGATTGGCCGCTTTTGCACATGCGCGTGATGTCATTTTGTGCATCTGCACATGCGCGAGTGGCGAAACCCAGAAGTAACCCTTTCCGATACTTCTGGGTCGCCAAGGGATGCAACTGAAAAAAACGTATGATGAAGCAAATGTAAAAAGAGGTATGACTGTAGTGTCCTAAACGGCTTGGGACCAAATTCCTTGAAGGACCGTCTTCCTCTCTTATGTGAATCTGCCCAGCTTTTCGGAATGGCACTTGTGTCCTTCTTGCATGTGCCATTGGCATGGCAAGACATGAGAGGCCATCCCATGCAGTGGTGCCTCGTATGGGGAAGGTCCATGGCTCAGTGGCAGAGCACCTGCTTTGCATGCTGAAGGTCCCAGGTTCAATCCCCAGCATCTCCAGGTAAGGCTAGGAGAGACCCATACCACAAATCAATACAGGCCACACTGAGCTAGATGGACCAACGGTCTGACTCAGTCCAAGGCATCTTCCTATGTGGAACCCCCTGCCTCAGGAACTTGAGTTCCCTTATTCCTTATTTGTGCTCTACAGTTAGTTGAAAACATGCCTTCTTAAACTTAATTGGGAATGCCATTCTTTCATTTGATGTTTCATTTGTTTTGGCTGCTGTTTTCATAAAATCATATAATTGCAGAGTTGGAAGGGACCCCCGAAGCTCATCTAGTCCAACCCCCTGCAATGCAGGAATCTCCACTAAATCCTACAAGATAGATGGCTATCCAACCTCTTCTTAAAGACCTCAAAGGGAGGAGACGCCACCGCCTCTTGCGAGAGTCTGTTCCACTGTTGAACAGCTCTTTGTTTTTAGTTGGATCATTTCTGTTTTAATAGTTGGGTCACTTTTTGGTTTTAAATATTTGATTTTCTGTTTGTAAGCCACTTTGAGCAACTCGCTTGTGGAGGAAGAAAGTAAGGTATAATTACACACACACACACACAAATAAATAGAATATTATTTACACACACTCACACCACCATTTAATTTATGTTAATATTAATCCTTAAGCAAAGGATCTAAGCAACAATAAACTAAGATAAGCAAGAACAGAACACCATGTCAGTTATGCATAGGGTTGTAATGGCATGTTTCAGCTGTACATTTTTATTTATGATTGCATTTGTAATCCACTTTCCTCCAAGGAGCTCAAGGTGGCCTACATGGTTCTCCCCCTCTCCATATTATCCTTACAACAATGAAAAAGGTGTGGGATTTGAACTGTGGTTTCCCAGGTTCTAGTCCAGCACTCTAACCACTACACAACACAGCCTACAAAACACATGCAGATATAAATACAGAATCGCTATGAAATTTTGTTAACTGCAGGTGGTGGCTGCAAGCCTGAGAGTTCTCATCCCATCCCTTGGCACATTTAGTTGTTCTTTTTAATGCAAATCTCTCCCATAATATATATGTAGCTAGCCAATGGAAATTACTCTCTGCTTTTCCAGAGATCACCTTGTTCTTAGGAACTGAAGGTTTCACATTATTCTGAACTGAACACCTGCAAGGCATTTGGGTCTTCAGCTGGGGACTTTGCCAGAGATATGCACACGATTCACCCTCTATGATAGTTTCGCAAAGGAAGGAACTGCTGCCTTGCTGTTTCCTGTTCCACACTGCTATTGCTCTGCAGCACCACCACTGCAGCTGGCCAGAGAGTAGAACTGCAGCTTCTAATTCAGCAGGTGCTCAAATTACTTACAAAGCCAGTTGGGTTCCAACCAATCAAATAACACAGGAGTAGGAACCTTAGGCCCAGGGAACAAATGCTGGCCTCACCTGAGTTACCTGAACAGTGGCAACTGCTCATTTCCAGACTACCAGACTCACCTTTCCTCACATTGAATGAAATCAGTCCCTTCTGGTCTGCACAGTCCAATTCATCCTAAGAAGGCCAATGTTGGAATGTCCAGCTGCTGTAGTATTCTAAGCCTCTCTGTCTAGACCTCTAAGCTCTGAAATTCTGATAATGGGTCTTGCCGGCTTGCATGAGGATAGAGACGGGTCATGCATAGAAACTAGCCTGCTGAATGAAGGCAAATGTGATTTTTGTTGCCCACCCTTCCACTCCTGCCTCTGGCCCTCTGGTATGTGGCCCCCAAAAGGTTGCCTGGAAGGGAATGTTGCCCTTGGACTGTAAAAAGTTCCCCACCTCCGACTTAAGAGACATGTGGCCCTTGGGCTGAAAAAGTTTCCCAATTCCTGGTCTGTGGTTATCTTGATATCTACCTGCACTCTGAATCCTGCTCTGCTCTCAGCTGCCTCTTGGTCTTGCTGTCTGTGACCTAACCTGGACTCTAGCCAAGCCTTGCCAGTAGCCCAGGATACTGCAGCGTTCTCCCTTTCCCTATGTCTATCCAGCTTCAGATCCCATCTGGTAGGCCACACATGTCTCTGTCACACCCTAAGGCACCACAGACATGGAAAGGCAAAACTCCTACACTGCTGGCCTGGAGAACCTAAGAACATAGGAGATGCCCTGTTAGATCAAGTCAAAGGCCTGTCTAGTCCAGTATCCTCTTCTCAGTGGCCTACCAGATGCCTCAATGGGAAGACCACAAGCAGGACCTGAATGCAGCAGGGCTCTTCTCACTTGTGATTCCCAGCAGCTGGTATTCAGTATCATACTGCCTCTGATTATGGGTGCAGCCTGCTCTTTCCTGCTGCCTGGTTGCTTGGACAGACGGTGTTACATTGGCTAGTCACTCAGTGCTCTGCTGGTTGCTCTCCATTTTGTCCATGATCTGTCAGAGTTTAGCCCACGTCTGTGAGCTGGGATTGGACCCTGGATACTGCCTCTGACAACACTCTTGCAAAGCAGAACTCATTGTGTTCAGTATGGAGTAATGTTACACACAGAGACACACAGACATACAGACACAGACACACACATGGGTTTTTCATGCTCCTGGTATGATTTCATCCCTATTTAAAGAGCAGGTAAATTTGGGTTTCCCTGCCTCCGCCATCTGAGAAATATTGAGTGAAGCTTATATCATTTCCTGGGAGAGTTTCCAGGCACAAGGCATCGCCCAACCATTCCCTGCACCATCTGATATTAGTGTCAGAACTCCATAGAAAGAAAGCACCAATCTCTGTGAAGGCCTGACTGGAGGAGGAGCAAAGGGACAGAGCAAAATCCTCCCCCAGTTCCGACTTGGTTTCAGACCCTGGAAAATGCATTGTTTTTATTGATGTAGTGAACCTCCTGTGTCAGAAACACTCTACCTTCTTTCAGAATACCAGAAGAGCCCTGCTGGGGATCAGACCAAAGGCCTATATGCCCTGCCTTCTGTTCTCGCAATGGCCAACCAGATAGCTACAAGCAGGACCTGAATAGTGTCCATACAAATCCATTTCCTTCATGAATTTGTCTTTTAAAGTCATCCAAGTTGGTGGCCATCACTGTATCTTCTGGTATGAATTTCATAGTTTGATGGTCTTCTCCTTTTCCACTAGATATGTTCTCTCTTCAGCCTTTATCTGCCCTTCAGTGAAAATTTCCACATCTCCCACTTTCGTCACTGAAACTTGCTTCTTCAAGATGGAAGATGAGAAGCTCAGAGGGGAAAATAGCCACTTCCTGTTTTCTATTGCATTTACTAATGTGTTCATCCAGTGCATATGTCCATGGCTGTTGCTTGCAAGGGGCACCAGGGCTTTCCGAACCAAAAATTCTGGTCACTCATGCCATTGTGAATGCTGGTTCTCCAGGGTGTTGACCCGTTTCCTGCATAGGTGCCACCATATTGTTGTCATTCTCTTGAACAGGGAGATAATTTCCATTTCGTTGTTCCTCCTAGAACAAGGCAGATTTGTTTAAAATCAATACAATATATTGATGGATTCAGGCAATGCTGAATAAGTAGAAATGTGACTTTCCTCCAGACCCCACTCTGATTCCACTTCTGATCACAACAGCACCACCAAGGGGTAAGGTTAAAAAGTAAAGGTAAAGGGACCCCTGACCATTAGGTCCAGTCATGACCGACTCTGGGGTTGCGGTGCTCATCTCGCTTTATTGGCCGAGGGAGCCGGTGTACAGCTTCCGGGTCATGTGGCCAGCATGACTAAGCCGCTTCTGGTGAACCAGAGCAGCGCACGGAAACGCCGTTTACCTTCCCACTGGAGTGGTACCTATTTATCTACTTGCACTTTGACGTGCTTTCGTACTGCTAGGTTGGCAGGAGCAGGGACCGAGGAACGGGAGCGCACCCCATCGCGGGGATTCGAACCGCCGACCTTCTGATCGGCAAGTCCTAGGCTCTGTGGTTTAACCCACAGCGCCACCCGCGTCCCTAGGGGTAAGGTGCTTTACTGAATAAACACTGGATATTTTTTACACTATGTTGAAATCAATTTTATATCAAGGTAACTGTCCTAGTTTTCCCACAAAGGATCTGGGGATTGCAGTTTGGTGGGAGGTGCAGAGAACTGCCCATTAGAGATCCCCCGTGTCTCTCACAAATGTACAGGGTTGTATGCAGTGTTAGTCCTCTCATCTGTGGGGATCCATTGAAATTAATGGTCATGACTAACTTGGGGTCCTTAACTTTGGTGCGTCTACCCTGAGTAGAACTTGGTTGGATGTTACCCACAGTTCCCAAGTCTTCCTTCATGGATGTAGACCCAGGTGGGGAGAGAATCTGGTGCCCCCCAGATGTTGCATGACCACACTTCCCATAACTCCTGATCATTGGCCATGCTAGTTGGGACTGACTGAGAGCTGGATTCAGCAACATCTGGAGGGCAACAGGTTCATCATCCTTGGTGTAGACACCAACATTCTTAGTTTCTGGAGACTATTCTTCCCCTGCTATTGAAAAGAGGAGAAAACAAAAACAGGGGTGGTTTTCCTGCTACTTCCTTGGGGAGGCATGGAATTTCTCTGACACTTTCAGGAGAGGTTGCCACACATCTTACTGAAGAAAACATCAGAATGCAACTTAACAAGAAAAAATACAACAAATAAAAGCCTGAGTTTCCCCATCCCTGTGGCAGATAATCCAGGAAGAAGTTGCAGGCAAAGTGGGCAGTGGGTAGCAGAGATGCCAAGTTCCGCCGAAGATTGAGGGGATCCGTCACATGTCACACACATGTGACTTTGCATCTTCGTCAGCATCTATAGCCAGGGGCTCCTTCTCTCGTGCGCTCAGAAGGAGCCAGCAACTGAAGCCGTTCCTGGGGAGCCGTTCACATGTGGCCTCCCCTGCCCTCTCAACATTGAGGGGGCCCAGCCCTCTGCCAACAGTATTGAGGGGGGAGCAAAGGCAGTTCAGCTCCATGGAGTCAGCACCCCTGGTGGGTGGGGGTTAGTGGAAGTCTTTAAGAGAGCAGGAAGCTTAGAGGGGAAACACTGCAAGAGGGAGAAAGAGAAAGTGCAATAGCAACCCTTAATATATGTTGGAATTGCATGTTGAAAGGAATATGGGCAGAAGAAAAGAAGTTGTAAAAGGCTTATATAAAAGAATACTCACCTGTACTCTGGCAGCACCTGTGAAGAAGAAGAGAAGAGCTTTTTTTTTCTTTTCAAAAACCCAGTAGAAGACATTTCTAGATGAGATTTTCTAAAATGCCTCCATCTGAGAATAGAAGGAGCAGCATTGACCAGGCAGACTGGCCCTCCTTAATGTTTAGCTAAAAAAAGGCAAAACTAAAAACCCCTTTCTCCTAATTTGAACCTGTTGGCTTGAGGTTGCAGCCAACTAAGTTCTACTCAGAGTAGACCCATAGAAATTAATGGATATGACTAACTCAGGTCCACTAACTTCAGTGGGTTTACTCTAATTTAGTTAGATACAACCCATACTAATCCACTGAGGTTAATAAGAGCCTCAGTGGTTCCTTATCCTCTGCACATCACAAGTGTGCCATAAAAGAACCAACTTGCATGTGTTAAGGAGACATCACTGATCAAGCAAGCCAGAGAGAAGTTGAATGACATCTGTCCATCAAAAGTATTTCACTTTGGACAGGGCTTGGTAAACCCTTTTTTCAGATCAAGGGCTGAATTCCCTTCCAGACAATTTTCCGAGAGTCACATGGCAGTAGTGGATGGAACCAGATAAATAAATGGGCTGAGGAATGAATGTAAAATTTACCTCTGTACATCTGGCAGTTTCTGCACTCCTTCCCCCTGTATCCTCCATCCAGGCATACAAAAAGCATCTTCAGATGTCATGGACATGTTCCAGAAAATGCAGAGCAGTGCCAATGATGGGTGTGGCCTGGAGATAGCTCTGAGGGCCACTTAGAGAGGCTTGGAGGGCCACATTGGACTCCCCCAGGCCTGATGTCCCTCGTCTCTAGCTTAAAAGCCAAGTATACTTTCTTTGTCCTCTCCAATCAAGCAAAAGGCAAGCAGACCAAATGAACCGGGGTTGGGGGAGATTTTTGACTGCTCAAAGTAGAGTTCCACTTGCAAGACACAGGAATGCAGGTTCTGGATTTGTTTTTGCTTAACTACACATGCACTTGTTGCACACTTACGTTTTTTGATGCGCTTCCTCCATTGCCATATTATGAAGCCACATATTAAGGCAAGAACCAGCAGAGCAAGAATGGCAGTAGTAGCTACAAATACCGGCACAGGCACGTGTTTCTGGCCGACACATGAGCAAACTGCATTAGAAACTGCTGTGCCTGCTCGTTCTTCTATCATGCCTGCCTTACTGCAACTGAAAATTAAACAGAAAGGGTTAAATTAGGGGTGAATGTTCAGAAGAAGGCTTGATATTTGTGGAGACTAACAGAAGGGCAGTAAAAATGGACCCTGCAACTGCTTGTGGCTGAAATGAGCTGGATGGACAATCTACTACTCAGTGATAGATTTCTCTGGCCTTTCTGTCTTTGTGCATACAGATTATAATTGTCAATTTCACTTGGATACTTATTTGGGAATACCCAGGCTGTCTTTATTAACTTACACATTTAAATTAGGTTCAGTAAGATATAGTTATTGTTAATGTTAGCTGATAATCTTGCTTGCTTGCTTCCTCCCTCCCCCTTCTAATTTGCAAGAAATTAGCGAATCAGTCAATTTCAGTTTTCCCCAGTTTCTCATTTTTCTTATCTTATATCATGTGTGTGTGTATATTGGGGGGGGGGGTGCATCAAACTGCAATTTTTCTTTTTTTAAAAAAATCCTCATGAAAATTACAGTCATTTTAGTGCAAATTTCTCCCGATATACACATTTTTCTATGCTGTTTTGACTAATGCACACATTGTTGAAAGGCATACTCCCTAATGTAATGCATTTGTGCATGTTATTTTCACCAATGTGTGCATTTTTATGCACAGCTACCCCTAATATATACATTTTTTGTAGTAAACATTGGTTGTAGAATTGCATTGCAACATTCGTGGTACTGGGAATTTTGAAGGATAATTGTTTTCTGAATTAAGTATTGATTTGAGAAGCAGAAAATTGGTAGCTTTGTTTCAAAAAGCAAACAAAATAGAATTTCTTCCCCCATTCTCAATGTACTTTTATCTTTAAATATGTCTTTTAAGAGAAAACAACTGATATGTTATTTCAGCCGACAGCTGTATTGCAACATTCAGGAATTATGAAAAATGGAAAATAAACAAGAGCCAGTGTGGTGTAGTGGTTAAGAGAGGTAGACTCGTAATCTGGTGAACCGGGTTCGTGTCTCCACTCCTCCACATGCAGCTGCTGGGTGACCTTGGGCTAGTCACACTTCTCTGAAGTCTCTCAGCCCCACTCACATCACAGAGTGTTTGTTGTGGGGGAGGAAGGGAAAGGAGAATGTTAGCTGCTTTGAGACTCCTTTGGGTAGTGATAAAGCGGGATATCAAATCCAAATCCAAACTCTTACACATTCGTCTGCCAGATGTGGACCTATTTGTCTTGAAGTTTTTCTGGACCTGGATATAATCTAACCTCTGTTTAAGCTTTGTACAAACCAAGGTAACAGCTCACTAAGTATGTCATTTTCATGCTTAGTTCTTTAACTTCCTAGCAGTAACGGGAAGGAAACAGCGCTGAATGGAAAGAGGTGTATGTAGAATTAAGACTATGTGGCACCACACAGCCACAAACTGGAAATGCAGCTGTGAGAGAGTCTTTAGTATCACCTACTTAGTCCAAGGTTCACAGGAGGTGGACATCTCAGTCTCTGAATAGGTCCCAAGAGGGCAGGGTACGAACTGGGTGTCATTGGTTTCTGTGCCTGAAAAAGAATGAGAGGAGCGGAATATTTTAGATGCTGCTACAAAAGATAGAGCCCTTTGCACCTTTCATGCTTATGTCCTGCTTGTGTGTTGGGGCATCTGTTTGGTCGCTGTGAGATCAGGATGGTGAACCAGAAGAGGCCTTTGGCCTGGTCCCACAGGCCTCATCTTGTATCCTTATGTCTTATTGTACAGTGGTACCTCAGGTTAGGTACCTAATTCGTTCCGGAGGTCCGTTCTTAACCTGAAACTGTTCTTAACCTGAAGTACCACTTTAGCTAATGGGGCTTCCTGCTGCCACGTCACCGGAGAACGATTTCTGTTCTCATCCTGAAGCGAGGTTCTTAACCTGAAACACTATTTCTGGGTTAGCGGAGTCTGTAACCTGAAGCGTATGTAACCCGAGGTACCACAGTAGTCCCTTGTTGCTTTGAGAGTCAATAATCTATTCACATAAGAACCATAAGAAGAGCCAAACGCCCATCTCATTCAACGTCCTATTCTACCAGTGGTGATCCAACTGTGTTGATGTATTAAGCCGAGGGTGGGAAGCCTTTTTCAGCCTGAAGACAACATTCCCTTCTGGGCAGCCTTCCAAGGGACACATGTCAGTGGCTGGTGAAGCCAGAAGCAAAGGTGGGTGGGACAATGGATGCAAATTTATGCAGCAGACTAGTTTCTACACATAGACCATCCTCCATTCAGAGAGGCCAGAGGATCAGATCTAGCCGGGCAAAACGGTCAGGTGGAAAGCAAAGCCAGAGAGGGGTGCAGCCTGGGAGTAGTCTGAAGAGCCAAATAGAGTGGCTTGGAGGGCCACATTTGGCTTCTGGCTCTGAGGTTCCCCACCTCCCTGTATGAAGCACATCTTAAGTCGGATGGTTTTACGATTGAGTTTATGCTCACTGTGATGATTATTTTTCTTCTGAACATGGGAGCTATAAATAAATTATTTTTTAAGATCGGCAGAAGAGTGGTTGCACCAAATCTCTACTGAGACAATAGCTGCCAGGATGCTCATAGCAAAAACTTGGAAAGGGAGAAAAATTCCATCAATGAAAGAATGGCAAATTAAATTTTGTGAATATATAAACCTGGCAAGACTCACAGCATTCATAAGGGGACAATCGGACCAAAAATTATTAAAAGAATGGGGATGTGCTAAAGAATATATGAAAAAACATTGTTCTGGAGTAAGCATATCGGTATGTAATGAATGATGCTTTGCAGGGTTAAAGAAAGAGAAAAATGGTGTAAAAAGTATAAAGATAAAGGTAATCTACATTAGACACAACAACTTAGAAAGAGTAAAAATTTTGAGGTCTTAGAACAAAGGAAAGAAGTCAATATGTGTATATGTATGTAATGACTAGATTAGAATGATGATATGGTTTTATTTGTAGATGTGTGTTTTTGTTTTTTGTGTTCTTTTTTCTCGTGTGTGTTTTTTCTTGTTTGTACCGTTTTATTTTGGATTCAATGTTTGTAATTTTTGTTGTAATTTTGCATTGAAAATATGTTTTTTAAAAAATAAATCTCAACTGAGACTTACCTGGCTGTGTCACCATAAAACCAGGTGGAGAAATGGTGTGCTTTGAGCACTGTTCGCAATCTTGGTTGATGAACTGAGTGCAATAATAGCCAGGCTTGCAAGAGCAGACTGTGTTCTTTGTATACGTGCATTCTTCTTTAACTCTTAGATGGGCTCCTGCCGGGCACAATCACAGATATGAGGGTTTGTGGGGGCCGCTGCTATGATTGTTATTATTTTTACATGCCACCCCAATCTCCAAGTGGTGGAGTTCTAGGTGTTTGCTCTGCTTCTGTTTCCTTGGCAGGAAGGTCAATGGAGACTGTGGTGTCTTTACGATCTATGGTTTTATCTGCACATATATATAAGCTGAGCATGAGATGGATCACAGCATTAACCCCTACAGATCTTTCTTCTCCATTAGCCACAGCTTTGTATCCAGCACAGATCAGGCATGTCTCTGTGTCCCCAGCTTCCATTCTGCCTGCACCTCAGCACACACACACACCTGGCTATTCTTCTCCTACCTATCAGCTAGACAGAAGAAATGCCCACCCACTAGCCATCACCTAGCTCTTAAACCTAGCTCATTCTTTTGTGATGCTGATGAGGACAGTTAAGTAGCCAGCTAAGGCCAGACACTGGTCTTACAATAAATCAATAAATGCCTGACCAGTTCAGCAACATTGACCAATTATATATGCATAATTTAAATAATCAGTAAGACAAGACATTGAAATATGAACACACTTAATTAAAGGATCCTAGTCTTTTTGCTCAGCACCTTGGATAGGTCCCCAGACTCAAGAGCCCTCCTCGAGTACCTTCTAGTGATGACACATGTCCCCAGGGGCCCTGCCTGGTGGTGGCAGGCAGCCATTTTAAAATATCACTATAACCCTGATATAGCCTTGAACAAGGGCATTGTAGGAAATGAAAACAGTCTCAGGCCATTTCTGCCACTCGAATAACCTTGTGGCCAAAGACCCTAAGCCATGGAGGTGCCGGGCAGCAAAGACATTCTGCGAAAAGATTCACCTTACATCCACTAAGAGCAAGGCCTTGACCAAAGTGTACAAATCTAGATCAAACATCTGTTGGAGATGCAGGGAGGCGGAAGGCACCATGATCCAAATGTGGTGGAATTGCAAAAGAATCAGGGAATTTTGGGAAACAATATATAATGAACTTTTTTAAAAAAAATGTTTACATGTTCCTTTCAAAAAAAAACCTGCAGTCTTCCTACTAGGCATAATGAGCAATGAAATTCCAAAAAGGGTAAAGAAAATGTTTATGTATGCGGTAACAGCAGGAAGAATTTTAATTGCTAAGGTATGGAAAGGAGATTCTACACTCTCAAAATTAGATTGGCAAAATAAAATGTTAGAATATGCAGAGCTAGCAAGATTAACAGCGAGACTCTGAGACCATACAGATCAAATATTTAACTGAGAGTGGAATATTTACAGAGGATACTTAAAAGAACATTGTAATAACATAAATGATTTGGCAGGCCTGGATTGATTTCTGCATGAATTAAGAGATCGCTACAGAATTAACATAACAGAATAATTTAGGGGAGATAAAGTTAAGTGTGCAGCTGTAATGAAACTTAGGAATCACAATGGGGGGGTCGGAAGTCATGTTAGAAATAGTGATGGATGAATTCAATCTTTTCTTTTTTGCGTGCACAGGAGTGTTAATTTTGAATCGCTTTTCATTGATCATTGTGTATTGCTTTGTTTTTGTTTTGTTTTTAAAACTAATAAAGCATTTTTTTAAAAGAGCAAGGCCTTGAGGGTTGCAACCAGTGCCAATCCTACTCAGAGTAGAGTCATTGCAGGTAATGGACATAACTGAGGTTCATTAAATTTAATAAATATACTCTGAGGAGGGCTTAGCTGGTGGCTCAAAGGGTAGTGACAAGGGAGAGGGGCTTTTCGGTTGTGGCTCCCCATCTGCAGAATGCCCTTCTTAGTGAAGTCTGCCGAGCGCCTTTGCCGGCTGAAAACCTAACCTTCCCCCCCCCCCCAGGTCTTTGGATAGACTGATATGGTGTTGTTTTCTTACCAGTGTGCTGCCTGTGTATAATGCATTCACACTCATGTTTTGAAATGTATTCTAAGTCACTTCGGTAACAAACAACAAGAAGAATTTTTACCTGATTCACATTCTTGACATGTAAAGCACTTTCTCAGGCCATTTGACTGGTTCGTGTATGTCCTCCAACCACAAGCAACACACGTTGTACTGGAAATAGAAGTGCAGTCTCTCTCGACTCTGTATCCTGTGGACAAATAGGAAAATGGCGCCCCTCCTCTGAATCCTAATTTGTTAAACAGGCTCCTCAACCAGGTCTGGGTGGGGACAATGCTGGGAACTAGTGTGGCCAAGCCGGTGAATGAGGGGGGCAGTGGAGCAGTGGCTAGGACCTGTGTGCCCCACCCCTACTCCCTTCTCCACTGCTGCCTGGGGAAGGAGTCTCAAAGCAGCTAACAATCGCATTCCCTTCCTCCCCCACAACAAACACTCTGTGAGGTAAGTGAGGCTGAGAGACTTCAGAGAAGTGTGACTGGCCCAAGGTCACCCAACAATATGGAGAAGTGGGGAATCAAACCCGGTTCACCAGATTACAAGTCTACCGCTCTTAACCACTACACCACACTGGCTCTCAGAGAGGAGTAGGTGGTCACAGTTCCTATCCATAGCTGAAGGAGAAACAGCAAAGTTGTGTGAAGATGCCCCTCTTCTTTCTGGATCTGCCACCCCGCCCGGTTGTCCCCAGCCTACCGCCTGAGGCAACTGCCTCTACCAGGCCAATGGATGGGCCGGCCCTGTTTACAGGGAGAAGAACAAGGGTGCCATGCCTTCTTACCTGGATTACACCTGGGGCAGCATTCGCCACGGATATTGTACTCTGAATCAGTACAGGAGGAGACTTCCTGGTAGAGAAGCAGCTGTGTTGTGAGGAAGATGCAGAAGCTCTTTCAGGGAGAGAGAAAGGAGACTTTAGTCTCACTGTGCCCGGCTCAGTGCATTCTTGGATTAATCCTATCATTCCCCCCAGCCCACCCCAGGGAAGGCAAAGAAGGATATGAAACAGCAGCCTGAAAAGTTTGGGCAGGAAACAGGGATGCTCTTGAACTTACGACTTTCTCCTCCAGATTTTTGGAGTTGTGAAGCAAAAAGATATGAACCTCCTGTCAGGTTGCTGCTTCACTGAGTCCAGGTTTAGGAGCCTGAGAGCCACTTTCTAGGTGGGCTTCCATGCTAGCAGTGGGCTTGACCAGTATGAATTTTACTTTTGTACAACAGGTTCATTTCTACAGGGGTGGACCTTGGTAATATGCCATCTTGCATGGAGGCATTTGACGCTCTTCCCCCCCCCCCAGCCTTTGCAGTACCGGCTTAAGCCAGGCTTTCGAAAGGAGGTGTCCTAGAGCCCTCCCACCTCATTCCCAAAGCCTGGTAAGTGCTTGCCCACCCTTGGGAAGGAGAAAGGTGGACTCTAGGGCCCTGTCAGAGCCCTCATGCCTCCTTGCCGAAGCCAGGCAAGTGCTTACATTTGCTCCAATTGAGTGTTGAAGATCGGGTGGGCAGTGGTGGGACAAACAGAAGTCTGGATGAGAGCTTACTGTGGAGTAGCCCCAGCTGAACTGGGAAATTCCAACATCCACTGCATCCAAACTCTCTAATCCCAATAGATCTTGGGTTTGGATTGGTTAAATATGTACAGTCATACCTCGGGTTACAGACACTTTGAGTTGCGCGATTTCGGGTTGCGCACTGCGCACCCGGAAGTACCGGAACTGGTTACTTCCGAGTCTCGGTGCATGTGCATGCGCATAAGTGCTAAATCGCGCTTTGCGCATGCGCAGAAGAGCCGGGTCACAACCCACGCGTGCGCACACGCAGTGCTGCGGGTTGCGAATGCTGAGGGTTGCGAACATGCTTCCTATACGGATCACATTTGCAACCCGAGCGTCCACTGTATTTGAATAGTTACTGAAATACGAATTTACATGTTTATGTATTTATTTTTAAATCAGACCTTAATCCAGAAACGGTACTGAACAGACTTACGAATTAAGACATGCAAAACAAACACTGACCAGAAACTGACTAGCATAGTAGCCAGGGACTTTCCTGAGGACAATGTCAGCCTTTGGAACAGGAAGTGCCATAAAGCATTTCCTTTTGCACTCACAACTTCTCCTAAGCAAGAACAACCTCTTCCTGGTTTCAATGTGCCTCTCTGAAGCCTGACTTGGATTCTCGCCTCTTTCCCTCCAACACACACACACCAGCCAGAGCCTTGCTGCCCTTTGACAGTTGCTCAGACCTGCCTGGCTAGGTAGGCCTGATCATGGTAGTGGCAGACTTTGGGCTCTCAAATTTTGGTGGCATTCTGTGCGACACTAAAATTCAGGGGGAGGGCTGCCTCTCCTGTTGTGTTTTACAGTGTGGTTGTATCAGCCGTGCTACTCCAAGATTGCCTCTGCTGATGGTGCCCTCAAAGCCCAGTTGATAACAAAAATGCCTTGAACACAAGTGGCTGGAATTAAATGCACGCCAAATGTGGGACAAATTTAGTACACCTATGTTAGTCATTAATTTCAATGGGTCTACTCTTAGGACTGGCCATAGATGCAACCCAGTGGATCTACTCTGAGCAGGACTTAAGGTATCACCCAATGCATTTTTGTATCTTATTTTCATGAACATGTGCCTTTCTATGCATCCATCCATGGCTGAAAAGCTGCACTGCAAAATTTGGAGCAGTGCACATTTTTAAAGGAGGCTCATATTGTGTCGGAACAAGTGAATTAGGGCGATTTGCTTTCAAAACTGTACTGAGCTGACTTTTTCTCCCATCTGTACATCAAATGCATTCCTGTGCACACTTGCTTGGGAGAAAGCCCAATGAATACAGTGCGATTTACTTCAGAGTAAACATGCTGAGAATTGTGCTGCTAGAGAATGTTTTTAAAATGTTCAGGGGGGGGGGGCAAGGCAAGGAACAGGAGGTCAAAAACATACTGTACTTCTTTTATTTCTCCACAAGGTGGCATTCTGTGCCTGTCTATCAACTATCAAAGTGGGTGGGGCGGAGGAAGTAAACAAAGAATCGACCTATGCACCGGGAAATTCCCAGAGCAAACAAACCTGGAGTTGTTTCGTGACTTGTAAAGGCGTTTTTCGGAATGCTCATTAGCAGTCGCGGTGTTCAAACCTATATTGTTGTCAGCTGCGTGAAGATTTCGCATGCAAATAAATTCAATGGTAGGTATGAAGCAGGAGAGAACTTGAACACTGTTGGACTCAAACTCTAATCAGCTCTGGCATGCATGCCCAATGACCCAGGATGATGGGAGTTGTAGTCCAACATCTGGGAGCCCATAGGGTCGCTATGCTTGACATAAAATTAGAGGACTGTAATCCCAAACCTACTTAATAGGGAGTAATATGATAGGAAGAGTTGTTGTTGATGTTGTTGTTGTTGTTAGTCACTTTTCTCACAGAACGGCCCAAAGTAACGTACAGTGGTACCTCGGGTTACAGACACTCAGGTTACAGATGCTTCAGGTTACAGACTCCGCTAACCCAGAAAGAGTACCTCGGGTTAAGAACTTTGCTTCAGGATGAGAACAGAAATCGTGCCACAGCAGTGCAGTGGCAGCGGGAGGCCCCATTAGCTAAAGTGGTGCTTCAGGTTAAGAACAGTTTCAGGTTAAGAACGGACCTCTGGAACGAATTAAGTACTTAACCCGAAGTACCACTATACATTAAAACCAATTAAGAACATGCAATAAAAACACAGCTATCCAGACAAGAGGCAGGACTTACAGATCACACCCTGCTAAAAAGAAAGAAAGAAAAAAAGAAGGCTGCAATCCTATCCATCATATAAAGGCCAAAAGCCCGGATAATGAGAGAAGCCTTTCCAGGCATGGCTCCCTGGGGAGAGCATTTCACCAGCAGGGAGCCACCACTAAAAAGGCCCACCCAAAGAAGGGCTTCATATTGATTACAGGGTCTGGGTTCAGTCATGTGGGGTTACTAGCATTGTTGAGCAGATTTGTATTGAATTCTGCTGCAGACTGTATTATTATTATTATCATCATCATCATTATCATCATCATCATCATCATCATCTTATATCCTGCCCATCTGACTGGGTTGTGCCAGCCACACTGGGTGGCTTCCAGCAGAATATAAATAAAATAACGAAACATTCTATGATCAAACATTAAAAACTTCCCAATACAGGACTGCCTTCAGATGTCTTCTGAAAGTTGTATAGTTGTCGATCTCTTTGACTTCTGACAGGAGGGAGGGCAACAGGGTGGGTGCCACTACCAAGAAAGCCCTCTGTGTGGTTCTCTGTAATGTCACTTCTTGCCATAGGAGCCAACTCCTAGGGGGTGAGGTCCCTTCACCCTCCCCCCATAAAATATTTGAGGGGGTGCTCCTGCCCCAAGTTGATGGGCATTCCCCTTCAAATGGTGTTCATGTGCCATGTCTTGTGATCAGTTATGTGGGACAGGGCTTACCTGCTCCCCAATACTTTATTCAAGTTGGCACCTCTGCTTCCTGCAGTGAGGAAACCGCCAGAAGGCCCACAGAGCTGGACCTTAGCGTCCAGGCTGAACAATAGGAGTGGAGTTGCTCCTTCAGGTATACTGGGCCAAGGCCATTTAGGGCATTAAAGATCAGCACCAACACTTTGAATTGTGCTCGGAAATGTACTGGGAGCCAATGTAGATCTTTTAGGACCAGTGTTATATGGTCCAGGCAGCTGCTCCCAGTCATCAGTCCAGCAGCCACATTCTGGATTAGTTGTAGTTTCCGAGTCACCTTCAAAGGCAGCCCCACGCAGAGTGTGTTGCAGTAGTCCAAGCGGGAGATAACCAGACCCAGGGATGCAGAACCTACCACTCCCACCATCCCAAGCCAGCACAGATAATGATCAGCGAGTATGGGTCTTGTAGTCCAACAACATCTGGAAGGTTACACAGGTTCTCCTGGTCTGGCACTGAGGAAGAAATGCAAGCATGGGAGCGGGGGGAAAGCTACAAAAATGTACAATGTGACAGAGCCAAGTATATATAGTTATAAGAAGAAGGGCAGAGAAATAGCTGTGTTGTGCTAACTGAATGTGGGTTGGGAAAACCATGGTTACAAGTGAAGCCCGAAACTAATGGAATCACATTGGCTGGGAAATTCTGGTTTCACAATGTTGCAGCCTCATGATGGAATCTTTTGAAATCTTTCTGCTGAAATCTGGTGACTAGGGGTCAGCAGCACTGCATTCACAGAAGGGGACGGATTTTTTCTTCTTCTGCTGCTGACTTTGTCAGAGACCAGCTGCGCCAGGAAACCCGCAGCTATCTTGGATCCCACAGCTATTTTAGTCTACCCAGTGTGGTGTAGTGGTGTAGAGCCAGCGTGGTGTAGTGGTTAAAGTTCTTGACCTAGGAGTCAAGGGTTCAAATCCCCACTCGGCCATGATGATGAACTGCTGAGGGACCTGGGGCCAGTCATTGCCTCTCATCCTGACCTACTCTCAAAGGGTTGTTGTAAGGATGAAATGGGGAGGAGGAGAACCAATGTATGGCACCTCAAGCTCCTTGAAGGAAAAAAGGTGGGATATAAATACAGTGGTACCTCAGGTTAAGTACTTAATTCATTCCAGAGGTCCATTCTTAACCTGAAACTGTTCTTAACCTGAAGCACCACTTTAGCCAATGGGGCCACCCACTGCTGCCGCGCTGCCGCCGCACGATTTCTGTTCTCATCCCGAAGCAAAGTTCTTAACCCGAGGTACTATTTCTGGGTTAGCGGAGTCTGTAACCTGAAGCATCTGTAACCTGAAGCGTATGTAACCTGAGGTACCACTGTACAATAAATTAGCAGAATGGTGGAGGATGTTGCATTTTTCAAGCTATCAAGGATATTTGGGGGTTTTTTGCATCTTAAAGCTGATCTTGGTTATACCTTTAGTCCCTACTTTGGAAGTGCTTAAGAGATTTATTTTCACACCTCTACACATGTGGGCAGTGCTGGATTTATGTATAAGCTAAACAAGCTATAGCTTAGGGCCCCACTCTCTTCGGGGCCTCCAAAAAATTCAAAGGAAAACAAACCCTGGATGTACATTTCCAAAATGTAAGATAAAAAACAAATAAAATAAAACCTACATACAGCAACAGTGTTTGGTGTTTGTAGGCTCCTATGATGTAGGTAATGGGCCCCGCCTGCTAGCCTGCTCCCTAAAATATCACTGGTTTGCTCATTTCTATGTACAGATACCTATTGGGTCCATAAATTACCATATAGCATATAAAGGTAAAGGGACCCCTGACCATTAGGTCCAGTCGTGGCCAACTCTGGGGTTGCGGCGCTCATCTCGCTTTACTGGCTAAGGGAGCCGGCGTACAGCTTCCAGGTCATGTGGCCAGCATGACTAAGCCGCTTCTGGCGAACCAGAGCAGCGCACGGAAATGCCGTTTACCTTCCTGCTGGAGCGGTACCTGTTTATCTACTTGCATTTTGACGTGCTTTCGAACTGCTAGGTTTGTAGGAGCAGGGACCGAGCAACGGGAGCTCACCCCGTCACGGGGACTCGAACCGCCGACCTTCTGATCAGTAAGTCCATTCAACAAGAAAAACAGCGTCAATTTGTTATTGACAAAGGCCAGCTGGACATATGAAGGGCCCAATTACCTTCAGTAGCTTAGGGTCTCATCAAACTGAAATCCGGCCCTGCATGTGGGTGTTTTATTATGTTTGTGTACACAAAAAGACATACATGGTGATATTATTTTATGTAGTTTGGTATTTGCATTTGATTTGTATTGTGCATCATCTGGAGTAGAAGTGGGGAAACTTTTTTGGCTTGAGGGCCGCATTTCATCTCCCATCCAGATAAGCAAGATGCATTATCAGGGTCCGAAGATATACTCCATCCAAGTTATGAAGCTGGACCAGTGAGCAGTGTGGCCTGGGGACAGCCCCCAAGGCCTAATACAGAGACCTGGACCTGACGTCCCCCACCCCTCAGCTAGAGAACTTGGTCCATATTTGGCCAATGTGTGCCAGCAAATAAAGGAATTCCAAACCGAATCCAGTTTCATAGTTTCTGGTGAAGATGTGGTGGAGCAGTATTTCAATTATTTTGACCAACAAGATAGCACGATGAGAAACAGCTTCGTGGGGGGCTATAAGCAGGGCTTTCTTTCAGCAGAAACTCACTGGAACTCAGTTCCAGCACCTCTCAGGTAAGCGCCATTGTAAGAGAACAAGGGAGGTGTTTGTGGCTACTTCTGGCACCTCTTTTTCTAGAAAAATAGAACTGGCTGTAAGGGACGCTGTCATCCAAGAAGTCATGCCAACAGACCCTGCAGAAGTGAGACACCACAAACCCACATTGTGACCCAACATGACTCAGGAACATTTCTTCCCCTTCGTGTGTAACATTCTCTGAGACATTAATCGTGCTACACAATGGGATGCAGAAGTGAACGATGCCTTGCCAGACAGGAAATAACCTTTGCAGTTAAGAGAACTTATTGTTATGTTCAGGGCCACTTCTTCCTATCAGTTTTTCTTCTGTTTCTTCTGCTGTCAAAAACTGGGAAGCTTGACAGTGTGTGGAGTCTTTTACTTAAGAGTAGAGGGAAGTGGGGTTATGAGCAGGGAGTCTGTGGGTTGTATAGTAGAAGAAGAAGAGTTTGGATTTGATATCCCGCTTTATCACTACCTGAAGGAGTCTCAAAGCGGCTAACATTCTCCTTTCCCTTCCTCCCCCACAACAAACACTCTGTGAGATGAGCGGGGCTGAGAGACTTCAGAGAAGTGTGACTAGCCCAAGGTCACCCAGCAGCTACATGTGGAGGAGCGGAGACGCGAACCCGGTTCACCAGATTACGAGTCTACCACTCTTAACCATTACACCACACTGGTAGATTCTCTGGCTGCCCATCTATAATAAAGCCAGTTCATAGTCCTTGTGTTAATTTGCAAAGCCCTGAATGACTTCGGTCCGGGGTACCCTGATATCTAAGCTCGATCACTGAGATAATTGGCAGGACCATCATTGGTTGCACCCTGAGCTGGTGATGCTCACCTGCCCACAGCAAGAAACCAAGCCTTTCATGTCATTGGCTCGGTCCTGTCGAATGCTCTACCAATAGAGATTCAGCCTCGACTTTAAAAGCTTGGTGGGAGGGGCATGCCAACTGTCAGGACATTTTCACAGCTTGCACCTTGGAATCCTGACTTCTGGGCTTTGTGCTTGCAGCTGAGCCTGTGCCACAATCAGTCTGAAAACAGATCTCCTCCTTGATCTCAAGTAAGACTTTCTATCATGGTGTTTTGGGATGGGAGGCTGGCAGCTGGCGGGGCAGTGCCCCATTTGCTCTCATGCATCAGCCAAGGTGGCGATTCTGAGAAATTCCTGGAAGTTTGGGAGGCATTTGTTGCCATTAACATAGGGTTGCCATCCCCGGAATGTCCCCAGATTTGCAAATCTGTCCCCGGGAAACGTGGCAGCGGCAGCCTCAGCAGCCCAGAGCCAGCCTGGTAGCGTAGTTGGCTCTGGCTGGCTTCAGGAGCTGCTCGCTGCCGTGGCACCCACCATTTTTCCTGCGCCACAGCAGCGAGCAGTTCCTGAAGCCAGCCAGAGCCAACCGCACTACCAGGCTGGCCCCTCCTGGGCAACGGCCGCCCGCCCGTGACTCCCGAGCCTCCCCTGATCTGACAAAACAAAGGGGGAAGGAGATCGGGGAAGGCTCAGGAGTCACAGGCGGGTGGCGCACTGTTGCCCGGTTTTTTTAATTTATGTTTCACATGGTGCAAAAGAAGGGCTTTGCACCTTTATACAATATGCATGTGTGCTTGGGCCCAGGATCTTTTGCCTCACCACCCAGCACTACTGACTCCCTGTTGCTACTCAGCTTCAAAAAGAAAAAAAGAAAAAAGTGTCCCCGGATTCATTGGAAAAAATCTGGTAACCATACATTAACGTCCTTCTCTCTTTATGTTTGATGCCCTTGCAATGAACAGAATGACTTAGTGAACATTCCTCAAGGCGGACACCTTTCAGAGTTCCCCTTGAAGACAGGTAGCTCACTGGGTACAGTTCAGGTAGCCACCATATTGCCATTGAACCTACCTGAAATGGTTATTGAGGAGATAAAGTGGGATAACCCACCCACCCAACTATGTCATCCTCAGCCTCTCAAAGGAAGTTCAGGGTACCCTGTGATAGGTAGCTTGATGAGCACTCCTGTAACATACAGACTGGCCTGACAGGTGAGTGTTCACCTTTTGAGGTTTTATTTTTAAAAATAGTAATCATGCGGCTTTCTGAGTACAGAGAGCGACTCACCAGAAAGGTGAAGATTTGTCACTCATCGCACCAGACATCACAGGCACTAGCCAATAGGTGCCTGTGACACTTCTGCACCCACGCAACTGCTTGCAGCCGACACACACACCCTCCATCGTCCCACATTTATTTCCACCACAAAAAAAGAAGGTCGCTGAGAGAGGATGTCTAGATCGTACTCAGTGCCTGAGTAATGACGGTGTTATGGTTGTACTAAAAGTAGAAGTCAAAAACCCAAGAGGCCTGTCATATAATTAGGTGCACTTGTGGGTTTCTTAAAAAATAGCATCAGTTCCCATGCCATTGGCAAACGCCAGTTTTGAAATGAAAGGTGACTTCAAAGGTAGCCCAGGCTTCGATCAGATGGGCCAGGAGGCTGGAGGACTCAGGACAGAAGTGGAACATGCAAGGTTTGGGATACACACAGATCTTGCCATGATCTAGGAAAGCCGAACAATAATTCCTGTCTTTGCGCAACCTTAAAGAAAAGGTTTCCTAGGGCAGTAAACAAAGGCTGTTAGGCTCAGATCCTGCAACCATCTACCCGGGAGGAAGTGCCACAGAGTGGGCCTTACTTAAATATGCACAGCCTTCATGGGAGATTTGTGGCCCTAGAGTTGTTATTGGACACCATCTCCCATAAGCCCTACCCAGCACTGCTAGTTATCAGGGGTGATGGGATTTGAAGTCTGGGGATTTGCCTGCCCTAGTTGTTCAGGATCATTGCTGTTACTAAGGATGGGGGAGAAATCAGATTTTGTTTGCAATGAGAGGGAAACCTACCTAAAATTCACTTTCTGAAACGATACGCAAACTGAATCACAGTTGCCCTTCAAAATTCGCACTTCTCCATGCAGTTCTCCAGGCAAGTAATGTGTGCAAAAATGCATCTGTTAAAATGCGACCCATGGAGAATATAGCATACAAATATGCATTATATAAGAGGGAATGGTTTTGCAAAAAAAGGTATACATTGGGCAAAATTGCCTATGGAGATGTGTTCTGTCAGGAGAAATGTGCACTCAAATGCTCGTGAAATCACAAACCAATGTGAAAATGTGGAGAACAGAACTTATGAGCGCAAAGATGAGAAACTGAAATGGACAAATTTCCCCATCCCTCCTTTTGACCCAATAATCTTATGATCCCCAAATAAATTTGCACATTACCAACAATTCCATTGTTTAAAATCCTAAGCCAAGTGTACCTTTTGACTTAGTGGAATAAGCACCAGCTAGCAGTTACTGCTCATAGGAAAAACCACCTTTCGCTTTCAGTTACTGGAATACGGAAGTCTTAGAAACAAACAAGTGGGACCTGAATTCCCAGTCCAACCCCTCACAATGGCTCCCAACCAGGTAAACCAACAAAAGCTTTAATTTCTCAAAGGCGATGTTTGCCATCTGCCAGGTGTATTCTCCCTGCTACTGTTCCTAGTGGAGACTGAGCCACACACTGGTCAGCTGAGAACAAGTGAGCTGGCAATATCCTCTGGCCCAACACCCACTCTCCTTGAAGCCCTCATTTTTTCAGGAGGAAGGAGGCAGATCTCTTTATTGCACCCTTATAGCATGATAGGCTGACCCGGGGGAAGGGGACACAAAGTTTCAAAGTTTGCTTACCAGATGCATGGTGCCAAAAAAGGGGTTCCTGGAGGTTTCCAATTTCATCCAGTCACGAGGCAGACGAAGGTCATTACCCTGTAGTTAACTGCAGTCTTGTGTTTACCTCCCTTCGGTTCCTATAGATCCAGGATTTCTGGACTCCATATTCCCAGCACCGAGCACATTGCATTCTGAAGTTCCCACTGCTCCCACTGCCTTTGCCCTCTCGGCCTTCAGCCAAGCGAGACCAAACTTGCCAGGCCTGTCCCTGAATCTCCGAGTCCCGTCAAACGAAGCGGTCACAGCTCGACGATCGCTAGCTCCAAAAGTGAAAGTAAAATAAAAAAATAAAAATCTCTCTCCAGCTGTGTTTTCTTTCTTTTCCCCAGAGGCGGTTAAATAATCGCACTCAGTTCCAGATAACTTCTCCCCAGCCACTTCATTTCTCGGCACTGAAGCTCGTCTGCCTTTCCTCCTTTTATGCAAACTCTGCTCTGGATCCTGTCTTCCCAGAACTGTTTACAGACGGGAAATAGCAGACAGGAAGCAGGAGGTGGGCTCCAATCACAACAGAGGAGGGAACGGCCCAGTCCTTCTGATCATGTTTTTTTAACAAAGTACCTGGCAGCAGGACAGTGAAAGGAAATGACTCCAAGTGAATCGGTCCACCGGAGCAGTGAAGAGTTGGGTGAACTTGAAGCCAGGCAAAAACACCACCTGGCTCTTGAACTCTGACCACCAGACAACTGCTGACATTGGCAAACCTTTCCATTTCAGTATCTTTCATTTCCCCCGATCTTAGATTCAGGTCTCCACATTTCCACAACAATCTGTGGGGTGTTCTTTTTTCTTTAAAAGCACTATTCCTGTCGTGTAAATTCACTCGTGCAAATTTCTCCTGGCAGTTTCATACGCAGTTTCAATTAACATACTCATTTTTGCAAGCCATTTCCCGTAATATAATGCCCTTTTGTTTATTATATTGCATATTGTTTGCACCAAAGTGTGTCATTCTATGGCACCACCACCACCACAATGCATTTCTGTACACATTGGCTGGAGAACTGCAACTTTCGCAGAACTGCAAATTTCAAAAGATATTTGTGGTTTCTGATTTACATGCCAGTTTGTGAAGTGTGAATTAGCTAGTTCCTCGTGTGAACAAAATGGAATCTCTCTCCTCACCCCCCACCCCACAATCCCTACCTGTCCACCCTTGTGTGATAATGGATCAGCCACAGGAGAAATAAATATTTCTGCTAGCCTCGGATGCAATTTGATCCTAAGAATACTAGGCTATTCAAACAACCCTTTCCTTGCCCTTGTGGTTCAATGAGTGTGTGAGGAAGAGAAAAAAGGAATGTGCCCAATAGTCTTCATTTGATTCATTTGAATCTTTTTCACTCTGGTCTTCCTTCCCTCCCCCCACCAAAAAAAAGGGAAAAAAAGGATTCCTAAGGGTCAGTGGCAGATGATCCCAGTTGCACCTGGTGAGATGTAGGTCGCATCAGTGAATGGTAGCTGTAGTCAAGAGTCACAGTAGGTGGAGCCAATGTTAGGCATAGCAGCTCCTCCCCCTGCCCATTTTTCCTCCCCTTTCTCACTCCAGTATCTTTAATAGCAACCCGACATGCCCCCCCAAAAAAATTTAGGGATGCGGGTGGCGCTGTGGGTTAAACCACAGAGCCTAGGACTTGCTGATCAGAAGGTTGGCGGTTCGAATCCCCGCGATGGGGTGAGCTCCCATTGCTCGGTCCCTGCTCCTGCCAACCTAGCAGTTCAAAAGCACATCAAAGTGCAAGTAGATAAATAGGTACCACTCGGGCGGGAAGGTAAACGGCATTTCTGTGCGCTGCTCTGGTTCACCAGAAGCAGCTTAGTCATGCTGGCCACATGACCCGGAAGCTGTACGCCGGCTCCCTCAGCCAATAAAGCGAGATGAGTGCTGCAACCCCAGAGTCGGCCACGACTGGACCTAATGGTCAGGGGTCCCTTTACCCTTATGCCAAAATTAAACATAATAAGAGCCTCTGTGGATCAGGGCAAAGGCCCATCTGCTCCAACATGCTGTTCTCTCTTGGTGGACAGCCAGATGCCTCAATGGGAAGCCTGGACGCAAAACTTGAGTGAAAAGCAACTCTCCCCACCTGGTTTTCAAAGGCATCCTGTCTCCAGTGTGGAAGGTAGCTCATTCATTGCCATGATGGCTCATAGCTGCTGATAGCCTTGTTCTCCTCCAGGAATCTTTCTAACCTTCTTTTCAAGCTATCCAGGAGAGTGAGTGTCGCTGCCCTTTTGGGGAGAGAATTCCACAGCTGAACAAGTGCTGTGTGAAGAAGGACTTTCCTTTGTCCGTCCTGAACTTTCCAACTATTCATCATGGCAAGATGGCTATATGAAAAGCTTCCAGCCTGAGGTTCTGCTTGTAGATTCAAAAGCACAAATCTGGGGCAACTGATGCGACATGAAACATCTTTCTTTCGGATGGTCAAAGCTATGAAGACATAGGGTTGTAGCCAACTATGCTTTACTCCAAACAGACCCATAGAAACCAATGGACCTGTTCGTCATGGCTGTTCATACCAATGGACCTACTCTGAAGAAGACTAGTATTGGATACAACCCAACTAAGTCCTACTCAAAGTTAACCCATTGAAATAAACGGAAATAAGTTAGTTATGGGCATTAATTTCAGTGGGTCTACTCTAACTACTATTTGCTAATTACCAGTACTGTAACTATTGACAGGGACTCTTTAAGGTTACAAGAGATTGGACTAGATGACTCTTGGGGTACCTACCAGCTCTACAATTATTGGATTCTATACTACCCATCTGATCACATGCTATCATTTCATACAGCCCATTTACTCCCAACACAAGAACAAGAGAAGCAACTATTTAGAATCGGGGTGGGGAACCCCAATGCATCTGATGACACCAGTTGACCAGGTGATCTGTGGGGTGAGGGGAAGGGATTTGCTTTGTCGGCACATTCCTGGCAGGGAACACCCTGGCAAAGCAGCACAAAGCAGGATTGAACCCTGTGTAAACAGAGATAACCCCAACCCCACAGAAATGGATACTGGATTTTGAGATGTGTAGGGATGGAAGCTACATGTAAAACAAACAAACAAACAAAAAACCACCTCATTTTGTAATCTACCTATCTATTAGTATTATTTTGTAGATGTGCAGTTTCAATATGATCTATCACTGGCAGGAAACTGACTCAGTCCATGACTTCTTTTCAAGAATGAGTGTGAAGAAAAAATCCCATAACTGAAATGAATACCTACGCGCTTCCAACATTTATTTACTTATTTGCACTTTGTGAACTTGTGAACTGATACACAAGTGGAAACTTGCTAGTTGTTGTTTTTTCAAAGCTTGCCCTGCTTCAGATTTTGCAATGCAAAAAAAAAAGTGCATGCTGGGCAAACAGGTGTGTGAAAGAAGGTATATATTTGTGAAAATAATGCACCATATTAGGGGATATTGTTTCCCAAAAATGTGTATATTAGACAAAAGTCCATAGGGGGCAGGAAGCATATTTTAGGAGACTTAACTTTTTTTAAAATGCAAGCAGATGAATTCTATTTCAACATGCAATGGTGCCGTGTCGCTCAAGGATTCTTGATTTTGAAACAGTCTTTCCTGGCAGCAGGCAGGCTTGGAACAGCTAACTTCCAATCTCTAATTTCAGAGTCACTCTCTTTCTTGCAGCTTGGCTGCCAAGGACGCCATCAATGTGGCAGGTTGGTATTCTTGTGTTCTTTAGGGGATTTCTTTCCACTGTGTATGTGTATACAATGGTACCTCGGGTTAAGAACTTAATTCGTTCTGGAGGTCTGTTCTTAACCTGAAACTGTTCTTAACCTGAGGTACCACTTTAGCTAATGGGGCTTCCTGCCTCCGCCACACGATTTCTGTTCTCATCCTGAAGCAAAGTTCTTAACCCGAGATACTATTTCTGGCCTAGCGTAGTCTGCAACCTGAAGCGTTTGACACCCGAGGTACCACTGTATATCAAGGCCTCTCTATCTGGCTCTTGGAACTACAGTGGTACCTCAGGTTAAGTATTTAATTCGTTCCGGAAGCCTGTTCTTAACCTGAAACTGTTCTTAACCTGAAGCACCACTTTAGCTAATGGGGCCTCCTGCTGCCACCGTGCTGCCGGAACACGATTTCTGTTCTCATCCTGAAGCAAAGTTCTTAACCCGAGGTACTATTTCTGGGTTAGCGGAGTCTGTAACCTGAAGCGTATGTAACCCGAGGTACCACTGTATTCTGAGACCACGCTCCATCTCTCCAGGCCACGCACCCCTTACTCAGCTGCTTCACACTCATTTCCAGCATTCCTCCCTGGTTGGATAATGTCCTTACTATCCAACAGGATCTCTTGCTAGCCGGGGTGGAGGATAGAGCTTGTGAGCATGCGCAGAAACTCTGCGAGGGTAACATTCACACGTGTTGCTCCTCCTACTTTTACTTGTGACCCCGCCCACACCTGGCATGTGACCCTTAAAGAGTTGCCCTTAGATGTGGCCCTCTGGCTGAAAAAGCTTTCCTGCCTTGGCGTAATAGGAGTCCTCTCTGTACTTTGTAAACCACAGAAGCCTATTTTGGCATTAGGTGGTATTCACATTAATAAATAAACTGTGAATCTTAACAAAATGGGGTATGTGTCTGACTCTTCTTGAACCTTACAGGCTGTATCATAGAACCATAGAGATGGAAGGGACCACAAGGGCCATCTTGTCCAGCCCCCTGCAATGCAGGAATCTTCTGCCCGATGTGGGGCTTGAACCCACGACCCTAAGATTAAGAGCCTCATGCCCTACCAACTGAGCTACCAAGGCAGATGAGAACATAATACGAGCCTACTGGAGCAGGCCATTCTACTCTAGACATCCTGTCCACCTGTGGCTTCCAGCAACTGGTATTCTGAAGCACTGCTGCCTCCAGATGTGGAGGCCTAGAATAGCCACCATTCATAGCCTTGTCCTCCATGAATTTGCCTAATCTGCTTTCACACCAGCTGTCAAAGAGAAAAACAACTACCAGACTTTTAGAAGACATCTGAAGGCAGCCCTGTTTAGGGAAGCTTTTAATGTTTAATAGATTATTGTATTTTAATATTCTGTTGGAAGCCGCCCAGAAAACCCAGCCAGATGGGTGGGGTATAAATAACAAATTATTATTATTATTATTATTATTATTATTATTATTATTGCCATCCAGGTGGGTGACCGTCACTGCCTCCTGGGGGAGTGAGTTCCATAGTTCACTAAGAAGTCCTTTCTATTATCTCTCCTGAATCTTCCAGCTTTTGACTTCGTTGGGTGTCCACAAGTTCTAGTGCTGGGCAGGGGTGTTTGCAAAAGGGCTTTCAAGCAGCCCCACACTATGCTTTGGCTGAACACACCTGTTCCCACCAGGGGAACAGGTGTGTGCACAGTCGAGCTGAGCAGGATTGAACCAACAGGGACCTGCTTTGCCTGTGCGTTCCCTTGCAGGGAAGGAGCTGGGGAAGTCGCCCCCATCAGGAATGAACCAGGTCACCACCTGGTTCAATCCTGATCTCTGCAGTGTGGTTAGGAGGGGGAAGAGTCACAGGGCCTCCTTCTCCCATCGCTCCCTCCCAATTGCATGTTTAATTGGGGCTTTTAAACCTCTACGTAAACTAGATCTGCCCCTGAATCCATTCAGGGACGGATCTGGGTTGGACCCAATCTAAAATCCAAGATCAGGCCCTGGATCAGGTTGTGGGGCATGAATATTGGCAGTAAGAGCTGTTTGGCAGTGGAATGGACTACCTCGGAAGGAGGTGGACTCTCCTCATTGTAGGTTTTTAAAGAGAGGTTGGGTGGCCACCTGTCGGAGACTCTTTAGCTGCGATTCAGGGGGTTGGACTAGATGATCCTTGGGGGGGGGGTCCCTTCCAATTCTATTATTCTATAATTCCATGAATACACTTCTCCAGCCAGATCACACCACCAGGTGCAGCCGCATTCATTCAGTTACAGTAGTACCTCGGGTTAAATACTTAACTCGTTCCGGAGGTCCGTACTTAACCTGAAACTGTTCTTAACCTGAAGCACCACTTTAGCTAATGGGGACTCCCGCTGCTGCCGCATTGCCGGAGCCCGATTTCTGTTCTTATCCGGAAGCAAAGTTCGTAACCTGAAGCACTATTTTGAGGTTAGCAGAGTGTGTAACGCGAAGCGTATGTAACCTGAAGCGTATGTAACCTGAGGTACCACTGTATTTTAATTAACAAAATTAGTATACCGCTGGTTTGTAAGAAAACCTCTAAGCAGTTAACAAAGCTATAAAATACAAAACATGGAAAGATTCAATTTAAAAGTACAAGATAGCATGCACCATTTCATTGCCAGCATATCACACCTTTAAGTTGTCTCAAAACCTCGCTGACAGGAATTGGTCTTATCTGCCAAGGAAGGATTTGCTTAGTCTATTTTTCTACCAAGTTTGGCAGGGGTAGCGAAGAGCAGAAGAGTTAAAAGGTGCTGACTCAGACTTAGTTGATCTGCAAAAAAAAAATGATTAAATCAGCTTATGCAGGAATGCTATTTCTATACATGACCGAAGCCCATGTGTTTTGAGGTATTTCCCACCAAGTTGCTGAGTGTGCAGGAGTCAGATTATACAACTTTGGTTGCACCCGAGATAAGCTTATGAGCTCAAGTCATCCTTGCTCCATTGCATGGTTTCTGTCATGGTGGGCCTTTGACGCATCGTATTCTAGTTTTATTATTATTCATTTCATTTCTGCCCCACTTTATTTTAAGGGGGGTGGGGAATCTCAAGTCTGTTTGCAACACGTGCAAATATCAAATGACACAATCCAGAACAAAACATTACTGACGAAAGCCAAATATAAAGCATGCATTTGGTGCACCGTAAGGAACAGGAAACTGAAATGTTATCTTAAAGATTTCAAACTAAAACATTGCAAAGGAGGTCAACTACAGAATGCACATGCAACGCAGGCCTAGCGACCACAGCAACTCTTCCCAATAGGTGTTGCTGCAATGAGGCAGTTGCAAGGACTGAAGGTCCCTGCCTTCCCACCGTTCTCTAAGGCTCCTCCCAGTTCCTTCCCCAGCAGTCTAAGGCTAGTTTGCCTTGTCTCTCTTTGCTCCACCCTCTTCATCTCTCCACATGTTCTGGGAGACCAGACAGGAAGGGAGTTGGATGCATCAGGAAAGGGAGACTCCCTGGCTTCTTCAGCAGCCTGCCTCCACTCTGCCTCTTGACCCCGCTCTGCTTCTGCCTCTGATGCTGGACTGCTCTCTGCCCCAGCCTCTTCCCTCTCACTAAATCCTGTTATGCCTTCAGCTTCTGACACCTCTTCCTCCCAGTTTGCTGCCTCTACTTCCTCTGACCACTCATCATCGTCCCACCACCAATCACCTGGTTTCGGAGCCTTCTTCCTCTGAGGATTCCCTTCAGGGTTCCCCAGCTGGTGCCTCCCCCCCAGTCCTCTGCATCCAGCCCGTCCATGACAACTGCATGCAAAAATGTGAGTGTTGGAAGAGATTTGCATTAAAATGCCGACCGATTTGCAAGTGCCTGAATTTTGTGACGCAAAATTAACATGCACATAAGAGCATATATTAAGGGATGCGGGTGGTGGTTCGAATCCCCGTGACGGGGTGAGCTCCCATTGCTCGATTTCTGCTCCTGCCAACCTAGCAGTTCAAAAGCACGAAGTGCAAGTAGATAAATAGGTACCACTCCGGCGGGAAGGTAAACGGCGTTTCCGTGCGCTGCTCTGGTTCGCCAGAAGCGGCTTAGTCATGCTGGCCACATGACCTGGAAGCTGTACACCGGCTCCCTCGGCCAATAAAGCGAGATGAGCGCCGCAACCCCAGAGTCGGCCACGACTGGACCTAATGGCCAGGGGTCCCTTTACCTTTTTAAGTGCATATATTGTAGGGAAAGTGTTCACAAAGATGCATATGCTGGTGAAAATGATATGCAAAACTGCACGACGTTAGGGGCTATCACTTGCAAAAATGTGTATACTTGCAGAATTGCTGACGAGAATGCTGACTAAAAACAACAAGACAATAAATCATGAACTGATGCGGAAATATGTCAAACTGAAAGGGATATATTTCCCCAAACCTTCTGAGGATAGAGGAAGCAAGTTAAAAAGAAAACACTTCTTCATGCAGCACATAGTTAAACTACGGAACTCACTCGCACAGGAGGTGGTGATGGCCACAAACTTGGGTGGTTTTAAAAGAGGATTAGACAAATTCATGGAGGAGAAGGCTATACATGGCTACTAGCCATGATGACTATACTCTGCCTCCACTGTCAGAAACCACAGGAGTTGAAAGGGCTCTTGTGCTCAGGTCCTACTTGTAGGTTCCCCTCAGGCATCTGGTTGGCCACTGTGTGAACAGGATGCTGGTGTAAATGGGTCACTGGCCTGATCCAGAAGGCTCTTCCGATGTTCCTTGTAACTCACTTGTAACTTCACCATATTTTGTGAAATGTGCTCCATCTGCTGGCCAAGCTGACAAAGACACAACAGTGAGTTTCAGGTCACAAGAGTGCCAGTGGGTCTTGTAGACCATGGGTAGGCAAACTAAGGCCCGGGGGCCGGATCCGGCCCAATCATCTCCTAAATCTGGCTCATGGACGGTCCGGGAATCAGCGTGTTTTTGTTAGGATATTTCCGTTCCACCTTAAAAGGGAGCAGGATGTTTGTGTCACAGCCTGCGTATTTCCTGTTCACAGGATGTTTCTGTTGTGTCTATGCTTTCATTTCTCTCTGTGTGTCTGAGACACTGAAGCAGGCAGTCATGTTTTCTTTTTGTTCTGACCAACGCTGAATAAAGTTGTAAATATACTCTCCTGAGTGCATCTTTCGCTGTGCATTATCTGCTGATTGAGCATGCATCAGCTCTGGAATGTGGCAAGCTATTTCTGGAGCTCGTGTCGCTAATTGAATGATACTGCATGTCTACGGGAGATCGATGGACGTCCGGAGGCGGCTTGGGGGCCATGATGGACTTTGTCTCCCTGGCAGTATCCCAACAGTTTTTACATGAGTGGAATGTGTGCTTTTATTTAAAATGCATCACTGGGTTAATTGTGGGGCATAGGAATTCATTCATTTCCCCCCAAAAAAATATAGTCCGGCCCCCTCACAAGGTCTGACGGACACTGGACCAGCCCCCTGCTAAAAAAGTTTGCTGACCCCTGTTGTAGAGCATCTAATCTAAAATGTAACTTTACCCAGTAGGCTAGTTCCTACATTCACTCACATGCCCTTTTCTATCCACCAGGTAAAAAGGAGGCAACATCAGAGCTCAAGGCCACATTCCAGCCAGGTGAAATTGCTCCAGGAGGGTGCAAATTTGTGCTGATGAGGCAGTCCTGGGTGCAGCCCAGGTTGCGCTGCTAAGAGGGCAATTGGTGTGTGGCTGTTGTTTTTTGACATTTTGATTTTTAAAAAATGGGTCCCCACTGGAATTGAACCTACTGGGTAAGTTTTCAGGTTCGCTCATAGTTCTTAAAGTGGCACAAAAAGTATTTTAGGGAAGGATGCATTCAGGGAGCGAGGCAGATGAAAGGTGACTGGGGAGCCAAGTCCAGTGTAGTGGCCAACATGCGCTAGGACAGGGGTCAGCAAACTTTTTCAGTAGGGGGCCAGTCCACTGTCCCTCAGACCTTGTGGAGGGCCGGACTATATTTTGAAGCTGCTTACCTGTGTCTTGCGAACAGCAGGGGCTGGAAGTGGCGGCAGCAGAGGGACGATAAGCAGCGTGCGAAAGAGCTCTGGAGAGGGGCTGCTTAAAATGGCAGCCGCTTGAGTGCTGCTGCTGCTGGCACCAACAAAGCCCAGCTTCCTTCTTCCTCTAGGCATGGTGGGGAGAAGCCAGGAGGAGGGAGGGAGGAGGTGCCACCACCACTGTGAGAGAGAGAGAGAGGGAGGGAGAAGGAAAGAACACGCGTGCTGGTGATCCACAAGGCAATTCCTGGACCGTCCGCGGACTGGATTCAGAAGGCAATTGGGCCTGATCTGGCCTGCGGGCCTTCGTTTGATGACCCATGCGCTTGTTGTTTTTGTTTAGTCATTTAGTCGTGTCCGACTCTTTGTGACCCCATGGACCAGAGCACGCCAGGCACTCCTGTCTCCCACTGCCTCCCGCAGTTTGGTCAGACTTATGCTGATAGCTTTGAGAACACTATCCAACCATCTCGTCCTCTGTCTTCCCCTTCTCCTTGTGCCCCCCATCTTTCCCAACATCGGGGTCTTTTCCAGGGAGTCTTCTCTTCTCATGAGGTGGCCAAAGTATTGGAGTCTCAGCTTCACGATCTGTCCTTCCCTTCATGGATCACTGCCTTGCCGTGGCAAAGGGGCTTGAATAACTCAGAGAAGCTATGAACTATGCCGAGCAGGGCACCCAAGATGGTCAGGTCATAGTGGAGAGTTTAGACCAAACGTGATCCACCTGGAGGAGAAAGCGGCAAGCCACTCCAGTATCCCTGCCAAGAAAACTCCATCGACAAAAACAACAAACCCATGCGCTAGGAGCTGGGACATGTGAGCTCAAATTCAAGAAGCTATGTATATAATCCAGGCTAAGCTACTGCACTGGGTTGAGTTATGAGAACTATGTCAGCTTCCCTGTGCTCCTTGCAGGAAGGCTGGGATAAATACACAGCAAATAAAGACCGACGTCTGTTGGTGAGTCCTACACCAGGTTTGGAAAGTGAAGCTGGGGAGGGGGAATCCCAGCATGTGCCGCAAGAGGGCAGCATTTGCTCTTCCTTACAGGAAGGGAGATCATCCAACTTCCTTTGGGTCAGCTGTGAAGAAGGCAGAAAGTGTTGAACTATACAGGAGTGCAATGACCTTGCAGAGATCCCAATGTGACAGTCTCCTGGTTTAGCACAATTGCAGCACTGACATTGTGGGATGCAAAGCTGAGAATAGAAGGAAAGAGGGTCGAGGGGGCACAACTCCTCCATCCCTACAGTACTATCTGTTCTGACCCATATAAACCTTTGAAGGATCCAGGCAGACATTTGCAGCCTAACTCTCTAGATGGGGGTGGCAGGGTGTGTGTCTATGGTGCTCTAAACAGCTGGCCCAAAGGAACCTTTCATACCAGTGGCGTAGCAAGGTCAGATGGTACCTGGTGCAGAAAATTTCTTGTCACCCCCTGCTTGAAATTCTTAAAAGGAGAAATAAGATACTTACAGTTGAAAATGTTGCTTTCTGGTTTATTTACTTAACATTGTGAGCATAAGCACTTAAAACCTTCCCCCCCCCCCCCGCCAACTTTGTTCTCTGCAAATTTTGAAATCACATCATCAAAATCAATTCCTTTCGCTACTTTGTTTTCAATTGACAAGATGGTTAAGCCGGAGAGCTTTGCCAATCCCAACCTGGTGCCCTTTCTGATTCTGTTGCCAGTCTTTGTCTCCCTGCCTCTGCTACCCGAAAATGTTTGCTAAGCATCTAGGCCTGTGATATAGCAAAGGCCAAAGAAAGAGAGAAAGGGCTGGCCTTCCTGTTAGGCAGGGAGACGAGGCTGCTTCAGGTGCTAAAGTAGGGGGGGCAGCAGGAAGGGACTGGAGGAGAGAGCCCTGTGGGGGCCATGCAGGCTGCACTGTAGCCCCCTAAGCTAGTCTGCAGCCCCCAGAGTTGGTGGAGCTAGAATAAAACCCAGCCACCCCTCCAGCTGGACTCCGTACATGGAACCCGTGTACGTGTGCACTGCCTTCTTCCATTTCAGGGGGATATGTGGACTAGATGACCCTTGGGGTCCCTTCAGCCCTACAGTTCTAGGATTCTCTGTCGCCAAAGGCAGAAAAATGTCTCAGGCTTCCACACGGCTTCATAAGAAGATGAGAGACATTCATAGAGGGGATGGTTACCAATGGCTACCAGCCAGAATGTCTCTGCTCTGCCTCCACAGTCAGAGAAGATTTGCTTTCTTGCTTTTTCACAAATCAGCAACGGAGGCTGCATTTCCTTATTTACAGGTGGGCTGTTGCTAAAGCACATAACATGCCCTTCACGCTTAGTCATGTGTTAGGAATACAGGCACAAATTATTGTGTATGTATGTGTTTGTATTTGCAAACTACCCCAGTCTCTGAGCGGTGAGACTCCAGGGGTCTTTGATTTCCCTGGAATGAAGGTCAGCAGAGACTGTGGTGTCTTTATGATATATGGTTTTAGGATGGAGGGGCTCACAGCATTGACAACCCCAGCAGATCTTGCTTCTCCATTAGTTGCAGCTTTGACTTCAGCACAGAGCAACCCGGTCTCTGTGTCTCCCACAACTCTCTCTGGCTCTTGCTCTCCTACCTAGCAGCCTGGTGAGATTGGGGGTGGGGGGAGGACAGCCCCACCCCCTTTAGCCTGGGTTGCCCCATCCCTTTGGTGCAGCTTTTGCAGCCCAGCTCATTCTTTGGGGATGCTGAAGAAGACACTCAAGTGGCCAGCGAAGGTCCTTGTCTTGCCAAGAAACTTGTCTGTGGGAATCATGCATCCGTAACGGTATGGAATGAGTTGATGTCATCTAGAATTCTCTGATGTCATCAGAAGAGTAAGCCGTTTTTCCCTGTTAGGTCTGTTATCAACTGCAGAGGATGAGTAGCTTTGGGAGCCTCTTGGGGAAATGGAAGGATTCAAAGGACTAAATCCATGAAGGAGAGCTACTTACTCTGAGATGGGGGAACTTTCGGGCAAAGGCCAGTTGGCTGCCAGGTTTTTTGGCTCCCCACTTTCCTCTATGGAATAACATAAGAGGTCCTGCAGGAGGAAAGAGCATCTCAGGGTCAGGGGCTAGTCTGGGCCAAAGCGGCCCTCCATTGCCCCCACCATGGAGTCCCTGGCATCCCTTTATCATCTCCGATGCTATCAGGACACTTACGTTAAGCAGGAGGAGTAGGTGTGAAGCATTGGGGGTCTCTGTCAGAAGCTCCAGAGCAGATGATGGAAGTGCCACTTCAGTTCCTGTGTGTGATGCCCATGTTCAAGCCAGCAGGTCCACAAAGCGCAAGGAGGGGAAAGGGAGAAGAGAACAAAAAGTAAAATAAAAGTGTTAAAATAAAAAAGTAAAATAATAAACCAAATAAAAGTGAATAAAATCAAATGAATCAAATAAAAGTAATAAATTAAAATCAAAATAAGAAACTGGAAAAATAACAATAAACCAAACTCCTCTCCTAATCTCTAGCAACCGCCACTAATGCCTCTCTCCTCCACTCACCTCACTACTAACCCACAATGGTTGCCTGCAAGTTTGTGGCTTTTAAATGAGAAGCAAGAGATGTCACAAAGGAGGGTGGGTCATTGTCACCGTGGCAAACCCCCCCCCACACACACACACACATGGACCTGCTCCTCTGTCAGAACTTGGAAGCACCTGCTGTTCTGCCTGCAGCTGGGCTGCATCTTCATTTCACATCCTTCTTCCTGAAGCCCCATTCCCAAAGGGAGACCACCCCCACATCCTTCCAGGCAGGCTGGGGTCTCCATAGTGCAGGATTGGACCATCTGCTTTGCATGCAGGTCTTCTGTCCTGGGTGGCATCTCCAGGGGGAGGCTGGCAACGTGCCCCCCCGTCCGAAACCCTGGAGAGCTGCTGCCGGTCAGTGCAGGCATTGTTGAGGTAGGTGGGTCACAGGACTGACTGCGTCCACGGCAGCTTCCTAGGAATATTCATCTTAAGTTCTTTAGCTGAAGAGGAGCAAGCTAATGTCTACGCAAGACCGACCATCGTTTCATTTCCTTAAGAGACAATCTGGAAAAGTCCCTGTTTAATATACAACAATGCAAGGGCAGAAATCCTGAATGTGAGAGGAAGCAGAATTCTTCCCTCCCTCTGCAAGAAAGCCATAGGCCAAGGGACACCCCCCCCCCGGTGGACACCCCCCTGGTGGGTCCCTTCCAGCTCTACCATTCTATGGTGTCAACTGCAGCAGACCCTCCAGATTTCAAAGGGAGCTGTTGGAGCATGGAGCATCTGAAGGCAGCGGCACCTTCTTCTGAGTTCCTGCACAAGCCTTGGTTCACCCATTCAGGCTGCAGCCCCTCTCCTGTTGTCCGCCCCCCCCCCCCAGGGTATTCAGAGGTACACACCCCCTGAATATGGAAGCTCTCCATTCATTTTATTTTTAATTTAATTATATTTATATAAAAGGTGCTATACGAATTCTAAGCTCTCAAATCTATAAAAGACATGTTCATAAATGCACAAGGCAAACACATAAGTTCATATAAACCACAGGTCTGAAATAGTACAGGAGAACAATCCTGAAGCCATTCTGATTCTCCCAATAACCTTCAAATATTCCTCTGCAGGAAGGGAGGCAAATGGGGAAACCCTTCCCATTGTCTTTGTGCTTGCAAATCCTGTCTGAAGGGCATATTTGTGTATAAATAGAGTGCGCCTGTGACCTGGACTCAGGAACTAAAGTATTTACCATCACTAAAGAATGGCCAGGCTGCCCAGGTAATGCAGTCAGTGACCATGATCAGGTATCCTGGCAGGCAGGATTTCTGCTGTAGACTGCCTCCTTCTGTGATGTATGTATGATGTTTTGGGGGGGGGGTGGTCTTGAGCTACAGGCTGGGCAATTTCAAAAGTCTACATAAGGGCTTGTGCACCATTGTTCGGGGTTCCTCCTCCCTCCTGCGTGTGGTGAGTGGGGAACCTGTTGTAACAGTTTAATAAAGATCAGGCTTACTAGCCGCTTTGCTTCCTCTGGTTGGCCTCTGTTATTTTCATCATCATCATCATCATCATCATCATAATTTATTTATACCCTGCCCATCTGCCTGGGTTTCCCCAGCCACTCTGGGCAGCTTCCAACAAAGTATTAAAATACAGTGGTCTGTTAAACATTAAAAGCTTCCCTAAAGAGGGCTGCCTTCAGATGTCTTCTAAAAGTCTGGTAGTTGTTCTTCTCTTTGACATCTTTGAGACTGAGAGAGAACCTACATAAGGACTCTATATGGGCTCTTGGATACCCCGTAAGGGGAAAAGGAGGAGTTTTTTTTTTTCTTGTAACAAAGGTAAAGGACCCCTGGAAGGTTATGCCCAGTCAAAGGCGACTATGGGGTTGTAGCGCTCATCTCGCTTTCAGGCCGAGAGAGCTGCTGTTTGTCCACAGACAGCTTTCCAGGTCATGTGGCCAGCAGGACTGAACCGCTTCTGGCGCAACGGGACACTGTGACGGAACCCAGAGTGCACAGAAATGCTGTTTACCTTCCCGCCACAGAGATGCCTATTTATCTACTTGTACTAGCCTGCTTTTGAAATGCTAGGTGGGCAGGAGCTGGGACAGAGCAACAGGAGCTCACCCCATCACGGGGATTTGAACCTCTGACCTTCTGATCAGCAAGCCCAAGAGGCTCAGTGGTTTAGACCACAGTGCCAACCAGCGTCACCTTACGTTATATTTATATACCACCTGGATCTTCCAATGATCTCAAGGTGGCTCACATGGTTTTCCTCCTCCCCATGTCCTCCCCCACAACAACCTTGTGAGGTAGGTGAGGCTGACTCCAAGGGCACCCAGTGAGCTTCATGGCTGAGTGGGAATTCGAACCCAGAGGGCATCAGAGGAAAGACGGAAGAAAAGAGAGACAGAGGCCAGTGTTGCCCATGGCACCCCTGAGCATCATTCAAGGTACCCCAGGGTGCCATAGCACCCTGGGTGAAAACCACTGGCTTAGATAATTCTTGAACTAGAATCAGTAGGGACCTCAGGGTCAACTAGCCCAACCTCCTGCTACTGTGCCTCCAACTTTGCGCCTATATCCTTTGCAGGGGGTTGGACTAGATGGCCCCTGGGATCCCTTCTGACTCTACAATTCTACGAGTCTATGATCTTCCTTTGAGCCCTCCTCCTCTTTCTTTCTGTGGAGGCTTTAGCACAGGGTTTCCCAAAACTTGGGTCTCTGGCTTCTGTTGAACTACAACTCCCATCATCCTTAGCTAGCAGAACCAATGCTCATGGATCATGGGAATTGTCGTTCAAAAAACAGCTGGAGACCCAAGTTTGGGAAACTCTGCTTGTTCCCATACCCCACTCTTGCTTAGTTCGCATAAACAGCAACACTCGCATATCCATCCCTGCTATCCCATGCCTCCTCTATCTTTATTGTCTCCCTAGATTGTAGGCGCATCAGGGCAGGGGCCTATCCGCTTTCTACTCTGTTAAGTACCTTGCACATAAATGGGAAAGGGCTGCAGCTGAATGGTAGAACATCTGTTTTGTATGTGGACAGGCCCAGGTTCAGCACTGAGCTTGATGGACCAGTGGTCTGATTTGGTATAAGGCAGCTTCCTGTGTTCCTGTGTCTTAAGGGGAGGGCTATAGCTCAGTGGTAGAGCATCAACTTTGCATGCCGAGAAGGTCCCAGGTTCAATTCTTGGTGTCTCCAGGTAAATCTGTACCTGAAATCCTGGAGAGCCTCTGTGGTGTGGGGAATGGTTGGTTCTTCAGACATTCCCATACATTCCGGAACTACAACTCCCATCAACCACAGCAAGCATGTCATATGGCATGGGATGACAGGAGTTGTAGTTCAGCAACATCTGGTTCCTCACACCTGGGTTGTAGCCCATACTAGTCATAATCAGAGTAGGGTCACGGGAGTGAATAGACATCACTGCCATAGGATCATCAGTTTCACATTCATTTTATTGGATACTAAATAATAATAATAATATGAAGAAGAAGAAACAGTACTGAGTTGTTTTCAACGATTCCTCCCCACTTCCTCCCCACTTCCAAACAAAGCAAGGCCCAGAAAATTGCACGGTTTATTTTAATTTTTATTCTTTTGCTTTCAAATGGCGTATACAAAAGGCATACACAGTATGCACTCAATATATTGATCCTGGCATCAGGATAAAAAAAAAACACCAAAAAAACATACACCACCCATGACACGGGTGGCAACATTCCCCATCCAAGAGGAAACACCATTATTTCAATGAAACAAAAAAACAAACAAACCACAATCGAGAACGAATCGTTCTTACTCTCAGAATGTATGACATTGAAAAATCAGAACCTCTCACTAGACTTTTTCCTTATTTAATAGAAAGGGAGAGAGTACCGTTTCTCTAAGAAACAATCAGCGAAACATCACAGCATTCTTTTTGTCCAAAACAGAAGACCTGAAGTTTCTATCAACCAGACAAAAATTAATAATCATCATCATCATCCCACCAGGAAACCAGAAATCTGGTTTCTCAGAGCAGGAAGAGAGCAAAAGCCAGAAGCTTTTTACAGGCAAAGGGAGAATGATCTCCTACTGCAGGGATGGGGGACCTGTGAGCCTCCAGTTGCCAAAATGCTTAACCATTGGCTAGGCTGGCTGGGGATTCACACCATGTAGAGGCCCTTTCAATTCCCCATCCCTGTCCTGCTGCCACCTTTGGCAGCTTCAAGATTCTGAAAAATCTTTCTACACTTCGACAGCATACAATTTGCTGTTCAAGACATAACACCCTCCCACGCCGCCTTCATTATGAAGATACATGTCCCCACCCTCTTCTCCAGAGTGTGTGGATTTTGCCCATCGAAGATGGGCATTCAACAGACTACACGAGTCCAAATCATTCTGTTTCTCCCCGAGAATAAATAATTTTAAAAGGGGGGGAAATAACATTCCCTACGAAGAAGAAGACCAGGGCTGGATGATTGGATGGAGTCCAGCCCTCCCTCTAGAAACAGAGTCCACTGGCAGCTTTTGAGCAGCCTACCAGGGCCTCCAAAGAGCATGGATGTTCTTGGAGGAAGAGTGCTTCAGCCTGGACGTTGAGTGGACGGCTTCAGGCAGAGATAGCTGGTTCCTTTGGAAGTGGTTCACGAGCTTAGCCTGAGTTTCTGCATGGACTTTGTGGCGAGACATGAACTGGAAGGCTTCCTGTATGCATCTGGAATACCCTTCGGTGAAGTCCACCTGTGTATCTTTATGAACAGGCCCCAACGCTAGAGAAGGAAAAGGGAGAAGAAAAGAGAGATTTAATATTCATGCGCTGGCTTGGGGGAACACTTTTAAATCACATTCTCTAATGCCACTCCCTCTGGTGTCAAACTCAGGTGGTGAGTGCTGAAAGGACTGCAGCCCAAATGGGGCCAATTGGGAAGGGAGAGTTTGGATGCTTGGGGAAACCCCAAGATTTGCAGAAGTGCAAACGAATCTTCACCAAAAGAATAACTGGGGGGTGGGGGAGGCAGCCTCATGATGACTGAATATGCTCATTTAGCCACAGAACTTTAAATATTGGCTGGGGGAAAATGGGAAATGGAAGGGGACATGTGAAATGGCCTTTACTGGAAGAGGGAATTTGAGGGGAAGGCTATATAGCTCAGTGGTAGAGCATCTGCTTTGCATGCAGAAGGTGGCAGGTTCATTCACCAGGCAGTGTAAGTTAGATGAGCCAGTGGCTTAGCTCAGTAGAAGGCAGCTCCCTATGCTCATAAATGACGTTGCTCCAACGAGTGCGAGGCAGAGATATACTGCAACATTTTGTAGCCACACACCCCACTTGTCTCAAGTCTCTTTGAACAGGCCCTATCGGTCTACTCACTTTTGGTTTGCTGGCTCTGCTGCCTCAAGTAGTCCACGGTCATCTCAAGGATGTCGGCTTTCTCCAGCTTGGAGTTGGGCTGGTGCCTCTGAAACTCCTTCTCCAGCAGAAGCTTCAGCTGCTTGATGCTGCTGTTGATTCGGTCGCGGCGCATTTTCTCCACCACCGGCTTTCTAAGCTGCAAAGGAGGAGGGGGGAAAAACACAGATACACTTAGCTGAGACGTTCAAACGGAGCCCCATTCTTAATCCACACACTTGCTAGATTCCCCAGCAGATGGCATGCAATAATAATAATAATACATTTTGCCATTTATAAACAGCGGCTTATTCTTCCTAGCAACTCTGAAATCAACAGTTTGCAACTAGGAGCTTACTTTTGGGAGATTTTAAATTTGTTAGCAGGTTGCTTTAAACTGTGTTTTAGAAGTAATAACTGCATTGCTGTGGTATTTGCATGCCCTTTGGAGGAAGGTTCGGGATATCAATTTGACGTTAAATAAAAACGATCTCTTCAGGGGAAGAACACGCTGAGTTTCTACTCAGGGCTAGCCTTACTCAGAGCCATAGCTGTCAACTTTTCCCTTTTCTTGCGAGGAATCCTATTTGGAATAAGGGAATTTCCCTTTTAAAAAGGGAAACGTTGACAGCTATGCTCAGAGCAGACTCATCAAAGCTAATAACTATTGCTAACTTCATTAATTTCAGTGGGTCTATGAGTTACCCCCAAAGAATCAGACAGGTTTTAGTTTAAGTGCTGAGAGTTCTCCATTAGAGACAGTTACTGTTCTTTTCCCAGAACTACGATTCCCAGTGTTCTCTGGGGTGAATGACTGTTAAACCCCGCTTTCACCCTTAAAGCAGATGTACCCCGCTAGAGCACCCCACATCCATCCATTTACTTACTTTATTTTTCTCTTTCGGGGTGAGCAGGCCATTTTGATCCATGAAGACAAGACTGGAAGGTGCCATCCTTTTCTCTCTCTCTCTCTTTGCCAAGCTACAGAGGCAGATGTTGCTTAGGAGGAGATCCTTGGGCGAATACGCTGTGAGAGATGGCTTGCTCCTGCCTTCTATTTATACCAGCCGGGCTCCCTGAGATGCTGTGGGTCTGTGCTTCCTTCGAGTTTCCCACACTCGGGAGCCAATCAGAAGGGGCCGGCGGAGACAATAGAGGAAGCAGCTCGCCTTGCATGCTCCGTTGGCAGTGAATAGCTTCAGGATAATGACCTTTTCCCAGATGAGCAGGTGGGGAGTCTGCACTACGTGAAAGATTGGGATCAGGGATTACACACACGGGGAGCTGGGAACAGGCTGCCCCTCCACTCGCAAAGGCCACGGGACAGATTAATCACATTCCAGACCATCACAAGGTGCATCTCGCAGCCATTAGTGGGCACGGGGGTGCTGTCAGTGCATGTATGGCAAGCGATGGCAGGAGAGAGCCTTCGCTTGCCTAAAGAGGGGGAAAAACACACACACACGTCCAAACGAGTGCCGTGCATAGGCCTCAGAATTGGCATGGGCAAATCTGTCCATCTCGGTTTCTCACTGCTCCAGGCTTGTTCATTCTTACACATTTTCAGCATCAGATTATTATTACTACAGTGCTACCTCAGGTTACATATGCTTCAGGTTACATACGCTTCAGGTTACAGACTCCGCTAACCCAGAAATAGTGCTTCAGGTTAAGAACCTCGCTTCAGGATGAGAACAGAAATCGTTCTCCGGCAGGGCAGGTGGCAACAATTGAAGCACATTGTTACACAATATTCACAACGGTTTGAAACAACTTTGAAATGCAGAAATAAGGTGGGTGCTAAAAATAGGCCTCTGAAGTGTTATCTCAAGAGCGATTGCATCATAAATCGCCTCACTTGCACGTCAGTTTGAGGCTCCTCGTAGGCATCTGGTTGGCAACTATGAGAACAGGACATGGGACAGGGTGGATGAGTGAGGCTATTCTTATTATGTTCTTTTCTCTCTTTATTCCTCACGAAATTTGTCAGCACTTTAGTGCAGATTTCACCTAACAGACACATTTTTACATGCAATTTTGCCTCATGTGCAAATTTTTAAACATGCATTTTCCCCGCTGTAATGCATTTTTTTGTTTTGTTTTTTGCTTTCATTAATTCATGTTTATATGTAACTACGCATGCTTCACCCTGCCCCAGTAAATTTGCATTTTCAGAGAAATAATTTGGTTGGAGAACTCATTGCAAAATTCAACTCATGTTTTGGTTTTCCCAGGAAGTAGAAACGAGGTGGATTCACCTTTAAATGCAAACAGAATCAAAATTCTCCATACCCCAGTCTCACACAAGTGATAAACTGAATGCACCCGCAATCAAAATAATAATAATAAAAAAATTCTGCACATAGAAAGCTAGCCCATCAGGGAGAAGATGCTACTTTCTGCATGCGGTGTGTGGAAGAAAGTTTTCCAAATGGAAGGTCACGTGGTCGTGAAGCTCAGTCTTTGTGCCAGTCACTGACTCGCAGCCTAATCTGCCTCACAGGGCTGTTGTGAGAAGAAATTTAGATAGTGGGGGAGGATGGATGATGTAGGCCATTTTGAGTCCCGCAATGAGATGCAAAGGAAAAATGAATAATCATCAGGGACTTGTGAGCTGTAGCTTAATGATGTCCGGGGTGTGTTAGTTAGTTAGTTAGTTAGTTAGTTAGTTAGTTAGGATACACAATAAATTTCATGGCTCTGGTAGGGTTGAAATTACTTAACCTTATCCAAAACCAGCATGATCAAGTATTCCAAAAGGATTGGAGTAAATTTTTACGATATCTGAAAGATTATTGTAAGCAATTAACATCACTAGCAGGGTTGTCTGAAGATTTGTAACGAGAAATTTTCTACCTTTCTATATTTATTTAAATTTTGAGTTATTTTGCAAAGAGTGTAATTAGAATTGGAAAACGTACGAAATGCAATGATATAAAGGTTAATTTTGAAAGCCACTAGGTGGGAGGGAAGGAAGTTGATAGGCTCTAAAGAGCCAAGGAGGTAAAGTGGATAATAATGATGTGAATGTATATTATTAAATGGAAAATAAATAAAAAATATATATTAACAAAAAGAAATTACTTATTCTTACCTCCAACACAAAAACACCCTGCCTATGAAAGAACACTGAGACTGTCATTTTTTTATATATATAATAGCTTTTGCTTACAATAATGAATAGCGGTAATAGCAGTAATATAATCAGGGCATTTAGAATGGTTTAGTAGCCTAGTATCAGAGGGACTATTTGAACATCGCAAATAACAGCCACAACATTTAGCTATAGGTGTGAATTAATGCTTGCACTGGGCTGGACCAAAGACCAAGAGAGTAAACTTTGTTCCCATTGAAATCAATGGAATCCAGTATCTTGCCCTCCTGCTGCCAGTTTCATTTAGTGGACAGAGCCTAATTGCTAACAGTGCGATCCTGTGCATGTTTACTCAGCGTTAGGCCCCTTTATTTCAAGGGAGGGGGACTTACTGTGAAATTAAGCATGCAGATCTCTGCACCAGCTCTTTCCCAACCTGGTGCTTTCCAGATGTTTTGGCCTACAACTCCCATCAGCTCCAGCCAGCCTGGTCAATGGCTGAACATCTGCAAGGCACCAGGTTAGACAAGACTTCACAGATTGCTCTGAATTCAAGGGTATTTAATGCTGAACTAAGTCCTGCTGAAAGTCTGAGTAGGCATGCATATAATTTTACCACGTGAGCACAACAATATTTATATAACGTTTAATTGCAGTAAGATTTATATATGGTTTGATTGCAAGCCTACCCAGATATTTAGAAAGCTGGTGCCGTTTTAATCTTTTTGTAATAGGCCATTATTATTATTATTATTATTATTATTATTATTAAATGTTTTAAATTGCTGTAGTTAATTCCCTTTATCAATAATGTCACTGTTTTGCTTTACAGTGGTACCTCGGGTCAAGAACTCAATTCGTTCCGGAGGTCCGTTCTTAACCTGAAACTGTTCTTAACCTGAAGCACCACTTTAGCTAATGGGGCCTCCCGCTGCTGCTGCACTGCCGGAGCACGATTTCTGTTCTCATCCTGAAACAAAGTTCCTAACCCGAGGTACTATTTCTGGGTTAGCAGAGTCTGTAACCTGAAGCGTCTGTAACCTGAAGCATATGTAACCCGAGGTACCACTGTATTTATGTATTTTGTAAACCCCTTTGAGGTTTTCCCCAATAATGCAGTGTATAAATTTTAGGAACCAACGAAACAAGGCAAAACCTCAAAGCGGTTTACAGAACAATTCCCCCCCCCCCAACACTGCAAGTTCTTGTATGTTATTTTCAGTAACATATGCACACTTCTGTATACGATTGTTTGGACAGATTACCTGACATTGCAAAATTTAGAGAAGCGTGAATTCTGAAGAACCACTGACGCTTCGGTTCAGATCTCGTTCGGGAAGGTGTGGATTGTGTAGGTTCGCCTTTAAATACAAATGATTTGGAATTTATTGCACTAAGCACATGTGCACAAGCCTTTCCCTCCTCCCTCGAGATCAGGTAAGGGGGGAAGGTGACCTGTCTCTCTAGCACACGCTTCTTTTTCCTCCTTCTTCTCACCCCCCCCCCCCGTCCTACACACACCCAATTGTTCCAGCCTTGAAAAGCCTTGCCACCTTTTGTTTGGAATGGCAGCTGTTGAGCTCAAAACCTTTTATGTCAAGTGGTGGGAAAGTTTATATGACCTCATCTCCCATGTACTCCTCCAAAACCACACCGATAATCTCTCGGCACATGTGCTCTGTTTTGGAAGGGTATAATTTTTTGGGGAGAGGGGGGTGTTTGTTAGTTTAGAGGACACTTCAATCTACATATTCTTTGATCTCCCCTGCCCCAAGTGCTAGGTTTACATTGTAAAAAAATAAAAGGGAAAAACCATCCTTTTCATTTAGGGTGGAGTGTGAGTAAAAAAAAAAAAAAGATTGTTTATTTGCTTGTTTGTTTGTTTGTTTGCATACCTTTCCTCCAAGGAGCTCGAGGTGGTGTATACCGTCCCGTCCCCCGTCCCCCGATTATTCTCACAGCAACCCTGCAAGGGGGTGTTATTGGGTTGTTGTTGTTTTGGTTTTGATTATATATTTTGTGGTTTTGTGTTTTGGTTTTGTTCTGTGAACCACCCTGAGACCTCTGGATATGGGGCGGTATAATAATAATAATAATAACAACAACAACAAGAAGAAGAAGGTAAGCTGAGAATGACTGACTCGCCCAACATTACCCTAGGAGCTTCATGAATGAGTGGGGATTTGAACCCAGGTCTCCTGGGTCCTAGTCAGGCACGCTAACCTCTACTACACACTGATGATGATAAGTGGAAGAAAAGGAGGAGGGAAGTGTGGCTGTTGCTTATTTGTACAACTGCCTTTAAGGTAGGCCGGTATTATTAACCTGTTGTTCCGGCTGGGAGGCCAGAGATGGACGTCAAACTAGGAGCCATCACTGCTGTTGGTTATAGAGCAGCCTCAGTGAGTGCAGCACTTGACTCACTGCCAGGCCCATCCCACCCATGAGGCAAGGTGAGGCAACCACCTCAGGCAGGCAGGATCCACAGAAACAGCAGATCCGGCCTACAAGGAATGCATCGCCTGCTGCCGCTGGCATGGTGGCCTTCTGGCCTTCACTCACTCCTTCCATGGCAGGGCAGGGACGCCATCTTGTACTTCACCTCAGGTGCCCAAGTGTCTTGCTCTCTGCCCTGAGGAGCTCACAATCAAATCCAGAGGGGCAACAAGAGGAATATGGAGAGAAGTCTAATCAGTAAGCATAGACGTTCATTTCAGCTATCCATACTTAAAGTTTAAAACTAGGGATGGTTCAGGCTAGTTTGTAGTTTCTGTCACTTTCGTTTTCTCTCCATGTTCATCCGGTATTTTTTGAAAATAAGCCACACTAAATTTTGTGCTTTTAAATGCATCTTTTAAA